GTGATGGAGTGCATTTCAAGTAAGCGGTTCCCAAGATAACCCATTTACCACCCCTAACCACCTGTCTACAGACTCATGAAGCGCATCTTTGAACTCACCGCCGGAGGACATATCAGCCCCATTACTCGCATAACGCCGTTCTCGATGACCCAGATCCCCGAGGCATTCGCCTACCTCCGGAGCGGCAAGCACATCGGCAAGATCGTCATCAGCGACGGTGAAGCAACAGGAGACATCGCAGTGCCCGTTCGTCGGTTGCAGCACAATGTGACCATCACTGACACCACGGCCTTCCTTATCGTTGGAGGCCTCAAAGGCCTCTGCGGCAGCTTTGCCATCCGCCTCGCCTACCGCGGTGTGCGCCACATCGTGATCATGACTCGCAGCGGCTGCCGCGACCCACGTTCGCAGGCCGTGATCGCGCAATGCCGCTCGCTGGGCTGCGAGATCTACGACTGCCGTGGGGACGTGGCGCGCATCGTGGACGTGCGACGGGCCTTCACACGCGCCCCCTACCCGATTCAGGGGGTGATCCACGGCGCGATGGTCCTCCGCGACCGGCCGTACGAGACGATGACGGTTCGGGAATTCCATCAGGCGACCGAAGCCAAGGTGCACGGCGCATGGAACCTGCACAGCGTAGCGACCGAGAAGCGCCTCCCGCTGGGCTTCTTCCTATGTCTATCCAGCATCTCCAGCGTGGTCGGCAGCAAGGGCCAGGCCAACTACGCCGCGGCCAACAGCTTCCTCGACTCCTTTGCCGCCTACCGCCGCTCGCTCGGCGCCCAGTGCCTGACCGTCAACCTCGGCGTGATCGAGGACGTGGGCGTCATCGCCGAGTCGGACGCCCTCTCGCAGCGCTACCAGCGTTCCATCGAGACCACCGCCATCCCGGAGAGCGCCCTGCACGCGATCCTCGACGCGGCGCTATGCTGCCAGGTCGCCACCACCACCACCACCACCACTGACCCTAGTATTCCGCCGATCACACAGATGATCACGGGCCTCGCCCTCCCGCAAGACCCCGAGCAGTCCATGCTGCGCTTCGATCCGCGGTTCCGCACGCTCTTCGCCGTGAACAGCGAGTCCTCCTCTGCTGCCGGGGGGTCTGGGAGCAAGACCGACCCCCTCGCGCGCGCGGTACAGCAATTCCAAAGATTGTTTCCGGTGGATAAAAATACCGATCCCGACGAGCAGCTGGTGCAGCAGACCTGTCTGGAGATCCTGGGCACGCGGCTGGCGCAGATGCTGCGGTGGGACGACTCGCAGCAGGTGGAGCCGGGGCAACCCCTGTCGGTGTACGGGCTGGATTCGCTGGCGGCGGTGGAGTTGCGCAACTGGATCAAGGCGGAGATGGGGGCGAATGTCAGTACGTTGGATATTGTGAATGCGGATAGTTTGGTGATGTTGGGGGGCAGGGTGGTGGCTAAGTTGCGGGCTGAGCGGGAGAAGGGGGTAGATCGGTAGACAGATTTCTGTTTGGTTGCTTTATCTGATTATGCATAATCCGAATACACGACTAGTACCTTGCTTGCCGTGAAACAATCGTAAATGCTACAAGCATCATTAACCTCCAACCCGTCGGGCAGCCCATGCGTAACGTAGTCACCCCAACCCAGGCCAAGCAGCATCGAACCCCAGATCAAAGCCCAACGACCAGTTCTCGTCTAAGAACGGCCACTGGACCATCTCCGACCCCAACTGCGGCTCGACATAGTCCGCGGTAGCCGTGCCAGCGCTGCTGACCCCAGCCGTAGTGGGCACCTGCGAGACAAGTCCCCCAGCAGCCACAGCACCACTTCCCCGCGCAGCCCTACTACCACTGCCACCGGGGTCAACCTCAGCCCGAGCATCCCCGTCCCCACCCCTCGACCGAGCAGCCGAGATCTCCGGCCTCTCCACTCGAATATCCCCGTACTCATCGAGCGTCCCCGCCAGCGTGAGATGATCCGGCCTCTCCATACTCCGTTCCGCCGAGGACGCCGCATTCGTCCCCGATAGACTCCCTGGCAGCCTGGCAGTGGAATAGAACCGATTTGCTTCTTGGAGGGTCCGCCACTGTTGACATACATTAGCCATGCCCACTTACTATGACCACACGTGCTCATGTCACCGTACACCCACAAGCATCATCCAACCGTACCACCTAAAATCAAGAAGGGGAAAGAGACAGACGTACCCAACTATGCCCAACCACCCAATACCGACACAATCGCTCGAGGTAATCGAAGTTGCGCTTCTTCTCGTGCTCGGCGCGCGCCCGGCCGCCGGGGTATCGGGCGGGGACGACGGAGCCGTACATGTTGATGTGGGCGGCGACGAAGACGCTGTAGCCGGCGTAGGAGGTGATGACGGGGGTGCCGGAGGCGTCGAGGGCGGCGATGATGCTGCCGATGTGCTGGGCGGCGGTGAAGAGATGGTCGAGGGCTTTGTCGGGGTCTGTATCTGCATCGGTGTCTGTAGCTGTAGCTGTAGCTCTGGTGGCCGAGGCTGTGGCCGGGGCCGGGGCCGGGGGGTGGGTGGAGAGGAAGGAGTCGCGATAGAGGAAGAGGCGGCTCATGAAATACACCAGATTGATGTAGGCAAACAACTCCCCGTACCCCAATGCGACGTGGGCCTGGGCGCTCGTCTCGGGGAACCGCACCGTGACGTCCTGCAGCTCGCGCCATTCGTCCAGCTCCCCCTTGAGGGTCGTCCACATCCCCACGGAGTCGCCGCCGGCCCGCCCGCGGCGGTTCTCGTTCGCGAATCGCAGGATCCGCACGAAGATGTCGAACCCGCGCGTCACGATGCTCAGCCCCCGGTCGATCGTCAGCAGCCCCTTCACCCGCGACGAGGATCCCTGCGTCATGTCGCGGGGCATCAGCCGCGTCGGACACACCCGCCCGAACGTGAAGTCCTGGTCGCTGATGGGCAGGGGCACCAGGATCTGCCGGAACGAGAGAGCGATGTGCTGCCGCGCGCCGGAGCTGAGCTCGCAGTCCTGCGCGAAGCAGCACCAGTACGTGCGCACGAGCTGTTCGTAGGCGATTTGGGTCTGTGGGGCTGCATGGAAGTCATCCGGGTTGTGCTCCATGCTGTCGTCGGCAGTTTTGAGGAGGGTTTGCAGCATGTAGGTTGCCATTCCTGGTGTTCAATTTAGTGGGGTTCTGGGGGAGAGGTGGGGGGGGGGGGGGAAGAAGAGTGCGTACCGCTGTACATCCACGCACGATAGGGATGGCCGGATCCCCATTCGTACAGCGAGAGCATGACCAGGGATTGCGCGAGGTAGAGCGAGGGCGCTTCGAAGGCGCGATGCGCCAGCTGCGTCCGCGCGTAGGTGGCGTACGTCTCCTCGGGGGCGAGGTCATCGTCGCTCATGAACCGCACGCACAGCGAGAGGAGTGAGGCTAGGAAGACTGGATCCACGGACGCGAGATCGTTGGAGAGGTCGGCGATAAGGGACGGGTAGTGCAGGAAGTTCACGACGGGGAAGCGCTTGCGGTAGATATCGCAGGCATTGATCAGGGTGGCGGTTGAGAGGGTTGCGATGGGCGTGGTGGATGTACTGGGCATGACAGGGCTGCTGAGCTCTGGCGAGGCATTGGTCGCTCTGCTTGCGCGACGCAGCGTGCTACTGGGATATGGAGTGGTGGATTGGCGACTGCGAGGCGTACGGATCGCCGCCGGGGAGCGTGGGTCGGTGAGCACGCAGGTATCGTCGCGGTTGAGGCGGTGACATCGGCGACACGGGGGTTGGCCATCGTGCACGCATTTCACTTTCGACCGGCTGAGTTCATCAGTGAGGGATAGGCTAACAGTACAATGGGGATGTGTTGATGGGTGGCCTACCGACAGCTGTCGCAGGAGATGGACAGACGCATTGCGGAGACGATGCGATGAAAGAAAAGCCGAGGATCGGGAATGGCGGGATTTGGCCGGCTCGGGAATGATAGGGTTTGTTCTGCGAAGCCCGCACGGTGGATCCCTTTTCCAGTTCTTGTTTCTTTCTTATCATTCCTGCATTTGTTTCGTTCTGGACGGGGCCGGGAATTGCGCTTGACTCGGTAGCCGTTGGGAATTTGGTGACTGACTGGGACTGATCTCACCCTGACTCGAACGGTGGTAACTTCCTGCCTGAGGCAGTCAGGATCTGGTCTCGGAAGCGTTTGCTCCGTGTTCCGTGCTCCGTGAGCACCTCGTTTCTGAGGCAGGAAGTTCACGTGATCATCATGAGTCTGTGATCAGGCAAACCGTGCAAACAGGCTCGATTGTTGTGTTTTCCGCGGCCATTGCCTGAGTATTCTCGACCATACCTTTGATCCCCCCGACACATTATGTTTATGTTACGCTACTTGAAATTGCCCTCATCGCTGATGCCACTATGCATACCGCATCGAGTTCCAATCTCAGTTGCTCGGATTCTGTGGCATCGAAACCTCGGACCAAGGTCTTTCACGCGCGTGGGCTCCACAGTGGCCGGGAACCATCGCATCGAGTACAAGTGAATCAAGTTGACTGTCGACGAGGTGCTGGAGTCGGAGTGGATGGTGGGATGGGCTTTGCCTGAGTATAAGCGGAGTCAACAGTGTGCGACCTAAGGTGTGCCACCTCATATTGGTGTGCAGATTGATTGCTGGTCTCCAGGGTGAAGGTGAAGGTGAAGGTGTGTGCTGATCAATAACCTTGTCTACGGCATGGCGCTTGGACAGAGTTCCCTGTCACGCTTTAGAGACCTAATAGGTTGTTGTGCCGTCTATCAGTCGGAAGGCTACACTCCGTTTCTTCATTGTTGTGACAAACATAAGCTACTCGACGATGCCAACCAAGTATGGCAACGTCATTTGCCGCATTTGTTACGATAGCGGTTAATCCCCACTAATTCACCTGAAGAGGCAATTAGGGACGGTCCATCCTGATTGCGGTCGATCAACACCCCGCTTATCTACATTACACATACTCTGGACTACCCCTCCATTGTTTCTTCATCTTTCATCGATTTTACTATCTCTCAACCCAAGATGACGCAGACAAAAATCCAACGTCACCTCCAAGAACGGTCCGCTGTACTCGACCAAGAGAAAACCATCCGCCACGACCATGCCTTCAAGACAAACATGTCCGCCACGGCGCAAACCGCTGCGAAGATCGTTGCCCGCATCCGCCAGCAAGAATCGGAGATCTTTTGGACAACACCTGAGGGGAGTCACAGTGAGGCTAAGCACCCCGTCGTGTTTCCTGGCATGTCCTTTGCGATCTCGCGCGATCGGATGCACAAAACTTCGCTGTGGAGACTCGTGTCCGCCATGCCCAAAGGGTGTCTCCTGCATGCCCATATGGAGGCGATGATTGACATCGACTGGATGCTCGACCAGGCGCTGCAGATCCCCGGATTTTGGGTGTCTAGTCCTGCGTCACTGATGCTTGGCGCGTCAACGAACCCGCCAGCCTTCGAATTCCACTACCGCCCAAACCGGCCGGTCGCTGAAGCAACTGCGTCCATCTGGGAAGCCGATTACCCTCCAAACGAGCTCATTCCCATCGCCGAAGTCGCTCGCACCCATCCCAGCGGGGAGTTGGGATTCAAATCCTGGGCCATCTCCCAGATGACCATCACTGAGGATGAGGCCCTGTATCACCATCACCGCGGCATCGTCGACATCTGGAAGAAATTCGCCTCTTGCTTCCGCGGCATCGCCGGGCTCTTCTATTCGGAACCTATCTTCCGCCGCTGTGTCCCCCGGCTCCTGCAGCAGCTGCACTCCGACGGGATCAAGTATGTCGAACTTCGTCTCGTACCGCGCCCATTCCACCGAACGGGCTCGGACACCCCTGAACCCGACACCCACTACTTCCTCGAATGCTTCTCTCAGGAGCTGCAGCGGTACTGCTCCTCCGCGGACGGCTCCGGTTTCTGGGGCGCCCGCCTCATCTGGACCGCGATCCGCAGCCTACCAGACGACCTTCTCCGCGCATCCATGCAAGACTGCCTCTCCAGCAAGGCCGCTTACCCCGCGGTGATTGCAGGCTTTGACTTCGTCGGCCAAGAGGATCTAGGCCGCCCGCTGGTCGAGCTCCTCCCGCTCTGCGAATGGTTCCAGCAAGAATGCGCCCAACGCAACCTCCAAATTCCGTTCTTCTTCCATGCTGGCGAGTGCTTGGGAGATGGCGATGCCACCGACGCAAACCTAGTAGACGCCATCCTGCTCAAGTCCCGCCGCATCGGCCACGCGTTCTCGCTGTACAAGCACCCCGTGCTGATCGAAATGGTGAAGGACCAGAAAATCCTGATCGAGATGTGTCCCATCTCGCACGAGGTCTTACGTCTCACGGCGAATATCCTCACGCATCCAATGCCGGCGCTGCAGGCGCGCGGGGTGGCGGTCTCGTTGAACAATGATGATCCCGCTATCTTGGGCCATGGGGGAAACGGGCTAAGCTATGATTTCTATCAGGTGCTGCTTGCATTTGAGAACACGGGACTTGGGGGCTTGGCGAAGATGGCGGAGGATAGTGTGCGATGGGCGGCTTTTGAGGATGAGGACGAGATGGCGTGGTTGGAGGGCATTGAGGGGAGGGTGAGTGAGGGAGTCAAAGCCGCACGGCTGAAAGAGTGGCGAACTGCATTTGAGGATTGGTGTCAGTGGATCGTAAAGGAATTCGCAGGTGAACCTGAAGAGTAGACAAGGCATCGATCGACGAGGTGCAAGACCGATGGCCATTGGTGCCTTTGACATCAATATATACTCCATCCAGAATCCTAACAGGGAATCCATGATAGAATACATGCTTTACCAAGAAGCAGTTATGCTCAACTATGACAAAATAGCTAGATTTCAACATTTTCACCATAGCCATCGATCGCTACCTAGTCAGGACGTCCTTCCTCCTGCATCAGGATCTGTTCGACGCCTTAGACAGGTTGCCACGTGACTCCGTTGCGCCTTCCCCTTACCTCCTTGACCACTTCTCGGTTCTTTCAATGATGTAGGAGTTCAGAATGATGGCAGCAGCCAACAGGACAGGCCATGCTGCTGTGGGATTCCAAGAGCACCAATTCACACCGAGTCACTCAACAAAGAAAGCCGGGCTCTTTGTTCACACGTGATCGAATCCAGAGTATGGCTTGGATTGAAATCCCCCACGCCTCCTACTGGGTCTTTATTCCCTTCCCACCCCTTTTCTCGCTACATGTGATATCAGGAGCAATGCGGTCAAAAAGTCGACAGACGTCCGGCATCCTTGCATGTCCGACAGAGATATTCCGCTTAATCTTCAAGTCGTTGTCGCGCACTGAACTTCGTTTGCTATGTCTAGTACATAAGATTCTGCGCGCTCATGCTGAGCCACTCCTCTATGGTGGGATCTTCTGGATCTGGAGGAAACCCCATTCTCCTCCGATTCCACTCCTTCTACGCACAATCTTGCGCAGGCCTCAGCTGGCCGCTCACATCAAATCTTTCCACCTCGACATGACAGCCTTCCATGAGTACCACCCAGATGTTGGACGTTACATTATCCACGATCACCCTTTCGTTGATGAGCTGGATGAGCACATCGCATTTATACGCAGAACTGGCGTTTCACATCGCAGGTCTTGGATCCGAAAATTGCGCCAGGGGACTACAGATGCTTTCCTTGCTCTCCTCTTGGCGCAACTCTCAAGTCTACGATCTTGGCACATCAGCGGGGTTGTGACTCGACACTCCAATCTGGTCGGTTTGACGCTTGTCTCCGCCATCTGTGAGTCGGGAAGGTATCAACTGCCCAACTTCCAGCATTTACGAGAGGTGAATTCCCACTTCATGCCGCGTTCAAACCGCAGGAAGGCTGGCAGAGAGCCGCGCAAAAGTCTGCCCTGGCATGCGACCAACATCTTGCCATTCTTGTATTTGCCGGATCTGGAGTGCCTGTCGGTTTCGCTGGGGAGCCCAATCGTGTGGCCTACGCCGCATCTGCCCGCCTCATCCAAGCTCCGATCCCTCGATCTGGGACAAGTCCATGAAGCGGATCTCGGTGAAATCCTCTCGGTCACCCCTAACCTGGATACCCTCCACTGGTACTGGTCCTACCCGACAGATGTCGTTGATGGGGTGAACACGTCCACCCTCGATCGTGGGCAGCTTGTTGCTGCGCTCCTTCAAGTTCGCAACACTCTCCGGGAATTAACCATCGAAGCTGTTGCTTTACTTCCGGGGGCCCGCCGGTTTCCCCGTAGTCTCTTGTTCAAGGATACCTGAAAGAAGCTCGTCCATTTTGACAAGCTCGTGGCCCTGGAATGTCCGCTGGTGCTCCTGATGGGACTTGAAATAGACGACGTTCAAAGGTTCAAGGAGCCGGTTCCAAGTAATATCGAAATACTACGCCTCACAGACGACGTATGGTACCCGGATGATGGTATTCCAACGCAAGAATTTCTTCGGGACCCCTCCGACATCCTGAGAACGCTTTGCGCATGGCTCCAGGCGCCGGATTGGAGAACCCAAACGCCTCACCTGCGTCGCATTGAGCTCTGGCAGAGCCGGTCCAGTCCCGCCTATCGCGAGGATCTGGGGCAGCAGCTCACCTACCTGGGTGCTCGAGTCGGGGTTCAGATTGAATATCGGCGGAATTCATGAGTGATCGGTTGAGCCAGTGGCCTTGGATTTTTTGGGTGGTTTTGGGTGGTTTTGGGTATTGATTCCATCGCTATTAGAGGAAATATATATTCAAAAGTGCTGGACCCGCGGTTTATAAGCGACGGTCCCGGCCGCCTATCAGCATCAAGTTTATCAGGTAGATTTCATGTAGTCGCAGCTGATTTGCAGCGCCTCCAAGAACGGCGTACATATATAATGTGATGTAGCTGCAATACTTCCCATACTCCTCCGCTCCAGGCTTCTTGTCTTGGTAAGGCTCCCACATTGGGAGGAGGGCTAGGCAAGATAAAGCCGGGCTTCACCGCCTTGATCGGGGATAATTCGGCTCTTCGGGGCAACCCCACTCAATTTCATCTCCAACTCTCCTCCCCACTTGAATCATCATGAGGCATCGATCGTAAGATCAACTCCAACTCCAACCCACGAAAATGAAAAATTGACAGTCATGACTCATTAACATTAATACTCTGTATTATAGACATTCGTAACGCACCCCCCGGGGCCCAACAGCCAGCCATCAAGCCCGCACCCGCCGCACCTGCCGCACCCACTGATTCAGCTTCTCGACCTGCGTCTCGTCCGTCGCCCACGAGGTCACGATCCGCACCACGGTGTGGCCGTCGACCTTCTCCCACTCGTAGAACCGGATGCGCTCCTCCAGCAGCGGCAGGATGTCATCCGGAATATGCACGAACACCTGATTCGTCTCCGTCTCGGCGGCGAGCGCGAAGCCCATCTGCACGAAGTTGTCGGCCAGCCGGCGGGCCATCTCGTTGGCGTGGCGCGCCAGCTCGAAGAACAAGGGGGTGTCGGGGTCGCGGAACAGCTCGGCGAACTGCACGCCGATGACGCGGGACTTGGCCAGCAGCGCGCCGTGCTGCTTGATGTGGAACTCGAAGCCCTCGGCGATCGCGCGGCGCACGACGACCGCCTCGCCCAGCAACGCGCCCATCTTGGTCCCGCCCACCCAGAAGATATCCGCCAGGTCGACCATGTCCCGCAACGAGGGGACCTCCGGGACGGTCGTCGTGGCCAGCGCGACGCCCAGCCGCGCGCCGTCGACGAGCAGCAGCAGCCCGCGGCGGCGGCACACGGCGGACAGCGCCTGCAGCTCGGCGCGGGTGTAGACGGTGCCCAGCTCGGTGGACTGGGAGATGTAGACGAGGCGGGGCTTGGCCATGTGCGGGAAGAACTGGTTGCGGTCGAGCTCGCGCTCGAGCCGGTCGGGCAGCAGCTTGCCGCGGCAGTGCGGCACGCCGATGATCTTGTGGCCCGTGGCCTCGATGGCGCCGGCCTCCTTGCAGCTGATGTGGCCGGAGTCGACGGCGACGACCGCCTCGTACGGCCGCAGGCAGCTGGCGATCGAGATCAGGTTGGCCGACGTGCCGCTGGGCACGAAGTGGATGGCGACCTCGTCGGCGGTGGTGTGCAGCTGCGCGTGCAGGAGCTGGCGCGCCTCGTGGCTGTAGTCGTCCGTGCCGTAGCCGGTCTGCTGGGGCATGTTGGTCCGGAGGAGCGCCTCCAGCAGGCGCGGGTGCGCGCCCTCGCTGTAGTCATCCAGGAAGCTGTAGGGGGAGGAAAGTTTGACGATCATGATGCCGGATCACAATCTCGGCCAGACAGGGCGAAAAGATGAAGCGGAGGGGATGGGATTAGACCGTAACGTGAAGCTTTGGAACCATCAAACAAAGAATTTTCCTTAAACCATCAACCACGCGGTGAAAACGGGGGGATGGGATTCTTTATACGTAAAACGAAACGATAGCCACGTCTGGGCCCCGAGCGGCGGATTCCCGATGGGGCTCGGGAATACACCCGCAGAAAAAAACGCTGCGTCGGGAATAAATCGGGAACGTCCGCTCGCCCCAGTTTCGATTTGTAACATTCGAGCGGGTCAGTCCACTATTCTTAGCCTCAAATGGCGTTTTCATTGCATAATCCGTTCCACGGGATTCCTCGTGTGCGACTCAGGTTGGTCTTGGACAGGGATATTAATAATTGGATGGTCTGGGGGGGGGAGGAGGGGGGAGAGAGCAATATCCGTTAACTTACCGCCAGTTGTGCCCATGCGTTGAGACTCGGGAATCGGGATGATCCTGGAATGCTTGATTGTTCCTGAACCTGCTGGCCCAATGGGCTGGGTTCCTGGGTTGGTCAATTGAGTTGGATTCCTTGCTTCGAGGGGTAGTGTTGATTGGGTTGGGTGGGAGGATCCCCACTTGCTTATTTTCTAGCGAGCTGGAGGGTACTAAAGGTTGGCCTTGTGACTGGGTTGAGTCGCGTGATTTTTCATCGCCGCTAAGGTTAACGTTAGCCCTAATCTTCTTCACCCAAAGAATGATCAACAAGTCTACTTCGCTAGACTTAGTGGTGTTGGGTTTATCTCTATCGAATTTCCTAGCATTTCTTTGCAAGTTCTATGCACCATGTCAATAGCTTCGCTTTCCAGACATCAGCGTGGTGAGGGGAACAGGCAGCTCATCAGTGGATGGCGACTGTATATTCTGTAGCATGAGCCCCTGAACGATCTTCAGACGATTTCTCAACAGCGCCCGGTGCTTAAATGTACAGCGAATACCCTCTGCTCCTAATTAAACGTCTGAGACACACGCTTCATAGCGTATGGATGTTTGACCTCAATAGCATGAGTCAGCCCCACAGCTAGAGTAATCTGGCCATGCCCTGAAGACGGTTTGTCGCGATCGTCGGCCCGAGCATCAGTGTGGAGACACCAGGATGTCGAGTCTATTGACAGCACCCACCTATGAAACGTATGTTGAGCAGGACTCCTCTTATGGTCTGTGCAAGCATGAGTTGCGCTCAGTTGTAATATGTTGCGTTGCTGTCTGCGAAGTGAGCGGACATATGCTGGGGATGATGCCGGGTAAAGGATACAGCCGCCCTGGGTCGGGCTGTGGAGCGTCTGACCATGATTAGTATTCACAGTATGAGATGGCGCTTCTTGTATGTAGTCATGGTATGGATCCACACTCGGTGGATAAACCTCCATCTGTGCAAGAGTGTAACGATCGCTGTGGCAGTCATCTTGGAGAGGGCCCCGGGTATACACGCCCAGGGACCATTAGGGTTATGGAAGACTAACATCCACACCAGAACGGGTTGCTCGCCATTCATTCGGTATCTTGCTCCGAACGGAAGAAGTTGGAAAGGGATTGACCTGAGGGCTGGGTTTGACTGACGTGCTTTCCTTGTAGTGAAGAGCTTTCCTGTCTTTTGTGTATTCAGGACAATCACACCGTGTTTAAGGATAAACTCTCGCGGGTTCCAGACACCTCCGAAGGTAGTCTCTTTAGCAGTTGGCTGTGATCTCATCTGTTACTGTGTAATAGTGTAGATTGTTTCAAAGTTAGGGTATGACATATTGAAGTCAGCATTTAGTCCCTGTGTCTGTCATCGATTACTCGAGGAGTAGCAAGCCAATTCGACACATTGATTGGCTCGCGGCTATACTAAGCGTAGGTACCGGCGCATGCGCTACTATAGAAGTGGATCAGACACTGCACACTGACAGGCCAATTCACCCACAAATATGCAACTATATCAACGGGTAGAACAAGATATGCAACCCCTCTCCGCTGTTGAGGTACAGTACCCCTCATTTCTGACACTTGTAAACATCCCACATCCCATCCTCGCTCACTACCTCCTTCATTCCAACCACAACCCATCCAACACCCACAGCCATGACCACCCCCCCAAACCACGCCCTCGTCTTCGGCGCCTCCGGCATAATAGGCTGGGCCTTCGTCAACGAGATCCTGCAAGACTACCCAGCGCCCAACACCTTCTCCCGCGTCACAGCCTTCACCAACCGCCCGCTCTCCCCGAAAATCTCGCAGTGGCCCCCCTCCGACAAACTGCACCTGATCTCCAACCTCGACCTCATCCACACCGACCCAACCAGCCTGTCCACATTCCTGCAATCACACCTCCCCGATTTAGAGACCGTAACGACCGTCTACTTCTGCGCGTACATCTTCTCCCCGGACCCGGCCAAAGAAACCGCCCTGAACATCCACATGCTCCGGACCACAGTGGAGGTGGTTGAATCTCTGTGCCCTAATTTCCGGATGCTCGTGCTCCCCACGGGCGTCAAGGTGGGCCCCTTACCCCTTGCCCAAAATCGCTTCCTCTTTCCCCTTCCCCTCATTCATTCCATATATGGATACTGAGTAAAGAAAGGCCTACGGAGTCCACCTCCTAACTTCCTTCCCCTTCGCCACGCACCTCCCCCTCCGCGAAACCCACCCACCCCTCCCCGAACCCCACGCCACGCAACTCTTCTACACGCACCAGCACGCCCTCCTCCAGGAGCTCTCTGCGAGCAAAAAATGGAGCTACATCGACCTCCGCCCGGACATCGTGGTGGGCTTCGTGCCCAACAACAACCAGCACAGTCTCGCGCAGTGGCTGGCCCTGTACCTGAGTCTGTACCGGTACATCCACGGCCGCGGGGCGGTGGTCCCGTTCCCTGGAACGGAGAGAAGCTGGGCCGCGCGGGCGCAGGATAGTTCGCAGGATGTGATTGCCCGACTTGGCGTTTTTCTATCCTTGCAACCCCGCAATGAGGTCGGGGGCCAGAGTTTTAATGTGGCGGATACGAAAGTGCCGGGGACGTGGGCGGGGAAGTGGGCGGTTCTCTGTGAGTACTTTGGGCTGGTGGGGGTAGGCCCTGAGGAGGGGGAGGGGCTGGATCCGGCGGAGTTTTTGCTACAGCATCAGGCTGAAAGGGGGGAGATGGCGAGGGAGTACGGGTTGAAGGGCGGGCATGGGACGGCGGAGGATGGGGTGAGTCTCAGCCATGTGCCGAGTTTCCTGATGAAGGGGTTCGATTTTGATCGGCCGCTGGATTTGGGGAAGATGCATCGTGTGTGGGGAGATGGGGCGGAGGAGAGGGATGCACGGGGGACGTGGTGGGCAGTTTTTGATCGGTATAAGGCTGCGGGGATTATTCCGGATTTCGAAAGGTGAATGTATCCTCTTGTGTATCATGTATAGGGTGTATAGGGTGTACTGAATATCATGTGTGAACGAACGGCACAGTATGTGCGGTGATAAGGCGATAGGCGAGGTTGAAGGTATAGGTGCAGGCTAATGCCCACCCCCCCTCTCCATCGCCAGCTTCTCCCTCACCGGCGCAAAGATCCTCTCCACCACCTCCGGCGTATGCGCTGCGAAGTACGGACTGGGCGCGATGTTCCACTCCGGCACCACGCGGCGACCCTCGGGCCCACGCGCCCAGATCTCCACCACCGCGCCTCCTCCGTATTCCCCTGCCTCGATCAACTGGAACATACACTCGGCAACATCGGCCGGATCGAGCAGCTCCTTATCAACGAGGGAGTACTGTTCCATCGCCGCCGGGCGGTCCGTGAAGAGCGGCGTTCGCACGGCTCTGTCCCCTGTATCAGCACGTCGTCCTCTATCCTAGCGCAACCCGAGTCACTCTTTCCACCGAAGGAATGGACATACCCCGGACAAACAGCTGTGACCTTCACCCCCTCCATCGCCTCATACGGCGCCATGGCCTTGACAAACCCCCAGACCGCATGCTTAGCCGCCGTATACAAGGGCGCCGCCGGCGCCGCCGCAATTCCCGCCAGGGACGAGACGCAGCACACGACGCCTTTCTTGTTCGCGCGCAGCAACTCACGCATCGCGATGCGGGTCAACTTTATGGGATGGTTGGCGTTGATATCCATCGCGGCGTAGCCCGTCTCTTCCGTGTCGTCCCAGAAGTTAGACCATTCCTGTCCGATCTTATGTTAGTCGTTGGATTGTGGGCTTTTGTCGGTGAGGAGCGGGGGAAGCGTACAGGATCAAAAACGCCCGCGGCGGGGATATACACATCGGGTACATCGCCCCATTTGTCCAGGGAGGCACGGATTAGAGCTTCGAGGTCGGCCCAGTTGCGGACGTCGCAGGGTTGGAAGAGGATTGAGGTGGTGGTGGTGCTATTCACCAAGGTTTCAGCTGCAGGGGTCAGTTTGAGGTCCGCGATGATGGTCTTGGCGCCTTTGGAGGCGGCGACTTGGGCGGCTGCTAGACCGATGCCTGGCACTAAGTCAGATATTGGAGCTTAGAATAAGAGGGGTGTTGTTCATGTAGGGCAAATCTGTCTTACCAGATCCCCCGCCGGTGATCACAACGATCTTGTCTTTGACGGGGAAGTCTCCGAACATGGTGCTGAGGTGAATGGGATTGTTTGTACTCGCAGTGCAGAAAGATGCGGGGTTGTAGGACCCTTTATTCAGCCCAGCAAGGTGCACTTCCAAGGCCTTACAAGGTGGATCCTGAACTAGCGTCGATACAGGGATTGTTGATTGCGTCCATCGGCAAATCATCCTTCGTTGGCACGAACTTAAGACATGCACGATGAAGTACGACATGAGTCGCACCAATCAAAACGCACCAATCGAAAGCAGCCACTTCACCAACCCCTCATCATGTGGTTCAATCACTGGAGGGCATGTCTCTAGAGGAATCGATACAAATACTCCAGATTCTCCAGACTAATCGTCGGATTATGCGATGGCGACGACAAAATATCTGTATATTCCGCGTCGAAATTGAATAACCCATCCCCGTGCTGCACAGGGTCATCCCCGTTTGGCAATTTCGGGGAAGGATAAATCGGGGGCAATGAGTCGGATTGCAGAACAGGTGGAACGGCCGCAGTTCCCTCAAGACGCAGGGCTAACGGCGCATCCGCCCCTTTACTTTCATGAGTTCCGGTGTCACGCGTGAAATCCGCCGCATGCCTGTTGCAATCCGTCAACCGTAAAGTGCGGGCCGTGCTATCATCCAGACGCCGGAAGAAAAGCTCGAGCACCCAATTCTCCAGATCCCACGACTTTTGCAACTCCTGCAGACCTAGCAGACAGAGCCTTGCGCGGTGTTCGGCTAGTTTGCGGCCAGTACCGGTCTCTCTCCTGAACTGGAGGGTATGGGTGCACAGCGTTGAGAAAACGTGCGTGATTCTGACTCCTTAGCAAAGCCGAACCAAATAGGGAGTCGGACTTACAAATGAGTCGGCCCGTGCTGCACAAGGTTGTGCGACAGCATTTCTTCGATGATTCTCGTGCTTCGTGTGGCGGCGTCGACGGCGATCTGGCCGTGTCTATTCATGCCATCTTCCAGAGGGCGAAGGGATCGTGGTCGGTAAAGCAATATATACAGGTTACTAGCCCAAGGTGAGTCGCAGAGCACACCAGCGGAAACTCGGCCATACTTGTAAGTCATATACATTAGTCCAGTGAGGAACTTAGCCCGCGGGGTCACCGCACTCTCTTGTTTCAACTCCACCGGAACATTCGATTCCCATTCGATCAGCTGGTGATGCAGATTGCTTCGAGTCTCTTGGCTGGGTTGCGATCGGCTGGGGGAGTACTGTGTTGCGACAATCGTGCGGACTGTGCTGTTAGCACAAACATTTCCCAGCACCAGAACACGAACGTACGTATTCTCGCAAGCTTGGCCATTTCCACCGGATACTCCAGATCTCCCACCTGCTGCACCCCAAACACGGACGTGTCATCCAGCACTTCAGTCTCCCGAACATCATCTGACCCAAGCATAGCAACATCACAATCCTCATCACGGATGCGCGGCGGCAAACCCAGTGCGGCTGCACTCTGCTGATCGCGTGTCTATCCATAGCAGGTCAGTGTCCTACCCCAGATGCCTGAAAGGAGATCTCACATAAAGCGCCCACCAGATCCGCTTCCAAAGCCTCTCTTCCTTGGCCGACCGAAGCGAGAATTTTGCCCTGCGTCAAGTCACCCATCAGCCAGTCTCCGAACAAAAAGCCGCCCCCAAGGATGGAACCCACATCATATGCATCCCTCGCTTCTCCGCCAGACTAATGGCAATCCCCAGCCAATACCTGATACCCCTGTCCTCAGACGGCCCTCCCCGCCAGAAGCTGAGCAGAAACAACGCCTGCAGCTTCACCGTCTTGTCCGCCTCCCAGTCCGCATCGTAGAGCGCTTTCGCACGACTGTAGAAGAGGAACTTCGCTGAGTGGCGGTCCAGAAATTCCGTCTGGGCTAAGGCATCGTCCGTGCAGAGACTTACGCCGATAAACAGCATTCCGTGCAGCAGCAAGAGTGAGAGACTTCCCTGGAGGTAGGAAGACTGTGCATTCGCGCGGTCGAGAATGGGGAAACATGGGTGAAACCAGTTGAAGTACGCTTGTAGCAGGAGTGCACAGGTACTGGGTGAGGGGAAGGAAAATGCGCCGTCTGCTTGGAGTTGGTGCTCCAATCGCACTTTGCGAGCGCGCAGGGCTTCGTCGCGCGCGTGCGAGACATTTGAGCGCCCGGGGATGGGGTAACAGAGACGAGTTTGTGGAATGGTGGTGGTGGTCGATGTGTCTGGGGATGCGTGCTGGCCCTCGTCGATGACGACGGTGAGGGGGCTGGACTCGCCCAGAAAGACGGTCTGGTGGGTGTCGTCTGCTTGGTCGGATATCAGCGGGGCCGTAGGATAGCCGAGGTAATTTCTCTGTGGTAGGTTGTGCTGTTCATTTGCTAGTGACAAGGATACTTTGCTGTCTTCGATGTGGGATGAAGGCGAACGCGAATGCGAAGGCGTCGAGGTCTTGGGAGTGTGTCGGGCAGTCTTCTTACGGGGGTACCTTGTGGAGATTAGCAATGCCGCAAACTGATCAGAAAAATTGGAGATAGAACTCACTTTCCCCGTTTTGACACGCCAATAGTGCAGGGGACGTTCGTGGCAATGCAGTTGTGGCACGGGCGCGTCTCCTGCACATTGCAGCGGATGCGCCGGCGGTTGCAGTGGAGACACGCCTGTTTGGCACGGGATCGGGGCTGGTGTGGAGTGGAACTGTCCTGAGAAGGCATCTTCAGAGATTGCCTTCATCAGAGCGTAAGTGCGATTGGGGGTTGTGCAAGAAGAGAGGAGAGGAGAGGCGTGTGGAGGAAAGAGAAAGCATACAGCCGATATAGCCAAGTCGGCATCTTGTCAGTTGGCCGGGGCGGCATTGCTCGGCGTAAAGCCAGACAGCCGATGTATGACGCCACACTATCATCCCTTCAGGCTTCAGGGTCTGCTTGGGAGTTAATCTGACGCATTAGCAACTACTAAGGTTGTTGAGTTTGATTGAAAGTTTGATATCAATACTTCATAGTGATTGATAGTGACATGCAGCTATCTGCACTGAACACCCAGCCATCCAGAGTTACTCCCGCTCAATCCCCAACTCCACCAAAATGGCCTCATTATGCTCCCCCACATCAGGCACCGCATCCATCCGCACATCAAACCCCTCATCATCTAGCGACATTCCCGGCGGCACCAGCGCGGGCACCGTCCCAGCCGGCGTCGACACCGAAGTCCACCGATTGCGAGCCTTGAGCTGCGGATGCTCCCACACCCCCTGCATATCGTTCACCCTAGCATTGGCAATCGCCGCCTGATCCAACCGCGCAATCGCCTGCTCGACAGACAATTGCGAGAATGCATCGTTGATGATCCGCTGCAGCGTGTCTCGATTCTTCACGCGCAACGAATTATTCTTGAACCGCTCGTCCTCCGCCAACCGAGGCTCCCGGAGCACCAGTTCACAGAACTGGGCCCACTCGCGCTCGTTCTGGATCCCCAGCATCACCGACTTCCCGTCACCAGCCTCAAACGGACCGTATGGATAGATCGCAGCATGCGATGCGCCCGCCGGCTTCGGACCAGTTGCATTCCCGTACGTGTAGTACATGGGAAACCCCATCCACTCGACCATCGCCTCCAGCATCGAGATATCCAACTCAGCCCCTCGGCGGGCTGGGTCCCGGTCGCGGCGGTACAGCGCCGCCAGAATGCTCGAGTAAGCGTAGCTCCCCGCCGCGATGTCAGCAATCGAGATGCCCACTTTCGCAGGCTCGCCGGCAGCAGTTCCCGTCACGGAGAGCATGCCAGCCTCACTCTGGATGAGCAAATCGTACGCCTTCTTGTCACGGTAGGGCCCATTCGACCCGTAGCCGGAGATGTTGCACACGATAAGGGAAGGGTGGGTGGCTTGGAGATCGGAGTACGACAACCCCAGGCGTCCGCTGGCGCCGGGGGCGAGGTTCTGGACGAGGATGTCGGCTTTGCGCAGCAGCTGCATCAAGACCCGGTGGTCGCACGGCTCCTTCAAGTCGAGCGCCAGGCTCTCCTTGGAGCGGTTGGTCCAGACAAAGTGTGAGGCCAGCCCGTTGACGCGCGTGTCGTAGTGGCGGGCGAAGTCGCCGACGCCCGGTCGCTCGATCTTGATCACCCGCGCTCCGAGGTCGGCTAGCTGGCGCGTGCAGAAGGGGGCCGCGATGGCTTGTTCGAGGCTGACGACGGTGATGCCGGTGAGGGGGCCGGGTTGACGCGATGCGGGGGTGGAGAGGTGCCGGACGCTCAGCTGCCGGTGTGTGCGGAGGGTGCGGAGGGTGCGTGGGGTGACATGTATTGGAGGCATTGTGATTGAACCTGGGGAAGTGATTCATTTCGAGAAGAGAGGAGAAGGACCCTCACTGATCTGGATATATGGATAACACGGCGACTGAGACCTCGGTCAACATGGCCGATCGGTAAAGCGGGAATCATACTTGGTATTCGGCTATATGGGGGTGCATGCCTGAGGCCACTGCTCGCCTTGTAAGTTAAGTATCGATATGCACCTTGATTCTTCGATCAGACATTACCAATTTGTACATCTTTGTTATCTCTGAAGAAAGCATGGCGTGTTCTGACTTTCACTGTGTCAGAGTCGAAGGCCCATGAATACTACGTAGTATACCTTCCCTTCAATCATAATAAGTTACAACGTTAACAATTTACTCCGGAGTCGCTCCTCTACTCCTCCTCCTTCTGCTCGCGGGCCTTGCGGGCTCGCCGGGCAACCACATACCAGGAGGCCAGTGTGAGGAGGGTCAGTAGCACCGCCAGGACGACGAAGATCCAGAACGGCTTGGAGATAGTGAAGCCACCCTGGTCTCCGCCATCGAAGTCGAAGAGATTCATTCCGAGGATTGACTGGGACTTGATCAGTTAAGCATTTGTCTCGGCCGTAGAAAAACGGTGCAATTCTCAAGTCGCCTCAGGCGACACAGAGAGACCTAGGTAAAAGAGAAAGAGAAATACCAAAAGAGGGGATAAGGGGTCCAGGAACTGGGTGGGAGACTCACGGACACAAAGCTCGCAGGGAGAGAGATCAGCGTGACAAGCGTCATGGATCTCACTGTTGAGCTGTCGTCGAATGACTCGGTGCCCAGCTTGAACATCTGGCTGTTCACCTTGAGGCTCACAGCGATGGAGAGCTATGCATGCTACACGAGCAGCAGGCCTGATGGTTAATAGTTTGGTCGGCAGATAATCTAATAGGGTAAAAGAGGGAACTTGTCGAGATCTTGGTTGGTAGGTGGACCGGACGGTGCACTTTCTTTTCTTCTCCACGTACCGAATTTGCAACTGCCTGCAGTTCGTTCTCCAAGATTCGCGCCCCGTGTAGGCTAGCCGTAAGATCGGCTTCGTAATTGGAAAGCTCATCGGCAAAGGTGTGATAGTCCAGCGCCAGCGCAGCATCCGACTCGGAACCATGCAGTATCCTGTACACGTGGCTGAGTTGCTGCACCGTCTGCAACGTGACCGTGAGCCGTACAGCCAGTGAAGAGACTTTATTTCCGACGGGTTGGGGATCAATGACAGAGCGGTGCTGGATCTCTTCATCGTAACTGTCGTATAATGGTAGCATATTCACGAGCCTGCGCTGTACTCCCATATTTGAGATATTAGCACGGCGTTTTTGATTACTGTTCTTTTTCCTTTTCCAGAAGACATCGCTGGCATAAGATGGACAGAATGGTAAGAAGCAGGGAGAGAGAGAGGTTGTAAGACACGTGTGTCTGGTTGAGAATGAAGTGTATAAGGACGCTAGACTTCCGCACCGTGGTGTCAATCTCCCCTCCAAGATATGAGATGTACGGTCTCCAGCTTCTGACATACGCAGCCAGAATCATCCGACGCAGCAAACACCAATCCGTCGGGCAGTCGTAGTGTACGGCCTGGGTTGCCACAAACTGCTCCACTGATTGCTTAACAGGGAATTGGAGTGTATATGCACCACAATCCACAGGTTCTCGGAGTTGGTCGGGTCCAGGCGCTGAAAGACAGCAGCCGGACGGGGAACCCATCCCGGGAAATTGGGTTTATTCGGCTCGTACTCTGGGAAGGTGAGTAGGTAGTGCGTGTCTTGAGTGCCGTAGTCAGAGTCAGTGACATTAGATAGGCAAGCCTGAAGCCAAATGGGGGACAAACGCACCAATGCATCCATCCAATCGTGGCCGAATGTGCATTACCCCGCGGCCTGCATCAGCGCTTGTGGGCCTGCCTCCAAACAGATGCACTGGATCGAGAAAGGCTGGGTCAATCTTATATACATCAAGCAGGATCTGAAACGTGAACTCGGTGATGGCGAGGGGTCTGACAGCTATCGGAGAGGAGATAGATCTGATAAAGGATTAGAGATGTAGAAGTCCTTCTGAAGACTAAACTCAAGGGAGAGTTGTGTACACTATGCGGAACCGTGGCTTTGTTGTTGTGGTGATATGTCGCTCGAATTCATGGCTGTTGTTGAGACAACAGCGGACTTGATTAAGACCATCCATTGTCATCTCCGAACAAAAGGTCCTGGCTTGTGGGACGCTGACGTTGTCGGCGGCGAATGGCGGGGAAAAGGTGGTTTACGCGCCCTGAAAAGCGACTAGAGGAATAACTGCCACTGGCACTACTGCAGGATCCCCCTGTCACTAGAACGCCACAAATCTCAGTCATAACAAATGAGACTCTAGTGCTCATGGCTACAGCCACTGCTCCATCAGCCGAGAACACCAGGACTAACTCCCACTCTTCGTCATATCAAGAAGCCACACTGCTGCGCAGTCTGCCTCGCCAACTCCAGTCTCTTTACAAGTGAGGCAACCTAACCAGCAGGATTCGTTTTTACCAAGGCTTGAGTTCATGACTAGCTATATTTCAATTGATCGTTGAGGAGATCGCTTCATCATTTAACCACCTTATAACATGATAATATCTTCTCACACCTTGGGGAGAATGGAGCAGGTGTTCGAGATGTAACAGTGGACAGAGGTACTGTACAGAACATACCTACCTAATCACTCAAATGTGAGCATCCACAATGGTCCAGTTAGCCCGTATTAAGGAATGCAAGAGCACTTTCTTCCCAGTCTCGACCACGCAGCCAACACGCAGGCCAACAGCAGGCCAAAGTTCCGAACTATCACAATCCTTGATGCGCGCGTATGCTCCATTCGTGGGACCTTGATATAAGCCGCCTGAAGTGTTCCTCAATGTTAGTTGGAGGCTGTGGCGAGCTATTCACAAGAACGACTGAGAGTTCGTAAACCTTGTACCTCAGCAGCGTGAGGCGTTATTGAAGGAGCTACACCATGAATGAACGGGGCCCTTAAATTACGCCACCTCTCGCTGCGAGGACAAATACAGCCGGAAGGGAATGGTAGAGCTCCTGCTGGAGCGTGGTGCTGGCGTCGATATCCGCTCTCGGGAAGGCATGACTCCTCGAGTGGCCGCCGCCTATGGTGGCCATGAACGGTTAGTGCAGATGCTGCTCGGAGAGGGTGCCAAACATGAAGACCATTGCGACGAAGGCTAGACGAGGCTGCACTAAGCAGCTCAGGGAGACGAAGGAGCAGAGGTGTTGTATCAAACCTGCGCATATCTCGGTCCCGATGGCCCTATCAACCGCCCCATAGAGATCTGGGAGCGACTCCTCCGCGTCTACTTGTACGAAATGCAAATTTAGCGCGCGTGGAACCTGCTGTAAAGCAAAGACTTAAAGCCCTTCGGAGGCTACACGGACATCGACGTGTCTTGATCGATTGTTGAGTTCCCTTGCCTGGTGAGGCTTTCGGCTAAAGTACTGGCTACGCGATACGGAGTGTGTGCCTCAGCAATGTCTTGACAGCCCTGATACCAGACCCCCCAGCAGATCGGTCAGCATGTGCTTGGAGCTGAGATAACACCCTATCGACCATCAACTCGCATTTGGGATTTGGCCTGCTGCTTTCCGCGCCCTTTGCCATTCGGGAGGACTATTCACTGAAGGACTATGCCTCACCAATTTCCCGTCGCTGCAAAGAGCGATAACTAGAGATGCGCCTCGGATGCCCTCAGTGTCTGGACTTAATGGGAACTTTGATCTTATCGTCTGGCCTTATTATTCATCTATTCGCACCACACTCAGTCTGCGAGACTGCGTGTGATTTATATTCACGTGGACAGGCCAACTATCTCGATCAACCACTCTGAAAGGTGATGACAAAGAACCAGCGAGTACCCTGCACGCTCCATTCCTTAAGATAGACGTGGCACTATCTGCAGAACAAGTTGATTTCTAATATCCGGGGTCGGCCTCAACTACCGAATTAATAATAGACAGAGCCGTGGAATTACGCGATCCGCTCCCCACTTGGCGTGGACTGGCGTCATCCCGCGGTTATTAATTCTCCCCGCAACCCCTCAACTTCCCAACTTTCTTCCCCTCAACACCATCGCCAGAACATTCACTGTCACAAGAAAATGTCTCCCAAGATCACTCTCTACACCAACCGCCTGTGCCCCTGGGCTCACCGCGCGCACATCGCCCTCATCGAGCTGGGTATCGACTACGAGGAGGTGACCATCGACCTGGACACCCCGCGTGAACCATGGTATCTTGAAGTCAACCCGGTACGGCCGCTTTTCCCTACACTCCCCCCATCCCCTCAACACTAACAGCCTTCAAGCGCGGTCTCGTCCCCGCCCTCTCCTACGACGGTACCATCATCCTCGAGTCCGCCATCATCGCCCAGTTCCTCGTCGACGCCTATCCCTCCCACATCCTGCCCCCTTCCAACACCCCCGAGGGAGCTCTCAAACGCGCCCGCACCACCTTCTTCGTGGACACCTGGGCCAACAAGGTCTCGAGCCTGTACCACGCCACCCTGCGCTCCAGCGACGCCGACCGCCGCGCCTCCAGCGACGCCTTCGTCGCGGCCGTGAAGAAGGAGATCGAGCCGCTGATCTACCCCGCCCACAGCGCCGGCCAGGGCCCCTACTTCGAGGGCAGCGAGAAGCTCACCTTCGCCGAGGTGCTGCTGGGCTCGTTCCTGCTGCGTCTGTTCTCGCTGGCCAAGCCCGAGTACGGGCTGTTCCCCGCGGACCTGGTGCAGACGCTGGAGAAGGAGACGCCGAACTTCAAGCGGTGGGCGGAGGCGACGATCGCGCACCCGAGCGTCAAGGCGATTTACGACGAGGAGAAGGTGGCGACGCGCACGGTGCGGAGATATGGTCAGAAATAGTGCGTGCGAGATGGAGGGCGACGCCAGGAGCGGCGGAGCTTGCTGTAGGGAGTGCGCAGGGCTGGGTCCGGTTTTGTACTTGTTGTAGAATCAAGGTTCGGCAGAACCGGGAACGAACGGTCTGGAGGGTCGAGTCCCGGTGCCTCCGTGATGTAACCTTATCTTGCAGCCCGCTAAATATGCATTACTTCATTGATGACCTCAGTTGCGTCGGCCGTGGTCGGTGCTATTTATTGTGCACATGCTGAGAAAATGTATAAACACTTGGCATCGGGCGGGTGGGGAAGTAACACAGGGCAGAGTTTCCGCATAATGAAGTCCAACCCTCCCAGCGTGATTATCGTCGGTATGCTACCACTGCCCTCTCCGATTGAATTCCACATTGAATATTCTGTAGGCGCCGGCGCCGGCGGAATAGCGACCGCCGCCCGTCTGGCGAAACGAGGGTACCAGGTGACAGTGGTCGAGAAGAACGACGCCGTCGGGGGACGATGCTCGTTGATCGAGGAGAACAACTACGTTCGCAACCCCCTCTGCCCCAAGCACCTACACACCACTAACAGACCCAATATAGCGCTTCGACCGCGGGCCCTCCCTCCTGCTCATGCCCGAATACTTCGAAGAAGTCTTCGCCGCTCTCGACACGACCCTCGCGGCCGAGGGGGTCGAGCTGCTGAAATGCGACCCGACCTACCGCATCTACTACGCCGACGCCTCGCCGCCCCTCGACCTGTCCACCGACATGGCCGCCATGCAATCCGTGATCCAGGCGCACGAAGGGCGGTCGGGATGGGAGCGCTTTCTGCAGTTCCTGGTCGAGGCCGGACGGCACTACAACCTCTCGCGACAGCACGTGCTGTACTCGAACTACCCGCACGCGTGGAGCATCGTGAAGCCGGGGATGGTGCGCAACATCTTTCGGCTGCATCCGTTCACGAGCGTGTACGCGCGGGCGGCGCAGTACCTCCAGTCGGAGCGGCTGCGGCAGGCGTTCACGTTCGCGAGCATGTATCTCGGGATGAACCCGTTCGAGGCGCCGGGGACGTACTCGCTGCTGCAGTATGCCGAGCTTGTGTATGGGGTGTGGTATCCGCGGGGAGGGTTTCGACGGGTGAGTATACCTCCCTCTATCTAGTAGTACCCATCCACACTCTACATATACCTACCTCGCCAGCCCTAACTCCGCATTCATGTCCACAACACTAACAAAGCGAAGGTCCTCGACGCAATCCACGCCATCTCCACCCGGCACGGGGCAACCTACCGTCTCAACACACCCGTTTCACACATCACCCTCTCCGCCGACCAGAAGACCGCCACCGGAGTCCAACTGACGACCGGCGAGACCCTAACCGCGGATACGGTGATCATCAACGCCGACCTGATCTACGCCTACACCCACCTCCTCCCGCCCACAGCATACTCCACCTCCCTCACGAAACGCGAAACCTCATGCAGCAGCATCAGCTTCTTCTGGTCCTTCAACACGACCCTCCCCGCCCTCGAATGCCACAACGTCTTCCTCGCGTCCGAATACAAGGAAAGCTTCGACGCGATCTTCCACGACAAACACCTCCCCAGGGACCCAAGCTTCTACATCCACGTGCCCAGCCGGGTGGACCCCACCGCCGCGCCGGCCGGCTGCGACGCGCTCGTCGTGCTCGTCCCCGTCGGCAATCTGGCCCCCTCCCCCTCCGCCCCGGACACCGCTGCCGCCAAATCCCGCCCAGAATACTGGGACGCTATTGTCACGCAACTGAGAGAAACCATCCTGACCACAATCGAGTCCCGCACCGGCATGCCCAGCCTGCGATCGCATCTGATCCACGAGAAGCTGGAAACCCCGCTGACCTGGCGCGAGAAATTCAATCTCGATCGCGGCGCGATTCTGGGCCTGTCGCATTCGTTCTTCAATGTGTTGGGGTTTCGGCCGAAGGTGAGACATCCTGATATCAAAAGTTTGTTTTTTGTCGGGGCGAGTACGCATCCGGGTACGGGGGTGCCGGTTTGTTTGGCGGGGAGTCGGATTGTTTCCCGGGAGGTGGTCAGGGATTTCGAGGGGGGGAGGGGGTGGGATGCGTCTGGCTGGGGGGGTGCGGGGGGTTTGGGTTTAGGTTTGGTGGTGCCGGTGCTGGTGCTGGTGCTGGTGGCGGGGTTGATGGGGGTTTGGGTCGTGGGGTGGGTCTGGGGGTGGCCTGTTTGCTTTTTATGGTTTAGGTAGGTTGAGTGTCGACTTTGTGTTTGGTACTGGAGTTAGGGTTGGTGGTCCAACGGCATGGGGACAGAGGGTGGACAGTTTCCGCGGCTGCAATCAGTATACCAAATTGCACACAAACCAAGAGACCCCGCTAAAACATTCATTTCTACGTAAACCAAGTCGTTCATGCCCCTGCAGGCCACAGCAGGCGACTACAACATCCCCACCCACGCAACCCGAACCCGCCTCCCCACCGGCAACCGCGTCTTCCTGGCCGTCTGCAGACTTTCCCCCCTCCGTTCCCGCAGATACCGGCCAATCTCCATATAACTCTCCACCGTCGTGCGCACCGGCCCTCTGACCCCGGGCGGAAGCGCCTCGATCGCCCCCCGCGCCTGACCATACAGCCCCTCCGCCTTATCCAGCAACCTCCCCTGCATCGCGTACGCCGCCGGCGACCGGGGATCCTGCAGAATATCCGCCGGGGTGAGCCCCATCTCCGCCAACCAGGTCGTCGGGATGTACACGCGCCCGATCGCCGCGTCGCGGTGGATGTCCCGCGCGATGTTGACGCACTGCAGCGCCTTGCCCATCTGCCGGCCGGCGTGGACCATCGCCTCGGGGTCGTAGAGTTGGGATCGGTTGTAGTGGTGGTGGAGGAGGCCGAGGACGAGCTCGGCGACGGTGCTGGCGACATAGGTGGCGTAGCGGTCGAGGTTGGGTTCTGTGGCGATGGGGAAGATTACCTTTTGTCTTGCGGAGGGGGAAGCGGTTGTGAAGGCTAGGTCCATCTCGAAGCCTTTGAGGAGGTCGTAGAGTGGTGGCGTGGTCATTCGGGAGAGCGGGAGGGTGGCTACTGCGCGGTGCAGGAGGTGCTGCTTGGCTTGATTGTTGTACGGGGTTCGAGGTTTAGGGCTGCGTGGCTGCTCCTGCGGTCGGATCCGCGCATCCAGGCACCGTCGACACTCCGCGATCCAGAACTGGGCTTCCCCTTCGTCTTCGGCTTCGTCGATGAGATCGTCGATCACGCGGCAGAATGAATATCTTGTTTCTGTTAACGGTGTTTGTTGCTGGGGCAATGCGGTAATGGGAAGGCCTACACATAGATCAGATCCACCCTGACTGGCCCCTGGAACAGTGCACTCCCGACGAACATGCTCTGGCTCTTCTCGTGCAGCCGCGCGACGGCCTGCTGGAGGTCTGCAATAACAGAGGCTTCAATGGCCGGCGGGTGAAACACCGCCTGCAGGACGCCCTTCACCGCATTGCGCATCGTGCTGGGTGCAACGCCCGTGCGGATGGTGGTGTACTCGGCCATCGCACAGGCGTAGTCGAACCCCACCAGCCCGAAGACGATCATCACGTTTGTTACGAGGAAGAAAAGCATTTCCCTGTCGATCAATCAGTTTATATACAGATAGCAAGACAAGAAGAGGGGATGTACTCAATCTCCAGCCCGAAAACATGGACCCCCAATTGCGTCGCCGACTCAATCGACCACACCCCCGCGGCCATGGCGCTGCGATCTGCGACCCACAAGTACACAGTCGGAAGGACGATCGGAGGAGCAGTCGCTTTCCACGGCAGACTGACGATGAACGGGGAGACCAGCATCCTGACCATGGTTAATCCGGATCCTGGTTTGCGTACCCCGTGGGAAGGGGGAAGTCACCAACCATTGAAGAATCACAACAGGCAAAGCCCAAATTAGAATCAACCCCAAATACCTCCCACCCCCTCCAGATACAAGGCAACCCATCCCGATCGCGAACAACACAACCAACCCCAGCCCCCCTAGATCCCGCGCCCGCCGTACCGGCCGCCCGGGCAGGTACATGGGCAACACCAGCGCTTTGGAGCAGATGCAGTACACCAGCCCTGTGATGGTGGTCTGCAGGACGAAGAAGGCGACCTCCTCCAGCGGGATGTCGTAGAGTGTTCGGTTGAAGGTGGCGTCCGGGGGATAGGACCAGATCCCGTGGCGGATCAGGTAGGAGTCCCATGGTATAGTTGCGGTTACCGCTAGCTATCGTCCACGGTTAGATTTGATCTTGAAGAGTGTAGGGGGGAAGGGAGGTACAATATTCAGAAACGTGATCTTGCAGATGTCTCTCCTCGTGAAGAACGGGTAGTAGAATATAGTGAGTAGGGCTGCGACCGGGATGGTGTAGGTGCAATGGCTTGGTAGTTTCTTCGTTAGCAAGGTGACTCATGGTCATGTTCGAATGAAAGCACTCACAACCACAGATACTGAACCCCCATGGTGATCGTTTGGGTGCTCCGTCGCAGTGGACGCTGTCAAAACGATTCCATAAATACAAGGGGTGGCGGTGACGAGTGTGACCGGGAAATTGTTGGCGTCATTGATGTGCTGTGATGCAAGGTCGCATCCATGCGGCAAGGGCTGGGGCTGGGCTGGACGCCGGATAAGACCGGGCTAGTTGCCCGTGCCCTGACTCGCGCCGCCTGCTTGCGGATACCCCGGCGGGAGTAGCAGTCGTCCGATCTGGGAATCACCGGATTTTCGTCGGCAAAATCAAGCGCAGCTGCTGGAAATCCGGATCGCAAATCCCTGGTCTTGTTCTGGGAAAGTGAGATTGAAAGGGTGGGGAAGGAAGCGTGGAAGTGGGAGGGTTGAAGCTTGTTCGGGTTGCTGGTTCTGGGAGCATGGGAGAAAGAATCCCCACATTCTTAAGGTTGATCAGGGTAGAGCCGGGACGCTGACTGGGTGGCCGAATGTACCGGCATGCCGTTACTTCCAGGTGGATACCGGGATACTTGATAGTATTCCTGAGGAGATAGCTTGTTACCTATGCCGCTGGATTCCATTGTTCTATTATTGTAGTGGTAAAGGAGACGGAGGCTCCATGAATCGAACCTTGAGTTGTCAGTGTCTGGACTGCGTGGATGGAGCCTTCTTGTTCTTTGATATGATGCTTCACTCGATGGTATCATGTTGTCGGAAACCTAGCTAGACCATCAACTCTTGCTCGGACCGTTCAGCCAATATTAGCATCCCAGACTCTCTTATGGTACGTTCAGCTTGTTAGTGACTTGGTGGCGATTATAGTGGGGTAAATCGTCGACAATCCATACATAATGCTCACAGGCCGTGGCAACCGTTACCTGCGCCAGTGTTACAGCCAGAAAGAGGCAAGTCATGAGGGCACAACAGGTAAATCTCATGCAGGTTCAGTCATATTAGACCGGTCAGACATGGTGCCAAGCCTGTTGCACCTGTCATGCTGACTTGACTTTTGAACGGGGCTTGTGTGGGACGATCGCAGTGTAACACCCAATGTGACTATGCACAAGGCAGACACGGGGTATACAAACAGCCTAGAAGACGCAAAAGGCCTCGTGCTTATCATTGGCACAGCCCCGCTTACACGACATATATCTTGGTGACATCTCCCAACAATAACTCAGGATCCACCGATTTGCTATTTCCTAGTCTACACTGCTTGAACTTTCTACGCTGGAAAGTCCCCACCCTGACACCAACCCAAGCAAAATGCATGCCCTCCCTGTCCATGAAGTTCCCATCGAGTCTCCATCCCCATCCGAAATCTTCCAGCTACCCACCGGCGAAACCGGCTACCACTGGATCCTCTCCGATGCAGAGCGAAACCATATCGCCGAGATGCTCGAAGTGGAGGGTCGGTCATCAGACTCCATCGATCTAAAAGGCTAAACTGACCGCAATCAAGACAAATCCCTTCTGACCCTCCGCGGTAACCGGATGATGCGGGAGCGCGCAACCTGCTCCGGCTGCGGCAAGCACTCCGGGCTCGACGACCTCGTCCACAACGCTCTGTATGCCGGCATCCACGGCAAGGCGTTCATGTTGGACGTGCTGGTGCACGGGCCCAAGGCCGATAGTCCTGGGCATGAGATCACTTGCTCCGGCTGTGGATTTGTTCATGATGGCTTGTTCATGTGGATTCCAGCTCTACCCTGGTGATGTTGAGTGGACAATCTTGGCTCTGTTCTTAGGAGATTGGCTAAATTGATGAAATCTGCATTTATGTCAAGTCGGTTCGTCAGACCTAATGAGCAATCACTTCAATTTGCCAGATGTATATCGGTATTCGGCTCCTATTGGGTGTGTAGTTCTCGCGGTCGTACGTAATCGAGTCCTTAATCAACAGTGATCCTCACACTCTGACTCACAGTCGGTCTGACAGCCGTCCCATCCTCGCGCGTGCCGGCGATAGCTCAGCAACTGTCGCTCAGTCAAATGGTCCGGCCAGCTACTGTACCAGTCCAGGAATTCGGGAATGGAGTCAAAGCGCGGCCTGCGCCCGTACAGCTGTTGCGGCTCCCAGGGGTCGCAGTAGTCTACCTCCATGAAAACAATCCGCCATCCCCATTCACCAATATTGGGCGAATCCGGGACATCATCATTCCACTTTGGCTTCGTTTCTTCCTCCTCCTCCTCCTCCTCCTCGTCATCATCCGGATATTTGCGACAGTAAAGATAAGCACTATACCACTGGGGCCACTGCCCCTGATACCCTTCTGCCCCAGTAAGAACCCCCGCCTTGACCTCCAGATCGCAATCCACATCGGCCACAATCGTCGCTCTACCGAACAGCGAAGAATAATAGTCATTGGGCTGTTCCAGCGACTCCCGCAGATGCTCGCACTTTGTGCGCACACACTCATGGTATCGGTCCTCACGCTCCTGCCGCCGCCGTCTACCCTCCCCATCCTCATCCTCCTCGCCCTGCGCTTCCTCCCCTATCCCCTCCAACTCCTCGTCCTCAAAATGGATATCCAACCCAGCCGCAAACTCCGCCACCCCGGACTGCCGCACATCCGGATCTCGGACCTCGTGCGCGTACCGCAGGAACCGGCCCAGCTCCTCGCACCGCGGGATCACCCCGGGATGCTCGCTGCCCTCCTTGGCCGCCCGCGCCTCCGCCTGCCGCTGGAACACTCCCTGCAGCATATCCAGGTAAATCTGCCGCGCGGTCTCGGTGCGCAACCGGGCCGGGTAGACCCCGTCCATGCGCCGGTCGGGCACGGCGTCGTCGTCCACCATCTGGAGGTAGGGCTGGCCCTCGTCCCAGCGGTCTGGTTCTGGATTCCAGTCGCAGTGCCGCCACTCCGCCATCCGCTGGATTTTCTTTTTGCCGGGGGCGGTCGGGTCGCGGGCTTCCACCTCGGCGATGCGGGATTGGATGAAGGCGCGATTGGCGGTAAGCATGCGCCTGCGAAAGCGGGTGAGGGCTTCGCGCATGGCGATGTCTGTAGTGGTTATATCCGCGGACTGGGATGGGGTGTTCTGGTCGGCCATTGTGTTGGGGGACAGGTTTAAGCTGTAGGTTTGCGGCTGGTGACCACACCGTGGAAAAAGAGATAATCGGCAGCGCTGTAAATGGAAAGTGATTGGATGTCGGCTGATTAGAAGATCGTTTAACTGGGTTTTCATGGAGTACATGCACCAGCAAGCTATTCGAGCGTTACCTGCGATATGCTACAGCAGCATGTCTGAACCCTTTTTTTGTGACAATCAAGATGTTTCTCGCTAGTGTGGATCGGATCGGGTTCCATTGTGGGGCGGCTAGGCACCGATTCACACCAGGTTGCAGCTTTGCACCAGGTTGTATGAAGGAGAGCTAGTTATCTGATTACACATAATTGTATGGGATTCAGTCTTTTTCTCCCAACAATTGCAGGGTGTACAGTACCATTGAACGTTGGACAGTGCGTTCAGGGCAGTCCCGCCAAGAGAAAGCCCAGAATTCCAAGGCAGCCACATCGCTGCCTAGGTCTGACTTCATTTCCTCTGTTTCTCGCCCTAGGCTTCCCCAGCCCTGGGACTTCAGTCTTCACCCGGCACTCAAGGTACTTGACTCTTCAATGGACGACGACGAAGCTTCGAAGCAGTAAACCACTTGCGACAAATGTTGGATTGCCAGCCAGGTGCTCCGACTTTCCTACTAATTACCGAAATTGGCTATTCCTAGCCAGATTGAGGAGATTTAGTCTCTGAAGTTTCGTTTACTCCATGGCACTTAGATGGCAGTGCCGACTCGTCGCGTCAGTTAAGTTTATACCACCTCCCATGGTTTCTCTCTGTCGACCTACATGATTTTGTTGTTTGTTCAGAATCGAATCTAACAAGGCTTACCGATAATTCAATCACGCTTACACCGCCAATTTGCGGCGAGGACCTCTAGCAGCTGGGGTCCCAACTTCGATCCAGTGGGACCTTGAGGATGATGACAGGTGAGAATCAGCCAGAGGATGGTGTTTATCTGTGCAGGACTTTGCCCCACCAATTCTTTCTGTTCGTGAGACTTGCTCGGGTCTTCTGCTGCGGAAGAAATGGGTGGAAAGCCACACCCTTTCCGATAAATTGCAAGAAAGACGCAAATTGATGCAAAGATAGCCGACTGTCAATCAACACTTAAGTGATTTGTGAAATAGCAACCCCGTTATATCTGGACAACCTCAACGTAAACTAACCAGTGTGATTCTGGTTCCGCACATTGAATACTCGTACCATTCCCCCGCTTCTTCCTCTACCCCCGTCGACCTCATAATATCCTCCATCATCCCATGGTCCCGCCTAGGGCACTCACCACCCAAAGACATTCATTTGTTGAGCCTCCGTCGACCGAGAAACACACTGGCAAAAGTACATCTCGCTCCTCAAACTGTAAATCGTACTAAACGTCCATGAAAACCAAAGCATCACACACCCCATGAGCTACAGCACCGCTGGAGATGATCCCCATTTTCAGATCCCTACCGCGAGGCCGGCCCGGTATCCCTCACCCAACTAATGTCGCTCTACTGCCTCGAGACCGGCGATTTCCGGTCCCTATCGATGACGCGCCAGGGTCAGGTGCTCCTCGACGCCAAGCCCCAGGTCTTCTCTGTGATTGACCAAGGCACGCTGGATACTGGGTGGATTGCCCTGCACGCTTTCGGTCGAACGGACAGGTGGCGGCCTCAATGCACCTGTAGTCGTGGCATATGGGGGCTGAGATGCTCCTGGCGTGCGTGCAGGGCTGGCAGTTAGGCCGGTGGATTGATGAGCATCTTTCCCACTATCTGCAGCCTCATCCGTACGTGATCCCTTTGTTTTTCTTCACCCTCTTTACCTACGGTTTCAAACCTGAACGAAACAGCAGACTACACTACACTGCTATGTAGTTCTAATGTTACCGCACGGATTCAACATGGACCTGCCGTTACTGGAGACCATCGCCTCCGCCCATCAGAAAGGAGACTTACGGCTCACACATTACTCCCCGAATGACTAGGCGCGGAGGTTGGAGAGACTCACTCCGGGGGATGTTGTGCTAGAAGCCCAGAGCTTGGAGGCGGAGCATGAGCTGACCCACGTGTCAGATGACATCGATCGTTATGGATTCGAATGATTCTTTCCCTCTCTATCCCGTATTCTGATGGATCCACGCCAGGTGGTGAAGATGGTGCTTCTTGCAGCGGTGTCTTTTGCTCTAGGCCATCTCCTTTGTTTTCGAGGGATGCAAGGTTCAGACTAGCTGAAAGGACGACTTCATCGTGGTGTAACATGTGCTCGAGCGCCACAACATCCCCAATGAACCTTCACTACTTGAAGCTCAAGAGGTGTCTGCGGGATTTCCTGGGGGAAGAGAAACCTAGCAAATCAAGCCTTGTGCCCAGCATCGCCAGGGAGCTGACAGGGTATTGGCAATGGCTTGGCATCCCCAGACATCATTGACCGCCAAGGTCGTCGACTTCCGAATATCGCCACCGTATAATGTATCTATCCCTTGAGTGACAGTGTATTGAAAAGTCACATAAAACCAGCCAGTTATACATGCTACACATGAAGTTGTACAGTACACTAGTATGTTTGTGCGATCATAGAAGTCCGACGTAGGAGGATGCGCGACCGACAAGTTGTCCAGTATTGTATCCATAGTGTGTCATGTTTATATCAGAACCCTAACTATAGCTCCCTTGCCTTCTGAACAAACACCCCCAACCGACATCATTCATCCGACCGTCCCAGCGACTCCCTAACACGAAAAAAGGCACAAGCCAACCGCCTCCAATCCCCCGCAAACCAGATACGAGCACCCATGGCGCAGTGATATCGTGTTCCGACCCAGTGGATCAGGGTCTCGGCACCTCCCCAACGTCATTGTCCTCGGGAAGCCGACCCACGGTTCCAGCCCCCAATACGAACATGTCACTAAATATGACAGTCCGCAGATCTGAGGTACCCAGGTACATTACGGGGTAGAGCCAGACCCACATACTGTGATCTCGATGAGGCTTAAAATAGCATCGCGGGTGATTTGTCCGGCCCGAGGATGATCACCTGCAGGGCTCGTATCCTGTCTGGAGGAAATTTGATCCTACCCGAAAGAATTGACTTTTGCGTGGAGATTGGACCCTGTGATTTGTGGGGGTTGTGCTGAGAGGGCGGAACACGAGGTTGGAGGTATTTGGATGGGATGGGGACGGTGTTCTTGAGGGGAGATATCGTCGTGGGCTGTGTTATGCCAAGTATCGCCAAGGGGGGGTCGTGGACGTCATTATTTTGGGTAGGAGCGGGATGGTGGACTTGTCTATGGGTGGTGCTTGCGGAGAGGGATAGGGTTGCTGGGACGGTTGGGGGGATAAATAGCAGGTCCATCTCCGCTGCTTCATGGCGAGGTTCTGTATCAGATCACGAACGACACGCGCAGAACTACATCAATCGTATCAGACTTTGAACCAATCCCCCGAGCTTGCATCAACATGCATTTCTTCACCCTCCTCATCCTGGCCTACGCCGCGCTGACCGCCGCCGTGACCTGCGACGTCCGTGGCCAGGTCCACAACTACTTCGACTGCTTCAAGTGCCCCGCCCTGGCCTGCGGGTACAGCAAGCGCACCTTCATCACCAAGGGGCTCACGCGCGACGTCAGCTGTCTGTGGACCGACGGCGAGCGGTACAAGGGCATCAAGTACGTTCTGCCATCTCATCCTGATACTCCGTCGTGGTGTTCATGGTAGTCCGCTGACATTTGATGTAGTAACTGGTACTATGTCCCGAGTGACAAGTGCTATATCTGGGGTGGACGGATTGACACCAAGCACTGCAAAGGAATCTGTAAGTCATGGGATTCCTCCCTCGGCTCTAGAGATAGAAGAGCGATGCTCGGGTCACTAACATCCCGCAGCCAAAATCCCCAAGTGCGAGCCGTGCAACCCCCAGCCTGGAGCGCCGGTGCCTCTGCCCGTGGCTCCGCCTCCGGCTGCGGCTGCGGCGGCTGCGGCGGCTGGGGTCAGTGGTGGTGGCCCGGGAGGTCGGCGCGATTTGGAGGAGGAGAGGGATGTAGCGGTGGAGTTCGAAGCGTAAGCTGAAGTGGCAAGGGTTGGAAAGGGGTATGGCGGACGGTAGGCAGAGTGGGTAGTATGTCGTGGGGGCTGGTAATTAGGGTAACGCGATGTGGGATATGAATTCCGGGAGACTGTTATATGCTTCTTTTGAAAAGCCGCTACTCCTTGCCTGGATTTTAGTGATATTGACTGTTATGCTATACTTGTATCTTATTCACTGATACTTACGCTGCTGACTGCAATTCGCCGAACTTCAATCCTTGACCGTAAGCATACCGTGCCCCTGCTCCTGACCTACAAATCAATCTCCACCAGCTTCGCCGGCTCCTCCCCTCCTTTCGGCGGGGTGATATGGCCCCCATTCGTGGTCACAAACAATCTCCGCCCATCCCTGGAGATCACGCCGGAGGTACACCCAGCGACCTGGGCACTCTCCCTGGTGCCCGCCAGGACCGACCGCTCCCCGGCGGCCGTAACCCTAACCACCTGGTTATCCGCCACGGCCATGAGATACAGACCCCCATCCTCAGCCACGGCAAAGTCATCCACGACCACCCCCGACGCGACGGTCTCAACGACCCCGGCCGCTCTGACGGTCTGCGAGGAATCGTCCCACCGCACCGGCACGCGAAAAACCGCCTGCACGGAGTCGGTCGAGTAGTACACGAAGCCGCGCCACACGCGCACGCCGTTCACCCCGAGCCCCAACGGATCCGTCGGCGACGCCGCCATGCTGGCCGTATCGTTCAGCGCCACGCGGTACGTTCCGGTTTGGGTGTCGAGTTGCCAGATCACTCCATTCACCGAGTCGGCGATCAGCACGACCCCCGCCTTTTCTCCACCCCTAGCCTGAATCCCAGTCCCCCCGGACGGGAAAAGCGCCATCCCATTCAACCACCCCGCCTCGGGCACATCCGCCATCTTGCGCACGGACACAGCACCCTCATCGCCATCGCCATCCTCATCCTCCCCCGCAACACCCCCCGAAAGATCAACCTCATAAATCCCCCAGGACCCCGGAACAGGATGCCCAATGTCCGTGATCCGGAGCCGTCCCACGACGACCGCGTACACCCCATCCTGGCCCAGCGGGGTGATCCCCATGCAGGCCGTGGCGTTGGGGAAGGACGCCACTACCTCGCCCCGACCGGTGGAGACATCGATTGACCACAGTTCGGGGACGTCCATGCGGGTTACGAGTAGCGTTGGCGTGGTGGTTGCACCGCTCGGGGCGGGGCCCAGCGCCAGGTTTTCGAGCCAGGTTCCGTTTGTGCGGTATTGGAATTTGGTTTGTGGGGTTGTTCGCGGGGTTATGGCTTGGGCAATTGAAGGGGGAAGGAAGAGGAGAGCGAGGGTCCCAAGGATTGATAGGGGGAGGGGGAGGTGCATTCTGGTCGGGGTGCTGGTGGTGAGGTAGCTGGCGGAAGTGATAGGTTTGGGGAGGAAGGTAATGTGCTGCGCTGGGGGCGGCTCGGTGGGAGAAACGGTGCTTAAATACTTTACTTAGGGCTTGGGAGCTACACGGGACGGGTGATCGGCCGGTGCTACGTTACACCCTTGCTGTGGCGTGGCTTGCATACACTATTGGTGTGGTGCAGCTTGGCATATTTGATGTACAGTGCTGATCGACCTGCTATACTATCCAGAAGCTATGGATACATGACACTGCAACTATACAGCATACGGCATCTCCTCCTCCCGCAACCGACTCGCCCGCCGTCCCGCGTGCTTCTCGCGATCCGCCGCCAGCGTCTGCGCGAATTTACTCCGCGCCCGGATCGCCGGCCCCTTCCAGTAGAAGATGTAGATCGGCACCGCCACCAGTGCCGCAATGCACCCCAGCAGCGTCGACGCCCACGCCAGGTGGAACTTCCCGCCGATGTTCTCGTACAGCGGCGTCGCGTACATGGTCGCGATGCCTGCCAGGAAGTCCCGCGCGAACCCGTTGCCCCCCGTCGCGGAGGCGGAGTACGGCCCGTAAGCGGCGACCATGTAGTCGATGGTCGCCATGTAGATCGCGTAGTTGGCGATGGCGATCAGACACGCAAAAATCAACGGGGCGATCCACGGCGCGTACGCGGGGCCGATCGACGTCCATGCAAATCCTAAGAGGCCGATCGGTTCGAGGGGCGCGAGGAATAGCAGTAAGAGTAGACGTCGTTCGGCCAGGCGCGCCGCGGAGCCGTCTTTCTGGCGGATCCTGCGCTGCCGCCAGATATCCGGGAGGAAGATGAGGTACGCGATTATGTATCCGAGCAGGATGGCGCAGAACGCCAGGCCGTTGGTCAGGGTGTTGAAGCCCCACTGGTCGAAGACGAGGGTGAACGATTCCGTGAAGGTGAAAATCAACGCATCGGAGAACCCGGAGAGCAGCGACAGAAACAAGACGATGGGCTCGCGCAAAAACATCTCGAATGGTCGTCTCCAGATCCGCAGAATCTCGCGCAATTCGAGACGGTTCGTCTTGAGCTCGTTCGGGCCGTAGACCTCCTCCTCGCCCGACTGGCGTCGGCGCTTGGCCTCCCGGTCGAGGAGCACGGTGGCGCGCGTCTCCGGCATCAGTAACAGATGCAGCACCTGCGTAAAGCCACCGAAGATCAACTGCACCCAGAACACCCACTGCCAGGTCAGGTACTGGCCGATAAACCCCCCGAAGACGGGCCCGATGGTCGACCCGCCCACCGAGGAGAGCACCACGTACGCCACCGCGAACCCCTGGTCGTCCGCCTCCCACATATCCGCCGTCATGCCCAACGTGACCGATCCCCCGGCGGAGCTCAACCCACCCAGGAACCGGCAGACGACGATCGTCCCGAAGTTCGGCGCCAGCGCGCACGGGATCTGCCAGATGTTGACCAGGAACAGACTCAGCTGCATGATCGGCCACCGTCCGAACTCCTCGCTCCACGGCGCCCAGAGCTCGCAGCCGATCGCGTACGCCACCAGGAAGATCATCTGGCCCACCCGCGCCGCCTGCGCGCTGACGCCGAAGGTCTCCTCGATGCCGGTCAGGGCGTCCGAGTACACGCCCGTGTTGAAGTTCATGGACATCTGCACCATGAAGATGACCGTCAGGATCGTCCATTTCTTGTACCACGGGAAGGAGAAGCCCAGCTTGTCGTAGCAGTCGTCCTCGCTGAGCTCCCGCGTTCCGTCGGGTCGGGATTTGCGGGAGGAGGATCCATCGCTGTCGGAGGAACGCTGCGATGCGTGTTCGGTTTGTGAGGTGGTCGGATGGTCGGACTCGGAATGTCGGCGTTGAATGTTCTTGTTGTCTGGTGGGCATGCGGTCTTCTTCTCGTCGAACCCTTCTTGGTCTGTGTTGGGTTTATCGTTGGGGTGGTCGTTGAGCTGGGTGTCAGAGCTGGTCATTGTGATGGACGGTGCAGGAGATCCGTCAAAGTGGTTATGTAGGTATAAAGGAGGCAAGCAGAAAAAGCCATGAAATTAGTGTATCAAGCCCCACTGTCACTCAGATAGACAATGCTTAAATTGGCCTGGAATGCGTGGTAGAACAAATGTGGGATCGAAGGCCTTTATAGCCGCCGATCTATACTTATTTCCATCTCCATCACATGCACAACGTCTTCGCAGTAGTCAGTATTATGACGTTGAAGAGGACAGTCAACAGTGCCGTCAATAGTGCCGTCAAAGACATCTATCAGCATTGTCGGCGGTTTGATGGTTCAGGTACGGAAAAGATCTTCTCCTCTCTGGCGTCATAGCCTGGCCTGTCAGCCCATTGGCCCTGGGACGTACCACGGGCGGTGATGCTTGTTTTTGCCAGGCTGGTTCCACGCGTAGGCGATATCTCAGTCTATTGGCCGTTGATGCACGACTGACAATGGTGCATCGATATTCCGACTCCAGTAACCTGGTCGGCCTCAGTGCGTGGCAAGCCGGGGTTGTCCGGCGGGAAAACATGACCGGGGTCCCAGACACTGGCCTCCCCAAGACCCAATGATTTAATTGGTCTGCCTCCGGGTACGATAAAAGATATGAGTAAATCAGACGAGTGGACGGGGAGAGGAATTCACATGACGTCAGGCCGATAGACAGAAAAACTGGTGCCTGAGTCGGATATGTAATCCATCCCCGGCCTCCGGTTTCGACCGCTGGATGGGCGGAGTAAACCGCCCAGCCTTGTTCGTCGATCTAGCAGGCGCATCGGGACTGCCTGGCTGAACTGCCAGTCATTTATGCCTGAGATGTGTTGTGTATTCCGGTCTGTGTGATTCTTGGATGTTTCTGATATCTCTCAACTGGAATTCCTAATCATCAATCAAATAATGAAGAAATCACAGAGAATAGAAACATAAAATGAAAAGGCGGGGTCAAGCTTGGCAGTCACTGATGGCCAGACTGTCGAGGCAGGGCGTGTATAGCCTCAATACAACAATTGCGGGCGTTCGATGGAAAGAAAACACGTCAAGAGACGCGTCCAACTTAGTGTTGTTGACTTTTCCCCGTAGGAAATGAGCAAACATGGAAGCTGGCACTTTAATTGGTTGATGAGAACAAAGAAAGCGCAGACCCCTGCCCTGTCTATATTAGCAACAAACGGCCATTGCGGTATTCGAATTTCAGCGACAGAATTACGTGATAAATAGCCCTTCGAAATCCCCCTACGCAGTCATCCGGGGAGAAACAATTGAGAATGAAATAGTAAAGCTCCAAAATATTCCCAGTCGAGTAGATAGGCGAGTTGTGGTCAAGTATTGTAGGAAGTAGCAAGATGGCTCAGAATAAGGATTGCACACAAGCAAAACAACACAACCCCGTTTAGGAGATTTAGTTGTAATGCGGCGCAGGGGCAGTGCCACCCACGACCCAATCTCTCCACTTCTGAACTCCATTTTGCACGAGACCGCCAATGAAGACTTGCACCGGTCAGATCCATCGATATGGAAGGCGTTCGAGCTAGAACATACTTGGAAAGGCTTCATCGGCTAATGGCTAACGTGCTTTAGCATCGAGTGTATGGATGTTTAGCCCTGGTCTTGGCGTAAGCAGAGCTCACCCTTAAAGGTTTCAACTGCGCCGCTCGGCCTCGATGCCGCTGTCATATCATCATCCAACATCGCACCTCGATAAAGATTGACTCCAGAATGGTGTCGATTTGGTGGATTGCGATCGGACTATTCTCGATCTACAGAGCCCTCTCCTTTGTGCGCCTGTATATCCAAGCCCGTCGCACCGGATTCCCCATCGTCTTCGCCCCCGCACCCACCGCAAGTGCTCCCTGGTTGGTACTGGCTCCGATCTTGCGCCCATATCTGCAGCCAGTCCTGCCGGAATGGCTATACAACCGCTTGAATATTGGGACTCATGGCTGGGAGTTCCGCATGAAACGTGGCCCCTTTGACCGCTGGGGGAACACCTTCGTCTTGCTCACCCTCGATGAATGCATGGTCTGGTGGGTTCTCATTCGAGGTTGCCAGTGCAGACATCTTTCTGATCTATTTGTGCAGGACTGCAGATGTCAATCTCGGAAATGTCATCCTACAGCGCAGGAATGACTTCGAGCAGGCCCCTATTGTCGGAAAGATTCTGGGTTTTCTGGGACCTAATGTGTTTGCGGTACGTCAGCCATCTCTCCCTCTTCTGCTCTAACACTGATTTGTGATAAACAGACCAATGGCGATGAATGGTAGGTGGCCCTGATTGGAACATCATCTCCCTCTAAACTCTTGCAGGAAACGTCACCGTCGCATGTTTGCTGCTAGTCTGGACGAGCGCATCAGCCAAATCGCCTGGTCAGAAAGTCATCAACAAGCGGAACAAATGGTAAACTATCTCTCTGCCCACCCGGGGGGGGACTCACTTACCGGATTGCGCAACCTCGCGATGAACGTGATCGGTCAGGCTGGGTACACGAAGACCACCTCTTGGTCGCCGACACCGCTTCGAGATAGCCCCGGCCAGGAGGAGCACGCTCGTACGGCCTACTTCAAAGCCCTCGCGTTGGCCACCGATTTGTTCTTCGTCGCCGCCTTCATTCCCCCCAGAGTCCTCAAACTATCCTTCATGCCAGCTCAACTGCGTCTTCTGGGCCAGCGTCTCGAAAAGGTCCCGCAGTACATCGCCGAGATCTCCCAGGAGGAGCGCCAGACGGCGAGGGATGACTCTGTGGGGCGCAGCAACTTCCTCCGCTTCTTGCTGCAGAACTCGGACACGGACACTACCTCGGGATGTGGTTTCACGCCTGAAGAGCTCAGTGGGAACCTTTATGTCTTCACGGTTGCGGGGTACGAGACGACTGCCAACACCATGGGGTTCGCGGTGACGCTGTTGGCTGCATATCCGGAATGGCAGGAGTGGCTCCGCGAAGAGCTGCGTGAGCTCCCTGCAGATTCGTCACCTTGGTCCTACGACGACGTGTTTCCCAGGTGTCAGCGCACATTGGCAATTATGGTACTCACCCCTCCCCTTCTGACCCTATAGCTAACCTTCTAATGATATCACCCAGCTCGAGGTCCTCCGCCTTTTCACCCCGGTTCTTCATTCGACCCGCGCTGTGTCGGGGCCCCAACAGCTTGTCAGCGAAAAGGGCACGCATTTCCTCGCGCCGCCGGTGAATGTCATGGTTTCTGCGACGGCCATTCATCTTGACACCACGATTTGGGGAGAGGATGCCACACAGTTCAGACCCTCGCGCTGGATCGATGACACCGGAAAAGTAAAGACCCCGCCGAAGGGAACGTTTCTTCCATGGTCTGGCGGTCCCCGCGTCTGCCCGGGGATGAAGATGTCCCAGGTGGAGTTTGTCTCCACAATCGCCACGCTGTTTCGGTCCGCGCGGTGCGAGCCGATCCCCGTCGACGGAGTTACGCAACCAGAAGATCTGCGGCGGAGGTTGGTGCGGTTGACGGATAACGCGATTGCGAAGTCGACGTTGCAGGTTAAGGATCACAAGACTGTGCAGTTGCGGTGGGTGCGGGATGTACAATAGCTGGATTTCTATTGCTCTATAAGCTTGAATATGTTTACAGACGAGTTTAGTCTGAGATACAAAGCATCAGTATATTTTAAGAATCTACTCGCACACGAGATGTCTGTGATGCCAGGGCATGTATTACTGCAAACTGGTTCATTCAAGGATCGATGGACCCAATTTTCTCGTGCTCCCAAAGCAAAGCATTCACTTTCAAGCACCAGGCTACTGATCTAGGAGACACCAATCACTGTAGGCCCCCGGCCTAGCAGCCTGAATCGGGGCCTAACGGTGTTACTCCCGGCACTGCACTCTCCAAAGCCGTCCCCGGAGTCACCGTCTCCTACTCTCTCACCACCAACACTTCCTCTCTATCTCCTCTGTTTATATCGATCTCATCTCCACCACCCACCTCCACAATCCTTAAACCTTCTTACTTTGAACATACAACCACTACATTCCAAAACCAGTACGGAAACAAAAGTCGTGCCAGAATCTGAACTTGATAACTAACAATTTATAGCATCACAGAACCTCACCTGCGGCCTGACGCCCCAGCACCCTACGTCTCACCGACCCAAACCCGCTCTTTGCATCCAAAACCATCAGCACCATGCGCTGCGAATGTGGATTCCAGAACATGACTCCTAAGGACCCCAAAGAGGAACCCAGGGAGCGCTGTGAGGCCTGCAACCGCCGCATCGCGATGAACTACCCCTTCCACTCGCCCGACAAGCCTCGTCCCAAGCCCAAGCCCAAGCCCAAGTCCGAGGACAAGACTAAGGGCCAGCCCAAGCGCAAGCCCGACGGCAAGGGCGGCGCGAGCATGTCGACCTCCAAGGCCAAGTGAATGCAAGCCACGATCCGCTGCTCTGGTGGTGACATGTGGAACATGGATATGGGAGAGAAAATGAATTCTACAAATGGAATGGTCAGTTGATGCACTGATTCCTAAGGTATGTGCGTCCGCGAGAGGATGGTAAAAACAGCTAACTAATTGAAACCAGATCGACGAGAAACATGAAAAATCAAGAACAAAAGTTGTCCTTTGTTTCGGTAATCATTTGGCGTGAAGCGATGGCCTTCGGACGGATTAATCCTATCATCGGTGGGAGGGCTTTGATGTCTTCAACTTACAGTTTTTGTGTTCTGGGAGATTCTTTTTTTCCCCCAGAGCGTGAGGAAAGTTTGTAAAGCTTTGAGGCCTATTCTGTCTTTCATTGGTTGCTTGTGCCTTTGTACCTACCGGATCTCTAAGGCTTGACAATTGACTCTTTTATTGAGCACTACCGCTATCTGACATGATAGTTGTAAGAAATACATAAAGCGACGTAGTACAGGTCAACAATCATTGCATTGTCTTGAAGACAGTGTCAAAGTGTGAGAAATGTGGACAGGCAGGCATAAACATGTAGCAAGTGATTGCGAACTTCACGACTTATGCTCCATGGACTCATCCTCAGTGGAATCATCCTTGTCGGACTCATCCTCTTCCGCTTCACCCATCTCAGACTCATCCTTTTCGGTGACACCCTCCTCGGATCTGTTCTCTTCAACCTCCTGTATGAGTTCCTTCGCTCTTTCATTGTCCACACCGTGGCAAAGCCAAAACCAGTCCAAGTACCAGCACTTGGCTTCGCGCGTTTTGGGCATGTACTGGCGCAACAAACCTTTCCATTTCATGTCTTCCAAGCCTTCACTAGTCACGATTGTACGAGTATACTCCCACCAAACAGGATAGTATCCGGCGGCCTCCCAATCGATGATACCGCTGAGCTTGCCATTCTGCACCATGATGTTGACATGTGTGAGATCATTGTGAGTGTAGGTAAAAGGCTGAGTGGGTGGCATAGAGCGTCGAAGCCGGCAGCGCACCGCCTCCGGGACGGCTGGGTCCAGGGAGGCCGCCAGGCGATTCCACACATAATCATCAGACGTAGGATCCTGGGCAGAGTCACAGTTATCTTCCCCGCGGCGATATTTATTGAATACCGGACGGCCGTCGAGACATTCGAGACGATCTGATTGGAGAGAGCGGAGCTGGAGGAGATACTCGGCAGTCTCCTTCGCGATGTTGTCTTTCTGGTCGTCGGTTAGCTTAGACCAAGCCTCACTAAGGTTTTCTCCAGGTATGCGAGTCATGATAGTCAGAGCGTGACCGTCACCTTCCTCATGATGCGCGATCACGGTAGGAATAGGAATAGTGGTGTTCTTCTTTACAAAGCAGAGGTTTGCATTTTCATCGGTTGGACAACTTGGGCCACGATCCTTCAGTATCAGTTGAGAGCCCAAAGCCCAAACACCGCGATCCCCAGCCTCGTAGAAGAGCTTGACGTGGCTCTCGTAGTTGCAGCACCTCTGTCGTTCAGGACTGAATGAACATGCGGAACAAGGTACGGTGGAGCGCCTGGTGAGCATACCACTAGCACGTAGTTCTTCCATCCTAGCCAGATGTGATGCGGTGTCCGGATGTTCGATCGTGATATAATCCTTAGTGCGAGACTTGTTGGGGTTCTCGGTGGATGAATCATCACCAGACTTGATGGGGTCTTCGCCAGTAGGTTCAGTGGATGCTTCAGCTGACAATTTCTTGGAAGTCCCTGAGATGGGGACGCTGGCAGACTGGGTCAGAGACTCGGCTGCTGGCTCAGAAGTCGTCTCAGTGGTGGCCATGTTGACAGGTTCAATGCAAGATTCAGTGGTGGGCGCAGTGTAACTATCAGTAGCTACTGGAGTGGGAAGCTCTAAAAAAGCCTTAATGGCAAGCTTGGTCGAAGTCTCAGAGATGGGATCATTGGCAGTGTGGGTGGAAGACTCGGTTGTGGTCTCAGTAGCCGTCTCAGAGACGGGCATGGCGACAGGTTCAACGCAAGACACGGTGGTAGGCGAAGTGCAACTCTCAGTATAAGGCTCAGTGGTAACCTTATGAGAAGCCTCAGAGACGGAACCGTTGGTAGTATGGGATGAAGACTTGGTTGGCTCCTTAGTGGCCGTCTCAAAGGTGGGCATGCTGACAGGTTTGACGGAAGACTCGGTAGTACGCTCAGTGAAAGTCTCAGAAGAAGGCTCGGTAGGGGTCTCGGGGACGAAGTCTTTAGCAGTCTCAGGGAGAGATGTGGTCGTACTTTCAGTGTGAGTCTCAGCTGGAACCTCAGTAGGAAGCTTGACAGAAGGCTCAGTGGGACTCTCGATGACCGGATCGGTGGAGGCCATGATGGAGGATGCGGAGGTTGGATATGAGAATGGATATGGAGAAAATTCAGGGGCGAGGGTTGGAAAGGAAGTTGTTCGCGAGAGTGATAGTTTGGATCTAAAGCCAAATGTTTTGTGCCAGCCCGAGTGTTGCTGGGGTTCCTGTTTGGGAAGCAACAATTCATCACGTGTCGAGCACTGACCTGCCTTTACACTTTGCGCATACCTTTCCGCTTCAACTCAATCTTCCATTATTATTTTTGATTTCCATCCTATACCAGTATCGCAGGCGATCCTTGTGGGATGGAAGCTGGTGGGATATATCTTAAGTATTCTCCCTATTCTTCCATCACCATCGTTATGAAAGAAAACAAAAGGATGTTGCTTGTACTGCTTCGCTTCAAGGTTCGAGTCTTCATGAAATCTGTGGCGGAGTCTAGCTCAGAGTGATTCTCGGATGAAATGCGTCCTCATCACACAATGTGCAGCCCGTGCCAGTCCCCACGATGGAAAGCTTAAAGACTGACCAGAGTTGATGTATATAGTCTATCGCACCAACCCATGTCTTCTATCCAACCTCCGTGGTTATTGCACATGCAGACTAACAGTCCTCCTAGTCAAACAGACGTATCTATCATCTACCCCGAACCGAGCGCCTGGTTAGCGGTGACAAGCCCATTACAGTGCAGAGATAATATCTCAAAATACACGTGAAACAAGCTATGGGTGTGAGTATGTCGTTGCTTTTGCAAGACCTCGACAAGTTACTCTCTCTTCAGCCAGAACACCCCATTTCTCACCAGAAAGCTTACATGATTATCATTCATTCTTGGTTAGGTCGATTTTAAATAATTCTATCAGCGAACCGTCGAAAATGACTGCTTAGCTGATCAAGTGGTTCATGATGATGAGTTTTAAGGACACTGCATGCAATTCTTCGGTGCTTCTGTTTACACCCGCAAGGGATCCGGTGCAAGGATATGCGGCTCGCGTTCAATGACGTTATTGTCAAAACTGTGGATCATCCGGCAATACTCCTCAACCAGGTACTCTACCTGCCGCTCACTAAGAATATGACTCGAGACTGCAATCTCCACATGCAGCCGATTCGCCTCGGGAACAATGTGCACATTGGCACTCTGGGATGGATTGTTGGGCAATGGGTAGTGGCTGGCGTGGCACCGAACTCCATCAAGCCAACACTCAGTGGGAAATTCATAATTGCGGACTCGCACGAAGCTGGTTAGCGGAGACGCTTCGGGCCAGGCGGTGCAGTTCTTCACAATGTCTCGATGTCCCAGCGCGGAATAAGGTAAAGTCAGAAGGTGCTGCTCCTGGATTGTGCGAAGGACCGCCAGCTTGAGAGTCGTTGGCTCTAACGAGACAGAGACGGGAACGATGCTGATACAGGGGCCCAAGATGCGATCCGCATGCGCCACATTGGCATTGCGTCCGTGCACCACTTGTCCGAAGACGACGGATGCGGAAGTCTCAGACTGCGAAGCAAAGCACCGAAGAAGCGTGACAGCCCATGCTGCCTTGAGCAAGCTGGATAAGGTGATGTTGACTGGCAAGGAAACGGCAGGGATTGTCTTTGCAACATTAACCACATACGCCGGCCGTGAAGTACTGTCCTCCGACCGGGAGATGGGAAGCCTGTGCTTGCGCAGTGAAGTCATGTGTGATCCCTGCAGGACCTTTCGCCAAGTATTATATGCGACCTCCGTCTGTAATGCATGCAGTGCTTGGAGGTGAGCCGAAAATGGGCTTGTTGGAGGCAATGTCTTCTCGTTGTAAAGAGCGGCGAAGTCGCCGACGAGGATAGAAGCGGAAAGGCCATCGTACAGCGCATGGGCGAGCCGGAAGACAAGGAACACTTTACCAGATGATTTGGTAGCCACCAAGTGTGTGGAAAACGGCGGTCTACCACTAGTTGGGCTCTCTGCGACGGCGTTGTCGTCCGAACAGAACTGGTCAAGATCATCTATTTCAACGTCACGAATAGACACTGTCCACTCTTTCAAGACCACCTGAGCATATTCACCCTTATTACAGACAAAGGCCGTTCGCAGAATCGTATGTCGAGAAATGAGCTTCTGGCAAGCACGAAGCAGCCGGCTGCGATCAAAATTTAACGGCAATCCGAACCGATAGTAGCGGTAGTTCATCATTGTCAAACTCGTCTGTTGGAAGTCGGTAAGTGGCAGGAATTCGAGCACCAAAGATAATGATTCCGCCGGGAGTAGTCGACGCAAGCTTTCTTTCTGATCATCGGCGACTTTCTCCTTGCCTTGGCTCGTCCGCACTGCCTGGTGCCCGTTATGTGAAGGTTTTGGTGCCGATGCCTTCGCCATGTCCGACAATACTGGGCAGTTCAGGATCGTCTCTTCTGTCAAGTGAATACCTTCACGTCCAGCGAGCGACGCCAGCTGAAATGATGTCATGGAATCCCCCCCGATTTCGAAGAAGTTGCTGTCGGCTCGGACCGTGTCTTCTGGAAGCTTAAGCAGCTGAGCAATCAATTTATGCAATAGCCTTAATCGAGCCGGTATGTTATCCGGTGCATTGTCAATTATAGGAACTTGCGGCCCTACTGTCGCTTCGTCCAAGCCTGACCGGATTGAAATAGCCGCCGGGGTCGGACGAGGCTTTTCTTGCTCATAATATTCCTCGTTAGATAGTGTCAGCATCTCAGATACCACGGTCTTCAAGCGGACCCGATCGAACTTCCCTGATCTATTCAGGGGCATGTCCTGGATAAGAAGAAAATGAGGTGGTATCATATATTCAGGGACCCGAGTCAGCAAATACTCCTTGGCGATTGCTGCCAATTCACAGTTCAAATCGCATCGAACCATGTCTAAACCCCCTGAATCCGATGCCTTTGAATCTTGCGCCGAGTTTAGGTCAGTTTCAATGACTGCAGCGAGCTGCACCCGCGCAGTCTTGTTGCAACTGTTCAGTGAACCTACTGCAACAACGGCAACATTTCGCACCCCGCGACTCACGAGCTCCGGGCACTTTGCAAGATGATGCTCAACTTCCCCGGGGTCTACCCTTCGGCCGTCCACTTTGACCACGCTATCTTTCCTTGAAATGTACTGGATAGACCCGTCCAGATTGTACCGTACCAGATCTCCCGTGCGGTAAAGCCGCTCTCGAAAGCTGCCATATCCGTAGGGAGTGAGCCGAGACTGCCAGTCGGCTGACTCCAAGAACACGCGACGACTTTTCTCATCGTCGCCCAAGTATCCCCTTGCAATGCCCTTGCCCTGAAGCACTAGCTCTCCAACGGCGCCCACGGGCACTAGACGGTGCGGGTCATCCACGTCTGCGACCCAGAGGCAGTGGTCGCAGGCATACCCAATGCTGCGTTCATCCCATCCTGGCTCAAATTCTGGGGCCAGAACGGCAACCCCAGCCGTTTCAGTCGCCCCATACCCATACATCACACGAAGATGCTCTGTCCACTCCTTCATTTGGGACATACCAATCGTTGTCCCCCCTAGCAAGAGGACACGAAGAGTTGGGACATCTGTGGGCTTCAGACTGTTTAGGACAACTGGCGTCAAAAATGCATAGTTACCCCGGTGGCGGTTGATGAACCCTGCCAGATCCGTACGTATATCGTTCTCGGATGGAATGCAGAGACAGCCTCCCACCATGAGCATGAGCAGAATTTCGCGGTTACACAGGGTAAAACCATTCGCTGCGAATTGTACACGGCGGGTCTCCGGCCCCAACCTCAACGGGCCGATCGTTGCCAGAGCCGAGGCAGAAAATGCCCCATGCTCAAGTATAAGACCCTTGGGCTCTGATGTACTTCCCGAAGTGAAGACCACATACAGAGCATCTGACGGGGATGATCGATCTTGTTGTTGCTGTAGAGCTTCATTATCGATATCCTGGTCGAGAGATGCTGCAGCATCTTCAATAATGATGATCGTCCCAGTCAAGCGATAAGCTAGCGACTCGCACCCGCGCGAGCACGCTACCAGTGGCGCTGAAACTGTCCGGACTATCTTCTCAATGCGCTCAAATGGATGCGAAATATCCACTGTGAGGAAGGAGCCACCCGCTCGGATCACGCCCAAGGCCGCGACCACCAACCATTTGGACTTTTCCATGAGAATAGGAACAGTCACCTCAGGGCCAACGCCAATCTTTAACAGCCTTGTTGCAAGCCTAGCGGTCAGTCGTTCCAGCTCGCCGTATGTGATTTCCCCGTCCCAGGCCGAGATTGCGGTGGAGTCGGGCCGTTCGCGACACGAACGCAGAATGATCTCCGTCACGCATTGGTCCTTGGCGGTCCTCCTGAAAGGCATATTCCACCGGGCCATGCGTTCAATATCTTCCTCGCTGCACAGGTCCAGGTTTCTAACTTGTTGCTGGGGGTCTTGAATGACAGCGGATATTGCGTGGTGGAAGGTTTGAGCCACTGCCTTGACCTGCTGACAGGACCAGCTCATAAGGTCAAAGTCAATCCTTGTTCGGAACATCAAGCGGTCGTGGCTGGAACTGATCTTCACGAACAGGCCAGTCTGTGCATTGCTTAGTTCAGTCGTATTCTTGAATGAAAGTGCGATGGAAGGAAGTACTTACGCTCTTCGATCCCACAATCTGATCCCATATCACATCGTCCAGCTCCACAGCGAGCATAGTGTTACAAACACCATGTGCGTCCTCTTCACCATCCCTGCACAGAGAACCCGAGCTCTGGCAGGAGCACTCCTCTTCCTTGCCTTGCTCATTCGCATACAGTAGGTCTTCAGGGCTACTTGCCCCAGTGATGTGACAATCGTACAACTCGAACTCCCTCGTTGTCCTCGCGGCAAGCTCGAAGCAGATGTGATCCAGAGAGGTATAGCTTCGAAGCACTAGAGCCCAAGCCACTCGCGCTAGAGAATCTACGCTGCATCCACTCTCCTCAAGCCACTTCTGCACATCTGCTTCGGGCCACTCTAGCACTAGTGATTCGCGCTCTCCCGGCTTCGGCGCGGCTCCGGCGGAAGCATCAGCACGGGCAGAAACGGGAACAGTAGGGAGGATACATGGTGGTGGCAAAGCAGCTGTCCTCATCGTCACGATTTGTTTCAAAGCTAGGGAATCCTCTTCATCGTTGGCAGCGCTGGCCCACGGCTCAATTTATCTGTCTCACCGAACGACAACAAATTAAAATGACGTACTCCCGCAGCAAGGGGAAATTTGCCCTCGCTTGCCTCCACGCCAAACCAAGGAACACTGACTCTGCCGTATCCCAGCTTGAAATCGGCTTCCAAGATTATTACCTAGATCGGAGGAAATCAAGATGCGCTGCTGGAGAATACCGTCGCCGATCCGTCACACAATCGCTCCATGCAAGCCGCATACCCCAACGAGTGAAGAACAAGAAAATGCATCGGATGAGCTCGTCAAAGCTTAGCGCAGCGGTCTTAGCGGTCTACAAGCCTCATGGAAGAAGCATCGATGGCATGTGATAGTCGTGCGACAACAATCATATGTAAGATTACTCGCCTCCATCTTGAACGATGGTGGCTGCGGATTCGACGAATAGTTATCTTTCCGCAAGTCCTGCGCAAGGGCAAACTCAAAACGGTCCTTAGATAGAGAGCCACTGACTCGTACCCATTTTCCCTGCATCAAGTGATCTACGCTTCCACTGCCCGCTGAACGGATGACCGAAAGACGGTGAGAAAGCCCACACGGTCGGTGCCAACCCTGAACATGCGCGAAAGCATCATAGACTATGATAGGATTTATAGACAAGACCAGGAGAGAAGGTGGCATCTTATTTCCGACAAGATTGATTGGCACGGTGTCAAGTAACACACTGTGGCACATGCAACTCACTTCTTTTTCTCTCCGTCTCCCCCTTTGCTGTTTCCGAAACCTGCCGCCTAATAACTATTCCAACTACGCGCACTCCTGTCTCAACAAAGTTCGGTCGGATTTGCTGCATACTCACCAGGGTTAGGAGAACCATATGATCCCAAATAGCGTGAGCGACTGTTCGTAATCCTACTGTGCACATCGATTGCTGTGTCGAGCCTAGGATGTGCGATGCGAATCATTTGTCATCTTCTTGGGTCCATCCTCAAGAATCTCCCCTTTGACTTCATCGGGGGTTTTTCCATCAGAAGCACTAGCCTCCTGTCGTCTTTCGTCATGATAAGACTATACACAAACTGGTAAGGGTGCTTGTAGGCTGAGAGCGAACGAATCCGAGCATTCAAAGAGGAGATAGCGCGAGCTAGCATTTATGGCTGTGCTGCTGCCTCTCCGTCTCCTAGAGGACCAACCTCTGAGCGAATCCTCATGCGTCGTTTTGTGTTGATACCACCTCTCGGGCTTTTCAGAGCTGTCGAGCCACAAAGCTCAGGGCTACCTATTGGAGAGGGATTGACCCCCACTGTGTTTCTCACAGTCAGCTTTTAAATGCAATGATGGCTTCTATGCCTTGAACAGCGGCGAGCTCTATAACCCGACAAAGGATATAATGGATCCTGCGGATGAGCGCAACAGAAACAAAACTAGTGAAGCGGTGTACTTCATGCCTGCCAAATTTGCTCAATGGGTTGAAATATCTTCTTGAAACGCTGTCATTATTATCAGCTGATCGGTAGCATCACGATCGTCTATCATGATGGTCTATCTACAATCGACTCCCCATGTTGATGTGGACCGCCTTTATCTGCGAGTACGCCTCCAAGCCAGCCTCACCCAGCTCCCGACCAATACCACTCTGTTTCACTCCTCCGAAGGGGATGCGGGGGTCGCAGTCCTGACTGCTGTTGACCCAGACCATACCTGCCTCGAACTCCGCCGCCACCCGGTGGGCCCGCTCCAGGTCCCGGGTGAAAACTGCTGCACCTAGACCATATGTGGTATTGTTGGCGCGGCGGATGACCTCCTCCTCCGAGTCAAACGGCATTATGACCACTACGGGGCCAAAGACCTCCTCCTGTACGATACGCATGTCATCAGTGACATCTGTGAAAGCCGTCGGCTGGACGAAATATCCCTTTTCCAACTTGCTGTCAGCTGGGGTGTATGCGCCTCCACCAATCAAAAGCTTGGCGCCTTCCTTCTTGGCCAGCTCGATATACGAGAGCACTCTTTCGTACTGCGCGCGAGTAACCTGGGGGCCCTGGTATGTCGTTTCATCCCACTGATCACCAATCTTGGACGTCGTTTCCACCTCCTTCTTGAACTGCTCCAGGAAGATATCCAGCACCTCCCGGTGCACGAAGATGCGCGAGGTCGCCGTGCAGATCTGGCCCTGGTTCGACATGATGCCGAGGTGAGACCACTTGACGGCCTGCTCCATATCGGCATCGGGGAATACCACCAGAGGCGACTTGCCACCCGTCTCGAGGGTGATATTCTTGAGCGTGCCGGCAGCCATCTTCATGATCTCGCGCGCGGTGGCAGTGGACCCAGTAAAGGCCACCTTATCCACAAGCGGATGCTGTACGAGAGCCGCACCCGCCTCGCGACCGTACCCATTGATAATATTCACCACACCAGCTGGGAATCCAGCCTCCTTGATCAAAGTACCCAGAACCAAGATGCTCAGCGGCGTCTGCTCAGCCGCTTTAATAACAACAGTGTTGCCGCAAGCCAACGCAGGGCCCAGCTTCCAGGCCGCCATGGACAGCGGGTAGTTCCAGGGGATAATCTGCCCGATGACCCCGAGCGGCTGGCGAATAGTGTATGCGAACTTCTGGGGCGTGGTGCTGATCGTCTGGCCGTGGGTCTTATCAGCCCAGCCGCTATAGTAGCGGATCGTGCTGATGGCTTCAGTGAGATCTTCGTTCAATGCGACGTGGTATGGTTTTCCTGGTGTGCGTTAGATGCCACTCCCTTTCGGCTGAAACTTCTAGGCGAAACCAACCATTATCCCACGCGTCAATGGCAGCGAACACCTCCCGGTTCTGCTCGATCAGGTCGGCGAGTCGGCCCATGAGCTGGCCGCGCTCGGTGGCGGGCAGCTGCTTCCACGATGCATGGCCGAGGGCGGCCTTGGCGGCCTGCACGGCGGCGTCGACATCCTCCGCGGTCGCCGCGTGCACCGTGGCAATCAGTTTGTCGGTTCTACCACTGTCAGCTACCATGCGCTTGAGTCTCGCTACCGAGCCGAACTAGCAACTCACGCTGGGTCCAGCGACACAATGGTCTGTCCTCCAGATGAGGGGCGGAACTCGTTGTTGATGAACAAGCCCGTGGGCTGCTTGTACTGACGGCCGTTAGGCGTGGTGAGCTCGACGAAAAGGTCCGACGACATTCTGGCGCAAAGTCACAGCAAGAATCTCCAAACCAAAAGATGAAGACGAGAGAAAGAGAAGAAGAAGCCAGACAATCGCAATGGGCAGCAGACAGCAGATAGCTGGGGTTTTGTGGCCTGCTGAGCGCACCGCGGACCGGTGGGGTGCAGTGCAGTGCCCGTCAGGCTAGAACTGCCTAAACCGGATTTGGGGAATAAGCTGCCAGTTTGCTGGACTGATTCGGAATGGAGGAATGAGCGGGTCTCCAGCTGTCCCGCGGTTCCGATAAGGGAGCCGGAGGGCTTGAGATATACACAGTACAGCAGTCTAACCCTTAATGCGCTATCGATAAGTCTATCGCCCAAACGGGCATGTTTATCGCCGAGTGGGTTCTGCGCTGGGCTGGATTCTGTGGCCATCATTCCGTGGAATCACCTTCCCTTTCTGTTTCGCCTGAGACGCGCGGCTCCGCTTTAGGGCCAACCGGACGCCGCTTTCTGCCATCCGTTCGTCCCATGCAGTGAGCATCAAAGTGCGTGTTCTCAGCAATTCTTGCTTCATCCTGGTTTACTCTACCGGTAACCTTCGGTGAAAGAAATTCTTCCTTGATGTACTTCGTCAAGTTGCCGTTCACTACCTTGACTATCACAAAAAGCCTCTCCTGTTGCAATCCTACTAGTTGATTCGGATGCCTAAGTCGTCAACAGTCTTATATTGGCGGAGTTCACTTTCTGCTATGCGATGAATGCCGTGAGGGTAGTTCGTTCCGGGAGCAGTAACACTCCCAGGGCAGGGAAATTACAATACTCACTCCGGAGCTAGGGCATCTCATAAAGTACTCCCTCCCTTCAAGTAAGATCATTCCATAAGAGTATTTTCTCTCCGGGGAATCGCTTTATATACAATACTCGATTACTACCCCGTGCCTCTTCCACCGGATCATTCAACAAGATTAGTGTTCAGGTTGCCCCCAATCCACCCCGACCACCCATCCCATCACGCAAAGCTAGAAGACCTTGGCTCTCAAAGCATTGGAAAGCCTAGTCGGGCTATGGCGAGGGGAGGTGAACGAGGAGCTGCTGCGAGGATGGAGATTGCGGAGTTTAGACTTGTGCATAGAACTCTAAGATTAAGTGAGATCGACTTTTTAGTCGCATTCCGAGTCATGATTTCGTCACCTCGTATAGACCGTGAAGTGTACTACAATTAGCCTATCTAAGCAAGGATAGGCCAGATCTGCCCTTGCTTGGTCACGTCCAACCATGTCGGAATGGACTCGCCGCGACTGGAAGTGATGTGCTCGTCCTGCTGCGTCCAGACCTTTTTCATGACCTCGCGCGCAACGCGGAACCCCGCAAACCCGCACCGCGCTTCTCCCTTGTCCAGCAGCTTCAGAACCTCGCACCGTCGCTCGGGAGTGGTCGCTTCACACCCTGCGATAAACAGTGGCCACGCCGTGCCCGGTCCGGTCTGTCCTGCTTCGGTCAACGCAGCGTCGAATTTGCTGAGCGATGTGACGACCTTGTCGACGTGGCCTTCAAGGATCAGCGGGTGTACCTCGCGAATGCGACGGTAGAAGAAGATGACCAGCGCCGAGTTCAGCGCCTCGAGGAGGTACTCGTGCGCCTGGGAGCACACCTCTGAGAGATTCGGGGACGTGCTCGCGCTCTCGACTTTGCGCGAGGCTAACGCGCAGACCATATTCTCGAGCCGGGCGCTGCGGCGGTGCAGCGCATCCCACGCCTCGATGCTGGCTTTCTTGACCTGCGGTGTCCGCCGGGCCACTCGGAAGGTCTCCATCACGTTGGCTAGGCGTGTTGTTTGGGAGACCAGACTCAGCCAGGTCTCCGGGATCCCGTATATCTGGTGATACAGAGTGTCTGGGTAGCTACGGGAGTCTTGGAGGTGGATATCATGGAGACCGACATCTTGGCTCTTGGGTTCGTTGATGTTCAGGTCGCTGTCGGACGGGCCGCGGGCTAGACGGAGGAAGTCGTCTAATCGGGAGGTCTGTTCGCTGGTGGTGTTGGGTCTGTTGTTGCTATCAGACTTTTCGCATCGGAACGAGCATTTCAAGGCGTTCATGAAATGCTCCGAGGGGGTATAGTCGTGTAGGGTGTAGGTGCTTTCCCCGATGATTCGAAGCCAAGTGTATACATGGTGAAGGAGGCGGGCTTTCTGGGAGATGCGTCGCTTGGAGAGGCCCCGCAAGCGCAGCAGTCGCTCAGCGTCGACCATATAGCATCTTGCGTCTTGCTGCTGGCCGCTGATGATCTGCGCGGCGTGAGTAAGATATCGTACCCGTGGCTTGCGACTAATGCATGGACTTACAGCAAATTCGGTCAAGGCACAGATGGCCATCAGCTGATCCTTGTACTTGGCAGCTTTGGGTTGAATCTCATGTCTTAGCGATGTCTGCATATGGTCCTTCGCGAGATTATATGCATGCTCGGCGATTGGCTGCCAATTGCCCCGAGACTCTGATGTAGTCATTGATGGATTGACGGTCAGATGCAGTGCAGAACATGCTAGAAGACAATACAGGTTTGCCAAGCGAGCGTGGCTGATGTTCTGCGACCCTAGAAATGTCAAATCACTGTACGTCACCACTGCAGAAGGCACGTTCGTGATTTTCCACGGAGACTTCTGCTCAAGGGGAATAGCTGACATGCGCGAGATGACATGATCCTGGAAATGTCGCAGCAGAAAGTGGGCATCAGCCAGCACATTGACTGGGTCACTGGCCAAGGTCGAGGGTAGCTGCGGGATCAAGGTCGAATACGTTCCTTCTTGCTCCCCAGTTGTATCGAGGATTGGATCTGTTGTCACTACCGCACCACCATTGACAGCAGCCTGTGCGTCTGGCTCGAGAAAAAGAGCATCACCAATGTCAAAAGCCGTTGACATCATGGAGTCTGGCATTTGGAGATCGATACTAAAGAGATCCGACCATTGTAGCAGATCATTCATGTAAGCAATCGAGTCCTGCGACAGTGACGGGCTTACAACCGGGCTGGTTTCAACCAGGGGTGCTGGCACCGGCGGAGGGCTCACGACCTCCGTGTCCCTGGATCCTTCTGGCTGCGAGGCAGTCTTTTCATGCTTCGTGCCCGACAGATCCAGCACGGCGAAAGGCCCGACCACGATGCTTTCATCGGTAGGTCGGTCTGAATCCCTCGCCCGGCTATCGATCTCCGCTAAGGAGGCATCGATAGACCCCGACACCAGTTCCGCGCTCAAGGCATCACTCATAGAAAGCCGTGACTGCTCTGAATTGAGTCATTAGAGGCCATCATGGAGATGAGGCAGAGTCAAGTCACCTGTGTACAGAAGACGTCTCGGGCCCAACTTGGCCGGATCTTTCTTGAGTTTCCAGTCCCTCGATCGCGGCGGCGACTGATGCTTGCGCGCAGCAACCCAGCGAATATCATCGGTGAACCCCTCACATGTCACCCCGCTGGCCCGGCACATCTGGCACGAGGGTCTCCGTTGATCGCATTTGGCATGCCGGCGACGGCAGGTCTTGCAGGCTCCCAAAGCATGGGTGCGACGGGATCGGTTGCCTGATGCCTTGGATCCTGCCATGACATCGGAAGTAATTGTCAATCGTAGCAATGATGTGATGGGAGATGATCGAGTCTGAGACTTAGATTTGATATCGTGGAGAATCTGGGGTAATGGAAAGGCGTGTTGCTATATCAGGAAGCACCACAATCTGCAACCCCTCACTTTCCGCGGAACCTCTTTCCTCTTTCGCTGCAATTCCTGTCGGAAGGACCTGCTTTTTAGGGTTAGTGCCGACTTGTGTAGATAAGCCACCTTTCTTATCTAATTTATGTTCTAAACCGAAAGGCAAATGCGAACAGACATTAAAGACGAATCAAAGAAAGAGGCATAAAGGATTGAAAAAAGTTTGTAATTATGGGCGAGTGAGATATATTGCTTTATTCAAAGTCTAGAAGCTACGCCAAGCCCAAAGTCTCTGCTTCAGCGCTGACAGCAAGGGGAATCTCCTCTTCCAACGTATGTCGTTCGGGCACCCAGTTCAAGTAGTGGCGAGCTCTTTGAGCCACCTGTTTCGCGTTCGTACCAAGAATAACTGCAGCATGGGGCGTGATGGAGTCCGCCTCGCTAGGGTCAACCTCCTTCACAGAAGCTGAATCTGCAAGACCGAGTTTGTAGACCTCCTGTGCGATGCGCTGTGAGATCTCCTTGAAGGACTAGTTGCTGTTAGCGGCTGGGGTATAGCACGAACGGTCAATCCACTCACCAGCGTCGCGGTATTCACCGGAAAATATAGTCCATCCTCATTCCACAACTCGCCGTCAGCATTTTCGAGTGCTTTCTCCACCAACTTCACAAATATGTTGCTCAAGTCTGCGATGTGGATGTTGCTCCAAGTGCTTTCGCCCTTGCCCACCTGAACACCCTCCCGACGCTGCAGGTTTGCCCGCGCAAGCTCGGGAATTTGAATGCTTCGCTGCTTGACAATGCCTCGGCCGCGACCATAGATGATCGGGCCGAACATGAGAGCGGTCTTGGGTCGCGTGGCCGTCGGAGGCAAGTTGGCGACAAAGTTGTCAACGATGCGCTTAGATGAGTAACGCTTAATTAGCGCGTGCAACTCCTCCGCGCCGTCGACGTCACTGTAAATGCTGCTTGATGCTTGGCCGAAAGTATTGTGTTCAATGTCGGGCATGGAAAGAACGCTGGCGCCGGACATCTGGATCCAGTAGCCTGACATCATTATTAGCTGTCGCTCGCCGTTCGAATCGACCATTGCTCCCTACTGACCAGGCTTTGTCCTAGCTTCTGCTGACAGACCGCGTGCGATGGCTTCGACGCTCTTGATATGGTTGGTGCTTGCGGCATCTGAAGGGAGAGTATGAGGTTAGCAATATGATTCATGGAATTCAGAGGGGTTAAACGCACGGATGACAATGTCTGCGTGAGTAGCCTCCTTCTCAATGACAGCAGCCGCGTCCAAATCCCCAATCACCACGCGCACGTTAGGATAGGCAGCCTGGACTTTCTTTGCCTTCTCTTCATCTCTCAAGAGGATACTGTAATCGCATTTGGGTAGAGCTGACCGAAGAGCGTGGAGAACATCGCCGCCAATGTAGCCTGACGCACCAGTTCTGGAGAGTGGTGAGCATGATTTCGTGGACGACTGCGAGGGTGTTCGTTCTTACAGGAAGATCCTCGCCATCTTGATCAGAATTGTGTCTGTTGCTTCGATGTAAATTTCTGGCCGTCGATATGGTACTGTCAATGAGAGATGAAGATGAAGAATGAGGGGGAAGAAAAGACCCCGCGATGTAGGAGATGGGCGGGCGAGAGTAGCAGTCCCGGATAGGAAGGTGGTCCCGGGGACGACCTGCCTCGGGAGTCAAAACATCTCTAGGTGAATGCGATATCTCTCTATACTAGACGATATTGCCGATCGGTGTTGGAGGTGCGGATTCTTGCGTAGTAGATGCGCTGCGTCTTACCATCGCAATTCTGATACCGTTTTGGGAAATCCTGTCCCAAAAAAGTGTCATGCGCCGGTGTTCCTCTCTCTCATATAACGCCAAACAAGATGCTGGGTGCAACACCCTTCACTGCAGTCTAGCCATTGCTCTCTCACCGTCATCATCTCCAATTCCGATTCCTTTTCCTCTTCAGCCCATTGAGAATGGCCCACCGTGGAGTGAGTTATGACAAGAATGTCAGCTGCATCGCAGATCTGAAAGCTCTTGGAAGCCAGAACCTCCCTGTGATGGTCAGAGGTGTGCTACTGCGTCGAGCATGGCCAGCATACGCATCCAGCTGACGCGCTATAGAATACTATAATGAGGGTGCCATGGATCTCATCACGTAGGTCCGACTCGATTGTCACGCCTACATCCCTAACACAACTTCAGACTACGTGAGAACGAGGCTGCGTTCGACCGGTACAAGATCCGACCGCGCATCTTGATCAACGTGGACAAGGTGGACACTAGTACTGAGGTTCTCGGCACGAAGGTACAGTACAACACTCTTTCCCATTGAGGTTGTCGTACCAATACTAACCTCGTCCGTGCGCACAGGTATCCCTCCCCATCGGATTCAGCCCGGCGGCGTCACACAAACTTGCGCACTCTGACGGCGAGTTGGCGACCTCACGCGCTGCTGCCAACCATGGCATCTGCATGGGTCTTTCCTCATATTCAAACTATTCGCTAGAGGATGTAGCCAGTCAGGGCCGTGGGAATCCATATGTGATGCAGATGTGTGTTTTAAGGGATCGTTCAATCACGCTGCAGCTGCTGCGCCGAGCGGAAAATGCGGGCTACAAGGCGCTTTTCTTGTCGGTGGACGTGCCTGTTTTAGGCAAACGATTGAATGAGCACCGGAACAACTACACCCTGCCGGAGGATATGGAATGGCCGAATATCTTAAGTTGCGGCCGTGATGCTTCCAACCGGACTGAGTACGGTAGGTTGGAAATTTGAACCACGATGATGCCCGCAATCGTTGACTTGACGTTGCGTTAGATCCGAGTTTGGACTGGGAAAGCACCATTCCCTGGCTCAGGGAAAACACAACACTGCAGATTTGGTTGAAAGGAGGTAAGAGCAAGCCTCAATTGATTCGTCCGGGACCACCTCTGATTGATTCTCCACAGTATATACCCCCGAAGACGTTGAGCTCGCCATCCAATACGGTCTGGACGGCGTCATCATCTCCAACCACGGGGGTCGCCAACTCGACGGTGTCCCAGCCACCCTGGATGCTCTTCGAGAATGCGCACCGGTTGCTAAGGGTCGTATTCAAATCGCAATCGATGGAGGCATTCGACGCGGTTCCGACATCTTCAAGGCCATTGCTTTGGGTGCAGATTTCTGTTTTGTCGGACGCATTCCGATTTGGGGATTGGCGGTACGTATCCTCACTCGTCTTCAGCGATGGCATTGCTAACGGCAAGGCTTCAGTACGACGGCCAGAAGGGTGTGGAACTGGCCATTCAGATCCTGCGCAACGAGCTCATGATCACGATGGCACTAGCTGGGTAAGTGCTCCCAATTATGAAATGCGATCCCTTGCTAACGTGATGTAGATGCCGTTCAATCAAGGAGATCCAAAGGAGGCATTTGTCAATTCTCAAACCTGATGGCGTTCTTTCCAAGCTTTGACGGCGTTTCTTATATCCAGCCCACTCAGTTTTGAACCATTCGATGCTTAGCAATTTAGCTCAATCTTGACACTTCTTCAGTTCTGTGCATCATTATTCATCAGAGTAGCTTAAGAGCCAGGGGATGCAAACCCACGTGTCCAAACGCTTACCCCGCAGTACTTCATTGACCTCAACACAAATCAGTCAACATCAGCACCATGGCAACAGCACCGCCCATCATTGACTTTGGGGGTTTGTAGCCGATATCAGATGTGGAGATTATGCATGACTGATAATACTTTGTAGTTTGGAACGAATCCGATCCAGAAAAGAAAGCAACTCTCGTTCGGCAGATTCGAGAAGCTTGCCAGAGACATGGATTCTTTCAGCTGGTCAACCATGGCATTCCCCTCGGAATTCAACAGAATGTTCTCGAGCAGGCCCGAGATTTTTTCAGTCTCCCGATTGAGGTGAAAGAGAAATACAGCATGGGTAGATTACTCATAGGATCATCGATTTAGCTTCAACGATTAGGGGCAGGCTGACCTGTAAACCACTAGACATTGGCACACCAAACCTGGGGTACGAACGCCTTCGCGCACAGAACTTCGAAAAACGAGGACCCGGCGATTTGAAAGAAGGGTTTTATTTGTGCCGAGAGCTAGCCCCGAACCATCCCGCCGTGAAGGCTGGGAAGTTCTCGCAAGGTGAGAACAAATATCCGGCCGAAATCAGAGATCCAACGCGGTTCCGCGCTGTGGTCAATGACTACCACACCCTCATGACCTACCTGTCTCGGGAGATCTTCCGCATACTAGCATTGACCTTGGATCTGAGAGAGGATTGGTTCGATGAATTCTGCCGCGAATCGGCAACCATTCTGCGGTTGTTGCGCTACCCGCCGCAGGAAACAGACGAGTCGAGTTTGGAGCGAGGTACGCAAAATGAACACCCCGACAACTGCAGCAGTATTGAGTCGATCTCGCAGGCATCGGCGCGCATACGGATTTCGGCGGCCTCACTATCCTACTGCAGGACGATAAAGGCGGACTTCAGGTCTGGGACCGCGAGGCATCTCAATGGGCGGATGTTGTCCCTATTCCCGGCGCGTTGGTGGTCAACCTGGGGAACATGATGATGCGCTGGACCAACGATCGATATTTATCCAACCTCCACCGCGTAATCAACAGAAGTGGCGAGGAGCGATACAGTGCCCCGTTCTTCTTCTCGGGCAATCCGGACTTTCTGGTGGAGTGTATCCCGAGTTGCAAGGGGGGGACGGAGGCGGCCAAATACCCTCCCATCACGGTGCAAGAGTGGATGTTGGCGCGGTATGCAGACACATACGGGAATTCGCAGCAGGCTGCAGCTATGGCGGAGCTATCAAGAGATACAGAGGATGCAATCGTTGTTGATCGGAATGTAGACTGAGCCTCATTTTACGGGCATTGAGAGCAAGCGTGTGAGAGGTGCACGTGGATCATGCTGGTTCAGCTTCAACATGTGAGAGTGGATCTACCGGCGTCTCGTTTGTGGCCTCAGGTTAGTCACTTGGAAATTCGCACTCAATTTCAAGTCCACCTCGATAAACATGCAACTGAAATACTTCATAGTAGACAAGCCTGTGATCGTCTGGTATTACGACTGGAGCTTTTGGCAGCAACATGGTGCCGTGATCTCATTCTCAAATACAATATATTTTCACCTCATGCTGGCCAGGCAGAGCAGCAGCACAAACAACTCACATGGCTTGTGACAATACATGTGAAGCTGATTCCGATTTATCGCAGTCCTGATAATCTAAAGCCATGAGACCAGTTTCGATTCAAAATGGTGCTGATCTCAGCTCGTGATAGCGATCAGATAACCACGAGTGCTTGCACTGATTGGGAAAGGATTCCGATGCACTGCAGCTGAGGAAGGATGACTCGGTAAAGATCGGTCCGATGGAGCATTGCCAGTCGGCAATTTTGCCCCTTCACCCCTCCCCGTATTCAGGCATCAAGGCTGCCATTTACTTGCCTCGGTACTTACTGCATTGGGAAGCGCCGACAGCCGACGGGTCTCGACCGAATAATCCCAACGCTGCTGGGCTTATTCTCGCTTCACCACTTCCCACCCCCCCCCCCGGAATCTGGCCTCTTTATAACGCCTTCCCCACCCCCTGTCCCCCAGATTTTTTTCCACAGCTCTTTTCCACAGTTTTGCTTCCCCCAGATTCATTCAATCTTACAATGCCGTCTCCACCTCCCGATTGGGTTCAGGCCCTGAAGCCGGCCGACCCGCAGGGCTCACACTTGCTTCAAGAGGAGCGTGCTCAGTCTAACGTCGCAGTGGACAAGCTCGGCGAGCTACTTCACACGAAAGACTTCCTTGACCGTCAAGACAAGATCCTGTCTATCCTAAAGTCGGAGAAAGTCTTTGACAAGTCCGACAACCACACGTTAGGCCGGACCGAGCGCATTCAACGGTCCCTGGCCAAGGCCAAGCGGCTGCATCAGCTGGCTGAGCAAAACCGCTGGTCGGACGCCGAATTCCACACTGCAAATGACTTGCTTTCAGAGCCTACGCCGTATGGTCTGCACGCCACCATGTTTCTGGTATGTTTGGGAACAATTCTCTCCTCATCCGGTTGGGCCGAATGCTAATTGGCATTTCTTTGCGCTAGGTCACCTTGCGGGAACAAGGCACCCCGGAGCAACACAAGCTTTTCTACGAGCCGGCTCAAAACTACAAGATCTTGGGATGCTATGCGCAAACAGAATTGGGTCACGGGTCCAATGTCCGCGGGCTTGAGACCACCGCGACCTGGAACCCGGAGGACAAGACATTTACCATCCACTCCCCTACGCTGACTGCCTCCAAATGGTGGATCGGCTCGCTGGGACGTACTGCCAACCACGCAGTGGTGATGGCGCAGCTCTACGTCAAGGGCAAGAACTACGGTCCTCACCCTTTCGTTGTGCAGATCCGTGACATGGAGACGCATCAGCCTTTGGAGAACGTATACGTGGGTGATATCGGACCGAAATTCGGATACAAGTGAGTACCGACCGTCATGTGGTTGTGTGATGATCATACTGACTTTGCTAGCACGATGGACAATGGTTTCCTTCTGTTCAACAAGGTCAAGATCCCTCATGAGAATATGCTGGCTCGCTTCTGTCGCGTGGATCAGGCGACTAGCGAGTACCAGCGCCCAGCTTCCCCTTCCTTGGTTTACGGTACCATGACCTGGGTCCGTTCCAACATTGTCCTTCAAGCCGGTGGTGTCCTTGCTCGTGGTGTTACCATCGCCACCCGGTATTGTGCTGTGCGTCGACAGTTCCAGGATCGCGATGCCAAGAGCCACGAAGGAGAGAATCAGGTGCTCAATTACAAGATGGTTCAGATCCGTCTCCTTCCCTTGCTTGCGTCGATGTATGCCCTGCACTTCACCGGTCGGGGCATGCAGCGACTCTACGAGGAGAACCAGATCCGCATGAAGGCTGCCTCGGAGCCGGGACAGGACAAGCGTGGTGCCGGACCTGAGCAGTTGAGGGCTGGAGCGGATTTGTTGGCCGATCTCCATGCTACGTCTTGCGGTCTCAAGGCATTGGCTAGTACGACGGCCGGTGAAGGTCTTGAGGTGTGCCGTCGTGCCTGCGGTGGTCACGGATACAGCAGCTTCAGCGGCATTGGACCCTGGTACTCGGATTATCTGCCCACACTCACCTGGGAAGGCGACAATTACATGTTGACGCAGCAGGTGGCAAGATACGTAAGTGACGTGATTGTTTCGATATGCCAAGACATTTCCGCTGACTGATCTAGCTTTTGAAATCTGCTCGTGCTGTTCTTGCTGGCAAGGGAACCGGCAACGACACCTCCCAGATTCTGCAGACCTACCTCAACCGCCGTGACAAGGGCGCTTCGTTTGACATCCTCGGGAACGATGCCGACATTGTGGCTGCCTTTGCTTGGCGCACGGCTCACATGACCTTCGAGGCCCTCAAGCACCGGGACGTCGAGAAGCGTTCATGGAACAGTCTTCTGGTCGACTTCTGGCGCTTGTCGACTGCCCACTCCCAGTACCTGGCTGTTAAGAACTTCTACGAGGCTGTCAACTCGAAAGAGGTGGCGGCGGCCGTGGACGGTGCGACGACCGAGGTCCTGCAGAAGCTGTTCCGCTTGTACGCTCTGCACACTCTGGAGCGTGAAGCTTCCGAATTCTTCTCGTCGAGCGCGGTCACGGTCCGCCAGATCGGCCTGGCTCGGGAGAACGCAGTGATGAAGCTTTTGGATGAAATCCGGCCCCACGCCGTGCGGCTGGTGGATGCCTGGAAGATTCCGGATTGGCAGCTGGACAGCAGTCTGGGCAAGTATGATGGCGACGTCTACCCGGATCTGTTCCGCCGGGCCAGCCAGAACCCGGTCAACGATCTGGTGTTCGACCCCTATCCTTGGAACGCGGCTGTCCTCAAGAACAGCCCGCCCAAGAGCAAGCTATGATTTGACTTGGTTCTCGTCATGGGTGATGCGTGGTAGATATAGATCTAGAACGTCTATAGACTAGAGGCTAGAGATGCGACGAATACATGTAAATATGAAACCAGATGCTTGTCGAAACCGGTCGATCCTCGATAGTTTCTGCCCCGTCTCGGGGAGGCTCCACTTTCTTCAACAATTGCCGTTGCCCGACAGAACGGATCACGGCTGAACAACATCCGTTGGAGATTTGCCCCGGGCCTCAAACCTCAACTATAACTCGGGTGCAATTTTCCCACCCATCCGGCCTGCACAACCCCAACATAAGCTTCTTCAGGTGACGTCAAACCTCCACCGTCTCCACCCTGCTTAATAATTGCATCCCTGAAGAAAAGTGAAGCCACAATGGGGTCATCCCGACGGGGCGAGTATTTATTTGGTGTCTGGCACGGTAGTACCAGCTGCCAGCATCTCCACCAGCCCATAACCACCTAGCAACACCCCCGAAATGAAGCAAATCATCAACCTCCCCGGCCCCAGCTGCAAGCTGATCGACTCCCCGATCCCCGCGATCAACGACGACCAGGTGCTCATCCGGGTGGTCGTGTCCGGCTCGAACCCGAAGGACTGGAAGGTGCCCGAGCTGGCGGGGAGCGACGACGAGACGTTCGGGGCGCGCTACGCCCATATCAAAGATGGCGTGAACCAGGGCGACGACATCGCGGGCGTGGTCGAGAAGGTTGGGCGGAATGTGTTTGAGTTCAAGGTCGGTCTGCCCATCCCTCTCTCTTATCGCATCTATCCATCGCGATCATCCCAACCCCCACAAAACGTATACAACGAAGACTAACAGCGACAAAAGCCCGGAGACCGCGTCGGCGCCTTCCACGAAATGCTGGCCCCCGGCGGCTCGTACGCCGAGTACGCCGTCGCCTGGAGCCACACCACCTTCCACATCCCGGCCAAGGTGTCGTTCGAGGGTGCGTACTCCGTCCCTTGGGTCATACTCAGACCTATCCCTAAACCCAGACTCAGACTAACAGCACAACAGAAGCGGCCACCATCCCCCTCGCAGCGCTAACAGCCATCGTCTCGCTGTACCACCACCACCGCCTCCCGCTCCCCTGGACGCCCGCGGCCCCGGGCCCGACCCCCCAGCGCACCCCCTTGTTAATCTACGGCGGCAGCACGGCCGTCGGCGCCTTCGCCATCAAACTGGCCCGACGCAGCAACATCCACCCGATCATCGCCATCGCCGGGCGCGGCGCGAGCTACATAGCCCAATTCCTGGACCCGGCCCAGGGCGACGCGATCGTCGACTACCGCGCCGGCGCAGCGGCCACCATCGCCGGCGTGAAGGCCGCGCTGGCGGCCGCAGTCCCCACCTCGGACGAGGGTGAACTGAAACTAGAACACGTCCTCGACACGATCGTCAGCGAAACCAGCTCCGACGTCATCCGCAGCGTGGTCGCGCCCGGCGGCCAGGTCAACTACGTGCTGCCCTGTCCGTATGACGTGTCGCCCGGCGTGAAGACCAACACGTGGGTGAGCAGTGCGCACGAGGTGGGCGGGGAGGCGGACGCCCGGGATCTGTGTTTTGTCTTTTGTCGGTGGTTTGGACGGGCGCTGGCCGAGGGGACGTTTGAGGGCCATCCGTTTGAGGTGCGCGAGAACGGGCTGTTGGGGGTGGAGGGGGCGATGCGCGATTTGAGGGACGGGAGGGCGAGTGCGGTCAAGTATGTGTTTCGGGTGGGGGAGACGCCGGGGTTGTAGGTTTATCTTCCCGGGAATTATATTGTGGAAGGGGGGAAGAGGGGGTTGATGGATGAATTGTGTTGTAGATATAGATGGTCATGTTTTAGATCAGTTCATAGGAAGACAGGCAATAGAAGTGTCAATGTGAGATGTATGCTGTCGATGACTGAGGGTGGTTGCGTCGGTTTGAGTATGCTAGAATTTAGAGATTGTGGTCGTATACTGTTGATGATTCTTGTCTAGAGGCAAAAGGAGAAGAAGTCCGTAAGTCTGGTAGAATTCTCAATATCGAATGTATGTTCAACGCTTATCTATGTACAATCTATAACACATTACATATCAAAGATCGACGGCTTGTACACCGACGGGTCGATGTACGGAGTGCCGCCACGTCTCGTGAAGCCCCAACGGATCTGACTGGCCATGGAGATTTCCACGTCCAGGTGTTGAGCGAAGGTCCAGGCCAAGCCGGGATCCTTCTGGAATCCACGACCAACGAGGATCACGTCGATGCCGTCCTTCTCGATGATCTCCTCGGCCTGACGGCCGTTGGTGATAGCACCAACCGCCGACACAAGCAGCTTGTCACCAACAGCCTTCTTGACTGCAGCGGCGAAAGGAACCTGGAAGCCCGGGCTGGACTTCACCTTCTGGGCAGCGTGCACACCGCCGGAGCTGATGTCGATCAGATCAACGGCACCCTGCTTGACCAGCTCCTGGGCAAACTGGATGGTGCAGTCGTTGTTCCAGCTCTGCTCCGGGAGGACCTCCTCCAGCCAGTCGGAAGCAGAGATACGGAGGAAGATAGGCATGTTGGGGCCGACCGTGTCACGGGTCAGCTGGGCAATCTCCAAGGGGAGGCGGATGCGGTTCTCGAAGGAGCCACCGTACTCATCAGTGCGGTTGTTGGCAGCGGGAGATAGGAAAGACGAAAGAAGGTATCCGTGAGCGTTGTGGATCTCGATGAAGTCAACGCCGACCGCAAGCGCGCGCTTGACGGCGGCAACCCAGTCGTTCTTGAACTGGACGATGTCGTCCTTGGTCATCGCCTTGGGCTGGGGGAAGGAGTCGGCAAAGGCGATGTCGCTGGGTCCCTTGACGTTGTCCGGCCACCCGCCGACCTTCTCGGTGGCAACCACGGCGGTCGAGATCCACGGAGCAACGGTGCTGGCCTTGCGTCCGGCGTGGGCCAACTGCACTCCGATCTTCTGGTTCTGGCTGTGCACGAACTCAACGACCTGGCGCATGGGCTCGATCTGCGAGTCCTTCCACAATCCCACGTCCTGCGGGGTGATGCGACCCTCGGGCTGCACGGCAGTCGCCTCGATCATCATCAATCCGGGACCCCGCTGGGCGATCGAACCCAAGTGGGCAATGTGGTAGGGGGTCATGTGGCCATCCTGGGCACTGTATTGGCAGAGGGGAGCAAGCTAGAAACCGCAGAGTCAGCACAGAGCCCACCAAGTGCATGCAGACACAAAACTTACACCGAGGCGGTTCTGGAAAGTAAGACCGCGGATGGTCAGAGGCTGATAGAGCTTGGGCACCGGCTTGCCGCTAGTCTGAGGATTGGCTGCCGTACCTGCGGGAGGATCCTGAGCGGGGGTGAAGTAGGAGGTGCCCGGAGCGGGCGCGATATCAACGTCGGGGATAGACATGGTGAGGATGTGTAAATATCTTAGAATATGACACACTGAGACCGATAAGGGCCTGACCGGACGAACAGCGACCTTTATACGGTCTGGGTAGAATCCGTTGGAAACATGATTTGAAATCCAGAGTGGAGATGTTCAACCGCTCGAAATTCGGCATGCAAAGAGTCGGTGGAGCAGCCCCAACTTGCCGAACATTCTTCCTCCAGGGCGGGCCCCTTGATCACCTCCCCTTTCGGTATAAGTCTCCGACCCAAATGTGGCTAAAATCAGGGCACATCATGGTTGTGTAGGTGTGTCAGCAGCACAATTTGTGCTATCAGACCAGAAAGTGTGGGGCTCTGGCCGCGTATCCGTCAATGGCGTGGAGTGCCTGGAAAGCCTCTGATGCAAAGTTTGCCCGAGGCAAAAGTATCTTCCAAAGTGGGCTCCACCAGTGGCACCAGTGGCACCAGTCGCCTTCACTCATATCAGATCACTGGTACAATCCAGCATTTTCGAGGCAGGGCAATCGGGCTGGTGGAAGTTGTTTCATGCATTGAAAATGTCTCCGATGCGCATAGTTTAAGCAGTTAGAGTGGAGATGCAGCGTTGCACTGTGTCAGTGTCAGAATTCAATTCAATGATTGGCAAATCAAGTCCATTGCATCTGCTTGCTGATGAATCAGGGATGACAGAATTATCTTGACATTGGATCATGCCATCGAACGAACCAGCGAATAGTAGTGATGGAGATGGAGATGGGAGAGATTGATGAAGTTGAGAAGTCCGTCGAAGGGAGAATGAAGCAAGAGCACGTGACTGCCGCGGGGCTGCCCATCCCATCTCAGTTACCCACTACACTACCTACTAACCTACTATGTGCTGACATGCGACACTCTCCTTCTCAATAAAAAGGACTTATATGCATTGTGCATGGTATCTTCTTGTTCATGCAAGCCATTCAGGCCCTGATTCTATGTGCAGCATCTCGATAGATGCTAAAATTGAAGCAATACGACCCCACCATATATCGCCATGCTCATAGTATCTCCCGGTGAACGAGTTGCCATACAAACCAGGTGGCAGCTAGACACGCAACGCCCGTAAGATCAATCAAGCTGGACTTGCCTGGTAGGCGACAATCTCCTCACGCAGCATCGCCTTAGCTTCACACGAAGCCCAGCTCATCTCCACCGCATTCAAGGACAGCTGCACTACCTCCTCCTGTGTAAACTTGGCCCGGTCTGCAACGACCTCCAGAGCCTCCTGCACCCAGTTCTGCCCCGCAAGGGCCGGATCATCGCTATGAATCGAGATTCGCACTCCACTGTCAAAGAGCCTGCGCACAACACCCTCGAAGAAAGCCTGGTCCGGGTCATCGTGGTGCATCAGCGCAGGCAGAGACGTCCACGGGCAGATCGTGAGTCCGATCGCGTTTCTGCGCAGCAGATCGACCAGGCCGGTACTGTCCGCGGCACTGATCCCGTGGTCGATGCGGTCGACGCCGCCGCCGCCGAGTTGGGTCACGCATTCGCGGATGTGCTGGTGGATGGCCGGCGCGGGGACCGTCGGATCGCAGTGGATGGTGAGGCGAAAGCCGTCTTGTCGCGCGCGGGTGTAGAGCTGGTTGAACTTGAGTGGCGAGCTCTCATCGCTGAACCCGGCCATGCCAATGCCGACGATCATGTCGCGGTGGCGGAGGGCGTCCTCGTACGCCGCCATCATCTCGATGGGGTCTGCGGTGCGTGAGAAGCTGAGCACCCACGCGGACTTGACCTGGCCAGAACTGGGCGCGTTAGTATCGTTCTCATCCTCGGGATTCTTGAGACTACAGACCCACTCACCCCAAGCGTCCGCTTCGCTTCTACCTGCGCCCTGCGATACCCCGCCATCTGGGTGTCGAGCGACACGCCCCACCGCGTCAGCTCCATGAAGTCGATAAAGGGCTCCGCATAGCGCACGTTCATCTGCGCGGCGCGCCGGTAGTACAGCATCGCCAGCTCGTAGAAGTCGTCGGCGGTCACGAGGACCCGGCCCCCGCGCTCGAAGAGCTCGAAGAAGCCCCGCGAAAGCTCCGCCACATCTGTGGATCGGTCACAGCAGGCGGAGAAGAATTCTTGATATCGGCGCTCGAGTCCCTCCACGGTGTCGGCGATGTCTGGGACGTTGTTCTTCTGGGCGAGCTTGTGTCTTAGCGGAGCGTCGAGGACCCCTTGGATGTGGACGTGGAGCTCCACTTTTGGGAGGCCGGCGATGAAGGCTGCCGTCGCTTGCGCCATTGTCTTTACAGTAGATTGAGGGGCGAGTGAAGTAGCTATCGTGGATGAATTGCGATCGAAGATTACCTAGTTGATTAGTGGCTCCTCTTTGCTTTTAATGCATGGGTGTACTGAATGTCTTGCGGAAGGTGGAGACTCACCCGGTATCTCAACCGAGACCCAGCCTAACCATGAGTGTGAGTATCAGTCTGGCACCGAGATCATACCACTCACTGATGGCTTTGAAAGGGCTGCTTTGTGGTTTACCCCAGGAACATGTTTATGCTGCTACGGACTAGATAATCAAATTATCACTAGTAAGTCTATGTATGTAGGTGTGTACAATACCAAGGTAAGTACCTAGTACCTAAAAAGATACCCTCCCAACCCCTCCCAACCTACAACCCGAATCGCCACAGCCCTACCGCACCCCTTCTCCCACCTCATCGTCCTAGATACTTAATCTCAAAGGCCCTCACCGGCGCAAAGATTATCAGACACGACAAAAGTGCAATGAACGGGCCAACATCGCCGCCCCCATCGCCGATCAGCTTCGCAAGCGGCCCAACAAACTAGTAGTAGTAAGGACAAACGTCAGCTCCGCCCACTCTATCAAGTCACAAAACAACAGCAACAGCAACAGCAACAGGGGATTACTGAGAAGAGACCTACCCAAGTTTGATTCATCCCCAAGAACGTCAACCCATACCCCGCCAACAACGTCGTGAGCCCCGCAACCCCCCAGGGCATCACCGTCTGATCCTGCCATTCGTCCGCATCGTACCCGCCCAGCCGCGGGCGGAAGACGAAATGCTCGAGGGCCATGCAGCCGGTCAGAATGATGCCGAAGTAGCCGAGCAACGCGACGAAGTTCGAGATGATGTCCGCGACGGCGTTCTGCCCGCCGAGCGCGATGCCCAGGATTGTGCCGCTGATGAGCGTCGTCCAGAGGAGGCGGGGGATCTGCATGACAAAGCGGTGGAGTTGCTGTAGGGAAAGGGACATGGAGTAGAACATGGCGGATTGGACGGCCGCTGGGTGGGGTTGTTAGGAAGGGAGCAGGAAAGGGTATGAAATGGATATTGTGAGTCACGTACTGAAGCTGACTGCGAAAAGCACGCCCGTGACCTGACCCCAGGCGCGCGGCGTCATCGAATATAAGACCACCCCCCCAATGCTGGACTCGTCGTAGGCCGTCGCGAAGGCCGGATCGGACGCGTAGGTGCCGCCCAGATATGCCCCGGTGACGATGAGGAACGTGCTCGACGCGAACAGGCCGGCGAACGTGAGTATGAACACCTTCACTTTGCTGGTGTCCGCGCGGTACTGCACGTAGTAGTCCCCGGCCATGGTGGTCCAGGTGATTGCGCCGCCGAAGGCGATGCTAAAGAAGGAGAGGCAGGAGCCGATGTAGGTTGGGCCGTGGACCTGGCGGTCGCCCGGGGTGGGGGAGAAGTCTTGCGCAGACTGGCCGAGCAGGACGCAAACGAGGACGAAGATGAGCGCCCAGGAGTATCGCTCGTAGATGTGGATGACGCGCAGGCCCACGAGGGAGATGAGCCACGAGGTGATGACGGTGACGGCGATGCCGACAGAGACGGGGGCTCGACCCCCGGAGATGGCGGCGATGGTCTGCCCGCTGAGAATGGTCTGCACGATGGCGTACCCGCCGATGATGATGACGTTGAGGATCGCGCACACCCGGCCGCCCCAGATGCCCAGCGAGAAGCGCGTGATGGCGATCTGGCGCAGGCCCGTGAGGGGCGCCAGCGTGGCCGCGAACGCCGGGCCCATGGCGCCGAAGAAGGTGCCGAGCACGCCCACCAGGATGCTGTCGTAGACGGAGAGCCCGAACATGGGGCCGTACATGCCCAGGATGATGTTGGAGGGGTTCATGGTCATGGAGATCCACAGCGTGATCATCTGGAAGAAAATTTTGGATGTTAGTCGGTGGCCTGCGGGTAGAACGGGGCGTTCGGGTTGGTGCTGCGTACCGTCCAAGCCGGAGGGTTCGATCTCTGGTCTTCTGGAACTCGTTCGGGTCCATCGGTGCTAGATGAGTTGCCCCCTTGAACCCATTTCTCGAGGCGTTGCAATGGACCCAGGATCGTGGAGTGGAATTTGAGGCTGTCCACCCGTCCGATGGCGTAGTCGGCACTGTTGGCACAAGACTGTGACTTGTTGTTGCTGTTGCTGCCATCGATTTCTGAAGTTGATGCCCCCTCCAGATGGTCTCCTACGTGCAGGACGATCGCGTCGCGGTCGTGACCCATGGCACTGTTCTTGATGGGGACAAAGGTTGAGGACTAGAGCTCACCTCAGGGCATCATATGCACTCAATAAATAGGTGACTAAAAGGGTTGTATAAGATTAATTGGTTGAATCGCGTGCCGCATACTCCAACGCCACCTTCGGGCCAGATACCGGGCGAGTCTCCACTGAAGATAAGCCGCTTGGATAGTGCCTTGGCAGGAATCCGGGGTAAAGGAACGTCCACTATGGATATTTACAACGTTGGTATGTGTATGGGCCTGGGATGGGCCGGCCACCTCCGCCGTATTGCCCTCTCTAATATCTCCAGCGCCGCGCTTGCCAGCCGATTCTCGGAGCCCTTGGCACGTAGAATATCGCACACCTTATACACCGTCTCCACATCAGCCCAGACAGTGTCTGGCCCCTCATCCCCCTGCTGCAGGGTGATGAGAGAGATGCAGGTCATGAACAGTGTCGTGATTGTGAACCTAGCCTCGTCAGACACAACCGCTGTAAAGCACCAAACATACGCTACTCACCAGTTCTTGATCCGGTCATCGCGACCTTGCAACGCAAGCTGAAGGATCGTTCTACTTGTCGCCACACAGACAGATCGCGCCCTCGATCTAGCATTGGCCTCAGCGGGCCCGAGGCTAGTGAGCGTGGAAAAGAACGCAATCTGCCCGTCGAGCAGCGTGTAGCAGATGTTGCTCCTCTGCTGCTCCATCCAGGGGTACCGGAACTCGTCATCCTCCGTCACTTCGTCGCCATCGGCGCGCAGAAAAGCCGGCAGCTGCGCGATGAGTTTGGCGATCTTTTCGTCCGTGCGCGCGACTAGCGCCACCGCGTCGTTTTCCATCCACTTTCCGGCCCGGAGCATCTGCTGGAACTCGTAGTATATCTTTGCCCCTTCGATTAGTGCCAGCTGGTACTGCATTGGACGGGGATCGGGCTCTGCGCGGGCGGGGATTACACCACCAACATCTGCGAGCTCGTCATCGTCGGCGAGGGAGGGCATGTTTACGTTGAAATCATCGATGCGCACGAGTGGTGTTCGATACGGCACGATGAGCCTTAATTAGTTTGTCAGTGCCGGATCTGGTCATCTCCACGTCGCTGGCGTACGTACCAGTCTCCGATCACCAGAGACCACCAGAGACGCCTGTAAAGCTCCGCCTCGAGTGGCGGATGCTTTGCTAGATTTTCCTCCCTGTCGATCCCCAGCATCTGCGCGGTGCGGATTGCCACAGGCCAGAGGTTGAAGAAACAGGATCGGTGGCCTAGGACGATGAACACGTCTCCTAGGATCGCAATTGCCTGTACACAGCGGATGTCAGGGGCGCGGATGAAATCTGCCTTCTGAAGAAGGAAGATGGCGGCGTCAAACCAGTTCTGGATATGTAGCATTGCCTCGCTCCCCGCAGCGTCTGTGTCTTGAGGCCACCAGTCGTCGAGCTTGAGGTAGAGGACTTCCTGTGGGACGTTAGCTTAGATGTTATTTGTTGTACCGAAATTACGATCACGCGTACGGCGAGAAGACTGAAGTATATAGCCAGCCAATGCGGATCATAGTCAGCGTGCTCGCCTCCGTTCGAGCACCAGCGCCAGAATTGATCGTGTTCGTCCATGAAGGTGGGGTAATGAATGGCAAAGTGATGCCATGTCGTCTCGGCACCCGCATGAGCCAGGATCCTATCGCTGAGCTCCCTGGATGGAAGGTGGATGTCCTGCGGACTGAAGACTGAGTTCGGGTGGCCCGAGTCACAAACAGCGTTGAATAGTTCCGAGAGATAATCTAACAGGGTGGAGTCGGGCACAAAGGCCGCAGAGGTACCCGCGGGGGTCTCTGCGGAGGGCGTGGCATGTGGAAACACACCCTGGCTCTGAGAGAGGGCAGCTCGGAGACGGAAGTTCTCGGCAACAACCTCTTCGTAATCTCGAAATGCTAGTGCTGACACCGGTCTATTGGGTGGAGAGTTAGGACAACCTGAGCGGTACGTAGGTTTGGAAAGGAGGCGTGCCTCTGTCGACCGCCTGTGAGATATACGTTCTCCCGACGACACTGGCTGGCTTCTCCTTTCCGGATGCATGTACTACATGGCATCCGTTTGTTGCACTTGACCTTTTTCAGGGAGCAGGGCACGCAGGAGAGCGGGGCTCGCTGGGTTAGACGGGGGGTTTGCGGGGTAGGTGTGGATGCCATTGAAGGGGAGTAGACGGGGGGTGTCTGAATTGTGGAAGTTGGAGATGGATGGATAAGTTGCAGGTAGTTGTATCTACTAGCCTGAGGCAGATAGTAGAAAGGTCCACAAATGGTAGAGCTAACCCAAAACGGAAATCCTCCTGTCACAGGCTGGGCTTCAGCTGGGCTTCCAGCTGGGCTTCTGTCCACTTCACCATATGAGGGTCCAATTTATTGAGTCTAGCAGCAATATTGCACTAAATACGGGAGAAATAGGGGTAACCTGCCGAATAAAGAAATAGAGAAGAGAAACGATATCATACAGGACCAAGCAAGCGCTGACCACCGGTAACTTTGGCGTTTACCTAAAGGCCGAGCGACAACTTCCAGCGCTGAAATTTCTAAGTCATGATACTGACCAAAGTCTACAACTCTGCTCAGGGTTGGCCTACGTCTGGTCACTCCAGCATCAGAAACCCTGTTCTGATCTCGGCGACCTGCGCGGCACTTATCCGCGGAGACTCCCTATAGATACGGGCGAGATTTCGGGTGGGTTTTGGCTATCGGACATCGTCGGAGCCAGCCATAGACCCAACGACCCAACGTCTTATGCATGACAATACCTAGTCCTGTATAAGTTCCCGACTTACTCTTCAGTCTTATCAACAGATCTGCCACAGAATCAACTTTCTCATTCAAGCTTGCTTTCAACTCACCACCATGGGATCTGAATTCGCTATCCCCGACGACCCCGATCGGGTCTTCTTCTACTCCTCCCAGGGCCGCGAGTCCCGCCCAATCCTTCGAGGAAAGGATGCAAAGACAACATTCGATTCGATACCCGTCATCGACGTGTCGTCGATTATGTCGGACAACTTAGAGGAGCGCAAAAGGCTGGCTGCGGCAGTGGATCGTGCGGCTTCTGAAGTGGGCTTTTTTTATTTCGATAACCCGCCCGTTGACACGAGAAAGATGGGTATATACGTCTCCACTTCGATGTACCATCAACGACTGTACTAATCGTGAACTCATGGTGCGCAGATACAGCATTTGCCGCCATCAAGAAATTATTTGCTCTGCCTTCTAAAGAGAAAGTGAGTTGGTCGTGTCTGCTAACGATATCCTGCCGGGTCTAACCACGGTGTGGACAGATGAAAGTCCACGTCAACAACAGCCCAAATGGCAAGGGTTATGCCTTTCGAGCTCAGGAAGAGGGCCATATCACCAATGAGAGTTTCGGGATGGGCAATGACTACACGGAGCCCGAGCAGGCAGCCACCAGCGGTGGTATGACGAGCACTATCCCGCTGAACCGGTGGCCCGACGAAGCCTTGCCGGAGTTTCGCGCCGCGATCTACGAGTACTGTATGTGCCGAATCCCACAGTGAACTCGAGCTAAAACTGACGTGACCATCAGGGAAAGAAGTCCATGCATTTTCCCGCCGACTGGTCGGCATTTTCGCCCTCGCCCTTGGTCTCGACGAGCACGCGCTGGACCACATGTTCCAAGAGCCGCTGACGGATGTCACCATCCAACACTACTGCAAGCACCCCAGCGACTCGTACAAGCCTGTCCTGACACCGCACTCCGACTATGGCGGTACGTACTCTGCCTCGCCAGAAGAATCATCATTGTTCCACGCACTAACCACCGTAATCGCGGATCCAGCCTTCACTTGCCTTCTGCAAAGTACGTGATCCGCTCCCCAATGATGCGTGGAGGCGAGGCTAACACATTCGCAGCGGAGGTCGGCGGCCTAGAAGTCCTCAACGCCAATGCAATCTGGGTACCCGTCCCACTGCGTGAGCACGCCTTCGTCATGAACACCGGAAGCCACTTTGAGATTCTATCCAACGGTCGGTGGAAAGCGACGGTGCATCGAGTGAGCGGCCGGGTAAGTGGAAATGTCTACCCTTGCGGCTTTGCCATCCATCCAGTCGCCAGAACGCTACGATTTAACTGGATATACGTACTGATCATTTCAATCGTGTCTGACAGGGCGACATCGACCGCTACTCACTCCCGTTCTTCTGGGGCTTTGACCCGACCACCGTCGTGACGCCGCTGGAGAAATTCCGCGGGGAAACGAATCTGGAGCCCGAACTGGCCGGTCGGGAGTTTGCGAAGGGCACGTTCAGCACTAAGCCTGATCATCCGGTTGTTGCGGAGATGAAAGCGCGGGGTCTCGAGTTTGAGGATTATTGCTATGCGAATCTCTTGCATGGGAAGGACCCATGGGTGAAGGGATGAGAGGGTTAGTTACCACTGTATGTGGTGGTCGGCTCATATGTTGAAGGTTGTGGTGGCATTCCTCTAGGAGAGCATTCGTTATTTATTCTCATATATACATTCAGTTCATATAACCCAGAAAGAGGCGCCTGCCTGTATGTCCTAGCCTCGGGCATAAAAGGTAAAACTCGAGATTAATACATCACATGATTGACGGCGTAACTGCCGCCGGGCTTGCCCATCTTCACCATCATTTACCATTCATCTACGGCTTTGCCTCATTTGCAATCATTATTCCCAATCATCCTCTTCGACCCTCGTCCTCACCAATCCTTCTGCTCTAATTACTTCGCTTGAATATCGGCATTTTTCCACTCCCTTCTGACTTCTTCCTTGGGTCTTTGCAAGGCATGAATCCTATCTCGACCAGATATGACACGCTTCTGACAATGGCCTCCACAATCTCCTCCCGCTCAAAGATTGGCTGATGCGAATTATCCACCACGTTGCTCGCAAACTGCCACTGGTTGTCTTCAAACCACTGCATCACAGGGAGAAATGGATGGTCAGATCTAGAATTGATATCTGAGCTTAGTGCGCGCATCCACTCGTCGTGTCGCATGGTCTTCACCGAAACCCCTGTCTCTTGCTGCAGCTTCGCACATAGCTCACCCAGCGTGATCCCATCCCAGCAGTCGACGTTACGCTTAGACCGAGGCGTCCTTTCCATTGTGCTCGCTACTACCAATCGTGCAATCTGATCAACGCCAGCTACAGGAATGTGCGCGTCGGTCAAATCCTCGCTGATTGCGCCGAGACTGAGAATGCTGAACGCAAGCCGCCATAGAAAGTCCTCCGTATGCGCGACGCCTTCGGTCCTAGTGCCAACAGTATAGCCTGGCTGAATCGTCTGCGCGGTTGGAAGATACGGGTCCTCGAGCCTGTCGACGTTGTCATTGTACTGCTCCACTAACAGCCTCGACAACATCTTGGTCTGATCATATCCACTGGCACTTTCAAGCTTCCTCGCAATGTCTTCTCTCGATTCATCTGCTGCGGGAATATATCCGCCTGAGACATAGGTCAGAGGACATGAACTGGATCGCATCGCCACAGCAGAAAGAATCTCCACGGTGCTATCAACGTTCGTCGGTCGGAGAGTCTCATAAGAGTCAAGCCAATTGACTCGCGCTCCGTTGTGGATAATACCATCAATCCGTGACTTGCTGGATTCTCCAGTGAGGCACTTCCATTGTTCTGTGGACAGCCCCAGTTTTTCCTTGCTCAAGTCTCCAAGCCAGATCTCAACACGCGGGTCCAGGCTCCCCGTCCACCACTCGCCGATCTCGGCATGATATTGGATCTTATTCTCAGCTTCAGATATCTCGTTTGCCCGGACTAAACCTATGATATGTCCGACACTATGCTCCGCGAGTAGACAGCGCAACACTTGACTCCCCAGGAACCCGGTAATTGATGTCACGAATATGGTCTTCTTGGTGTTGGGAGGCGCCTTCATTTGTGGTATAATATGGTTTAGCTCGTCGAGGAGATCCACGGTCGTGCCGTCGTCGGTCGCTTCGGCGTCCCCATGGAATAATTCTTCGAGATGTCTGATTGTCAATCCTGGCACCTGCAGTCTTCCCACCTTGATGTCCATTCCCCAATCTCGTCGCATGAGCCCTGTAAGTTGCGCCATTTCAACGGAATCAAGCCCAACACTTGAAATTGGAAAGTCATGATCCCGGACACGCTCAGCGACTGGATCTTGCCTGGCTTCTAATATATCTGCAACTATGTTGCTAAGCTTAACAGCAAACTCTCTTCTCGGATCGATCTTCTCCCACTGTGTCGTGGAAGAGGCTCCTGGTCTGTGCGCAACTAGCTCTGTTCTGTTCATCCGGGAGATAGATGCACGCAATCGCCGTTTATCTTTCTTCTTCGACTCGCTTAATGGGATTGACTCGATCGGTATAAAGACCGAGGGCATCATGTACGAAGGCAATTGTCCCTCCAGTGCCGCATGCATGTCATTCGCCAACGACGAGATGGCATCTTGAGGAGTTTCGACGTAAGCCATAATCTCCAGATTCTCTTCTTTCCCGCCAGCACCGGCCAGAACGACTGCGGCTTTACGCGGAGCAATCACGGACTCAAGGACCCTCTCAATTTCCGTCAGCTCCACTCGCATGCCACGGATTTTGACGAAGCCGCTCTCGCGGCCAATAAAGATGGCGTTGCCCTCAGCATCGAGCTTGGCAAGATCGCCGGTTCTATACATTGGACACTCTGCGGTATTTTGGAATTGGGCATACCACCTCGGAGTCTCGATGAATGCTGAAGAAGTCTGGTCTGGATCGTCCAGATACCCCTTCCCGAGATATGGAGTTTGTATGAGTAGTTCGCCTATTGCGCCAATGGGGAGTAGCCTTTCCACGTTGTCGGGATCCACAATCCAGCAATTGACTCGAATACCTCTCCCTATATCCTTGGGGTCATTGCCTAGTTCCATGCCGGTCTTTATTGTATCCCAAACAGACGTTTCCGTAGTGCCATACATGTTATTCAGCGTGACGTGACGAGACCAATTGCGAAGGATGTTTGAGCTTGGCGCATCGCCTCCGATAGAAATGTCTCTGAGTGAAGGTAAGCTTGCCGGCTCAAGCTGTGCGACCACTGCTGGAGTCAAGGTAGCATCTGTGATTTCGAGCTTGCACATGGTCGACTGCAGATCCTCCACTCTTTCTTCCGTCGATGGAACACAAACAGTTCCTCCAACAATCAAAGGCCCAAAGAGCTCCAGAATGCTAGCATCAAAGGAAAACGAGGCGTACTGCAACTGGTTCGTGTCCGGGCCCAAGTGCAAGGCCTCGGTGACATCTTGCAAGCCTCCAGCGACTGCTCGGTGTATGTGCACCACGCCTTTTGGGTTGCCTGTACTTCCGGACGTGAACATGATGTACGCAACCTGCGAAGGGTCGCTGGCTGTCTCTGTGTGCCAGCCCTTAGGAACCTGTAGCTGCTCTAGACTAGAGAGCGTGATTAGCTCGACATGATCACAACCCGACTCGGTCACTTTGTCCGTGAGCGCCGCCTCGGTGATTAATGCTTGCATTTTTGACTTCTGGGCAATGTAGCCCAGTCGGTCCCCGGGACATGAAACATCGAGCGGAACTAGAGTCGCTCCTGCACGCAGGACACCGATGATGACCACAATCGCCCATGCGGACTTTTCCAGATAGACTCCGACCCTGCTGCCTGGTTTGATGTCTTTGGCTGCTAGCTCGTGGGCTATTGCAGCAGACATCTTGCCAAGCTGTTCGTATGTAAGTCTTTCAGTGGTGCTGCGTATTGCAATGTTCTCGGGGCTTGATCGGTAGTGTTGATTGATCAATCCATGGATTGTATCCGGTGATCTCGGGGTCAGGTCCGCCTGCCACCTTTGGAATTGTTGAATATCGTAATCTGTGGCGAGATCGAGATGGGCTATCTTCAAGGACGGAGTGTCTGTCATCGCCTTCCATATGTTTTTATAAGCTTCAACAACGGCTGACAGATCGGCTGATGCCTCGCGGGCATGGGAGTATATCCGAGCAGTCACTCCCATCTTCGTCGGATGAAGACTGACTATCATTCGACACTATATCCAAGTTAGTCATGAACTTGAGGAAGACTGCCAGACATACCTCACACCCCGAAACGACTTCCTCCAGGGATGTGTCTTGGTTCTGGTCGATGTATACCGCAGACATCGACTGCTGACTCTCCGAACTCGTGGCCTCATTCACATTTGGCAGGGAGTTCAGAAGCTTTTGGAGGGTCTTGTCCTCATCAATGTCACATGACACCTGATGCGACGCGACAGACTTTTTTGTGGATTTGTCCTCTTGTTGTCCTTCATTTCGAAGAAACAAAAAGGCCACATTGTCCTGGTGGTTGTAGAAATGCAACAAAAGCGCCCAAGCGGATAGTGCGTGAGCTTCCAGGTTCTCTGGTGCAATACCAGTTAAGTCTACTGAATGAGACACGCGAGCCTTTGGTGGTGCCTTGTCTTTATAGCCATCGTCCTTAAGGGTAGTGGTGCGGTCGCTCCCGTTATCGGTAGTTCGACATGAATCAGCCATGATGTATAACAATCAATAGGTACAAAGGATAAGAAATTGTAGCAAGTGTTCGTTCCTTGTGTGTTATATGGAGTTGATTTCTTTGTGACCAAGCAGGATCATGATGTTTTTTATACTATCTACACTGCCTGGGCAGGCAAGTCATTGGCTGGGACGGCAGCCGCAACCTCTCTTCAATTCAGACACCTGCAGCGCCATCCCTTGCAGCCACCTCCACACATCTATCGTGAGAAAGCATGGCTCCTATACAAGACATCCACGTCGACTAGAACAGCCGCGTTGCATGTAATGCTATATGCACTTCTCGATCGAGACGATGGTGCACATTCAAGGCTCTATTGGTGACGCCTTCGGATACAAGATCCAAGCTCACCGTCCTACCATCGTGAACACGCCAGTCCAAATCCGATCATATTGAGCTGGTCAGCTCATCCTAGTACTCGAGATCGGCTCAGCCTATTGACCAGCACATGTCTTGCCCCATTGCCGCGAGATCTTAGGTAGTGTCTCCAGCAACTCTCCCTCTCCAGCAAAGACGTCCCCACATGAAACCCCCAAATCCAGACCCTCACAGAGCTTTCTTTTCCCCTGCAGTATTCCTGCTGAAAGTGTCTTTCTGGATACTGCATCTCATCCACACACACTCCCAACACACCATCCCCCCGCGAAGTCCGCACCAAAGCCCTGACATCACCCTCCTCCCCCCTTTCCATCCCCAACCAAGAACTATGACATCCCAATGACACCATCCCCCTTCACCGGCCAGGAACAAAATCGAAATTCCCCCGTACTGGGGTTCGAACCCAGGTCTGAAGCAGGAAACCGTTAGGTGACCCACAACCGTCGTCTCCATCTAGACCATACGGGGTGTTATTGAGAGAGACAGCACTTGCCAGGCTTATAGCCGAACCCCGCTGTGGGGTTTTATGCTGCCATCGCACGTAGAACAGGCCTTTTTGGATTTTCTTTTTGATGGATTGGCTCTGCTAGGGTGTTTTATGAATGCATTTTTTTGGATTTGGATGTGAGGGTTGGGTGGGGTTGGTGGAGGGGTTTTGTTGGGGGGTGTTGCTGCGCTGGGTTGGTTTTGGGGATGGATGGAGGAGATTATTGAGATATAGATGGTGATTTTGGTTTGTTTGTTCTGAGGGTCTGAGGGTTTGTTGAGCTTCAGTGGGGATTGTGGTGAGATGCTGTGGAGGCCGAAAGGGGCTCGGCTGAGGCAAGTCAAGATGCTGGGATCTGGACCTTCACGTGGGTAAGTATGCTGGTCTAGATTCGGAGGTACTTTCGCTTATATCGCTATTCTTATCACTCATTTAATAGTTGGTGGTGGCTGTTTAGTGTCTGGAGGCTTGGGGTACTGCTGGGGAAGGAGCAGACGGAGTAGACGAGGAGAACAATGGGAAAAATGGGGTCAGTGGAACAGAGGACTTCTCAATCATCCTTGATGATAAGGCAAAACATGAATCAAGCAGGGTTGATTGCTCTATGGGGAGCTTTGACGGACTCAGTATTCTGAAAATACACTCCTTGCATCTCGCTTAATGTTGCGCTAGACAGAAGTATGAATAAAGAGGACACTACTGGTGATTCCCATTCACCCTTTGAGACTGAGCTTCCAATATACTGTTCTGGTCTTTCAATTCAGCGAGACTTTACAGCATTTCCTGCGGAACATGCCTGCATGTCCGTCAGAGACCTCAAAGCGCGTGGTTGAAGATCTCCGATCCAGTTGAGACTCAGCGCTGCAGCGATCTATAGCCCGACGCTTATATAGGGCTACCACACTTACACTCCCCTGCACGTTCTCAGATCAACTCCTCTCTGTCACTAGCCCTGCTGTGTCCTACTCACTCAGTCAGTAGTCACATCCAGACTCGTTCCAGACTCTTTACAACAGCACCACAAAGCCCGTTGTGGAAGCCTAACCAGAATGGCAATACCAATACCTTTGGGATATCTGGCCGGGGCGCTGGTCGCCTTCTGGCTCGCTTTCGGCGCCGCCTGTGTTCTCGGATTGGTTACCTGCGCGCCCCTGGCTGCGTTCGGGTACAATATGTGCGGTGACTTTTGGTACTGGTTTTACTGGCTGTTTAAGTGGATCATGGTGACGCTGGTTGTCGCCGAGGTCGTGGTGCGGTTTCTGAGAAGGGATTATTCCGTTCTGGATGAGTGGATTCAGTCGCTGTTGGCCTGATGCGCCTGCCTCTGCCGGTCTGCTGCCCCCACTCTCCCGCCCGCGCTGTTTCCTACTGGAACTTGAGGATATTTATTCTATTCTAGAAAGGGGGACACTAGACTATTAAGTTACTTAAGGCTTACTGCTGCTAAGAAGGATCTGCAGTATCAGTAGTTATACCTATCCATTTAAGTGGTAGTTTCTTAATATTGATATTTAACATTTGACATTTATACATGTCTAATATATTTAACGGAAAAATACTCATCTTACTATTCAAGCCAGCTTAAAGGTGTTATGGATTATCTTCTCAACAGCTTGTGCTGTGTACAGTACTTGGTCTAGATATCCCTCCCATGCCAAGCACCCTCAGTATACATCATCCTGCTCTCCTCCTGCTCTCCTTCTTCTTTGCTCCCTTTACTTACATCCACAGCATGATTTCTCACACTATCTCCACACCAATCATTCAGTCTAGCTCATATACAAAATGAAAAGGGCCATTACTGATAGCTCCCCCATCACCCTCTGGGACTAAGCCTTCATCATCTATATGATTCTCATCTTTCAATCCAGCAAGACTTTACAACTAATCCCGGTATTCCTACGGAACGTGCCTTCAGTTCCTTCCTCTCAAAGCGCATGGCTGACGATCTCCATTCCAGACTAAGACTCAAAGCTGCACAAATTGATAGCGTTATGCTTATATAAGACAGCATGGAAATCCCTGCATCTTATCCCATCGTATCAACCCGGACCTATCAGTACCCTGCCGTGCCCTAACGTACTCAGTAGTGACACCGACATATCCCTGTACCCCGCATCCTCGCCACAGATCAGAATTTTTGCTTGAGCAAGGAATCAGACAGAAGAGTCGCAATGTTCGCCGACCCCCTGATGGATTACCTGACCCATATCTGGTTCGGTCTCGGCAGCAGCTGCTGTGTCGGGTGGTTGTTCTGCCTGTTCCTCAACCTGTTGCGGCGCAACATATGCGACGACTATGAGTTCTGGGCGGAGTGGCTGTACACATGGCTTGATGTGACTATGTATCTCATTGTGTTCTGGGCGTTCTGGCACACCATTATGAATCACGATCCCGATCTCGAGCTGGATGGCGTTCGGTGAGACCGGCCTGGTTGCCCCACTTCCCCCCTCCCCCCGCGTTTTTGCCCGCTGCCCCGCACGCCCGGCGGATGGGCCCGGTTTCCAGAAGGGAATTCAATCTATTTTGGGATAGGAGGGGATGTTCACTAGTAGTAGCAGTAGTAGGCCACTAGTCTTCCAGGTGCACCATTAAGTTGAATTGCTATATCTGTGGTTAAGTAATAGCAAGGCAAGCACGTGTGGTTTCTTACACGGTTACTGCTCCTCTCTAAGTAGTTTCTTCTCAACAATCGACGATGACATTGATATTTGGTCAATTCAACAGAACAATTCTAACGTGACTAACTCTATCTGTCATCCATCTCTGGTTGGTATATATACATTTTAAAGGTGGTCTTGATCGCCTTCTACTTCGTGCTGTGCACTGGCATCGGCCATATACCACTTCCTCCGTTCTTCTCTCGCATCAACAGTATCTTCCCCACACTATCTCAGCCTCAATCATTCAGCCTAACTCAGATTCAACACTTTCCTCCCGTTCTTATCTTTGAATGAAACTTGCCCCCCAGAAAAGGTCAAAGCACAGCAACCATACCCCCAGCACCTCCCCCGACCGGGCCGGGCTCACTCTTAACACATGAATATAATACTCACGCCATAATCAAAGTCATCCCAACTTCCACTCTTAATCCTCCTTCCCTCTTTACTAACGGACGGACAGATTTGAGACAGCATGTGGTTGCTGCGGTCCATGGAGCGATTTTCTGGTGTTCGTGGTGGTAACTATACCTTACTACGGCATAACTGTGCATCGCGGGATCACGTGGCTCGGACTCGGAACACTCGGGACTGCCGACACGTGACGGCATTGTGTTACTGACGCCATGCGCAGGGCTTTTCTTTTCTCGGGGCAGATGCCTGCTGCGAAGGACCAAGATCGGACACACTGGTGCAGAGAGATACACCCCACCTACGATAGCAAGCAAGGTGCCTGGGGCGTGGGTACCGTGACAAGACACGTCGTGGTTCTGTTTAACAAGAATCAAAAGGGAAAAGCATAGGTCAATAAAGCAAGAGCCTATTCACACAAGTCAAGCAGATGGCAGAAACAGCCTCATACAAAGACAAAAACCTCAACACCAGTGACACGTAACAAAAAGCGCCGAGATGATGGTTTATGCAGCAAATATGCTTGATGCTTGGCCGCTGCAGCAATATCCAATCACGCCGCCTCAATTGAAAAAAAGAAAGTTCTCAGCAAGGTACCAGTCCCGTAACACAGTTCGTAAAAACGCCGATCTTTATCCAGTCAGTCAGTCCCAAAGATGCTGTCTGCAGAAGTCCCCATATTATACATGTTCCCACGCAAGTGCAACCAGAGATAAAGGGTATCTTATGTATTTTCTCCCAAGATGCTGAACAAAAGAAAAAAGAAAGAAACAGAAAAGGAATCAGCGTTCACCCACTTTGCCATACTCCTGCTGCCATTTGAGGAGATGGCGCGTGAGTACATCCATCATTTCGACGCTGCTCAGTTCCTTGAAGTCTTTCTCTTTCTCGATCGACGTCGGCCCACTGGCGGCATCGCTGTCCGAGGCAGTCGCGCTGGCCGGGTCAATGTCGCCAACGGCCAGCGCCAGTGCACTCTCCAACAGACTGCCATTGACCCGGGCGGCACCGTTGTTGGGAGGCGTCGTGCTCTCCCCGGCCACAGCCATTTCGACCTGCATCCGTGAGATGAATTCGAGAATAGCCGTCACACGTCTCTTCATCTCATTCATGGTGGTGCGCTGGTTCACATAGCGCGGCCGACTGGGCTTGCCGGATTCCCCACTTAAATGTATGCCATTGATCCTGGGCGAATCGCTGCCGATGTCGTGCGACTGCCCGCGTCGCGGAGATCGGGTCGAGAAGTTGGAGTCCGTTCCATTCATATCCCGATCCCGAGTGTATTGGTTGCGACCCACGCGGCCCCCGCGACGGGCAGGTGGACGGCCCGATTTCCGAGTGGCGGGACGCGATGGTGCTGGTTCTGGTGCAGGGGCGGGAGTGAGTTCAGGGCTGGGTGGTTTGGGTTCGGGGTCGGTCGCAACTGGCTTGATTGGCGAGCCGGGCTCATTTTCGGACTCTGCCTCGTCTGCGTGTGTTAGTCATTCTGTCAAAAGTACTCATGGAATACACAACCTACCATCTTTCGCCTTGTCGGACCTGCCTTTCCTGCGGTTTGCGGCGTCTGCTGGTTCGGACTCAGGTTCTTCGGTATCCTTGAGATCCTTATCGCGCTGTCCGCGCGATGCAGCCCGCTGTCTGCGAGCTATATTATTGACCGGTTTGGCTCTGGACTCATCTTCTGAGACCTGTTGAGACACGGGATTGCTCTTGGAGACTGCGCCAGGTGAGGGTGAGCTCGTGCGCTGGCGTTTCGTGGTTTGCCTTTGACTGTCTCAGATCAGTTTGACGGCAACACTGCCAGCATCATTCGGGATGACATACGCTTCGCTATCACTGCGGCTTCTTTTTGGTCTCCGTGCAGCAAGTTCATCCCCAGGTTTCGTTTCTTCCTTGCTCTCTTCGATTGCACGCCGCAGCTGCTCCTCCTCATCATATGCTGCGTCCCGACTGTTCATTGTGGATCGGCGCTTAGGATTGATAGCTCCGTCATTCGACCTTGTCTTTGGGTCTTTATTGCGACGGGAATTATCGCGCGATGATTCTCTCGACGAGACGGCAGTGGAGGGAGGCGGGGGGGCGACCGGCAGATATTGGGAGGAGTATGATCTGTGTTACTGTGAGCAGAAAGCAGAGAAGGAGAGAAGAGACGTGGGCCCATAGATAACTGCAGTCCAAACAAAGACAAAATCTCCAGTTTTTGCAGCTGTGACTGGTGTCGCTGATGCGACAAAAAATTCACAGCAGCGAGCAGTCCCACCAAGCAAAAACAAGAAGAGGCTGCCAACACGAGTGCACCCAAGCAACGAAAACCAGCAACGAAAACCAGCAACGAAAACCAAAACCCAGGGTGTGAACCTACCCATTTATTTCATTGAGGATTTTGTGCAAATCCTTTCGGCACTCCTCGCAAAAATATTCATCTGGGCTCATGGCCTCATCCATGATACCCACGCAGCCACCGTGCTGCCAGACTTTGCAGGAATCACACTGAATGAACATGCTGCCGATGTCGTCCGACATCAAATCAGCCGGATCGGCAGAGAGACCCAAGAGGGCCTCGTCTTTGATGCCACCACGCAGTCCATTGCGACCAATTGCCTCCCGACGCGAGGGAGGCAGACCCGGGTATTCTTGCTGTCCACAGAGACAGCGAGTGATCTCTTCCTCTTCGTCCTCCTCATCTTCACCGTCGTCGTCGTCCCCGTCGGCGAGTTTCATCTGATCGTTATCCTCCTCCCCTCGAGCACGCTGGCGCTGCCGCGTCTCTCTGTAATCCCCTTTCGAGCCAATGTCGGCGTCGTCAATCGACTGGGATCGGTTCGTGGAGGATCGCTGAGGGGAGGAGATCTTGTGGTGGGAGCGAGTGCTTCGTTCGCGAGTCATTGAGGTGGAGGAGCTGGAGGAGTTGGTATGTTGTAGGATGGCTGGGGATGGTTGTGAGGTGCGAGCACGAGAGGAGCGCCGAGGCGTCATGGTGGGAGGAGGGTGGTGGGAGGATAAAAATAGCGGGAGAACTCTGCAGGAGACCCCAGCCGTGCGTGTAGGAATATAGAGGGAGAAAAATATATAGATAAAAAGTTGGAGCACAGAGTAAAAGCTGAGCACGCCTGCCCGTGAACGATCAAGTTGTCGCACACGGGTGGGAAGTGGTGGGATTCAAGAGCGACGCCCACGATGGTGGTGGTGGTGGTGGTGGTGGTGGGAAAGACAACCAGAGGATGCTGAGAGTAAAAAGCCGGGCAGATCAAGGAAAGGAAGCTGGCAATTGGGAACCAAGGCAGGGAACGATCCGAGAACAACGCCTGCAAGCTCAACTTCAGGCCGAGGACTACATAGTCAGAGGGGGGAGAAAAGGTGGGGAGAAATTGGCAGAACAAAAGAAGAGGAGACAGAGGAGGAGAAGGCAGAGGAGCGAGCGAGCGAGCGAGCGAGCAAGAGGAGGAGGGCGAGAGGAACGGACGGACTCCAACCAAATGACGGACGGCCGCCGGAACGGGACCGACGACTTGCTGCTGCTTTCAATTCTGCGCGCGGGATTCGCTTTGCGGTCAACGCGCATTGGCTTTAGAGTCACTTCTTCCCCGCTCTTCTCTTCGCTCCGTCTCTTCCTCCATCACCCCATCACCTTTTCTTTCTCGCGACTCTGTCGCGTCGCCTCGTTTCGTTCGGTATCCTCTTCTCTAAAACCCGTGATACTTCCTCAACTCCGATCTTCCCTCTCAGTTTCCCCTCCTTTCCCCACAAGACCTTCTCTTTCGTCTTGTTCTTGCGCATCAGGTGCCTGGGGAGGAATGCGACGATGCCTCCCATTCCAGTGCCCTGAAACCCCGCTTACCGACCATGCACCTCTGTCAACATCTGTTGATGACGAGATGCCTCAACCATCTGTTTGGTTCTCTCTTTACCGTGTTCCATGTGTTCCAGGGTGTGCTACAGATACAAGGTTCCTTACAGCTCGACACCAAAAAAATGGGGTGGGGGAATTGCCCAAATGATACGTATGCTGCAAGCCTCTACTCACGGCATTTTGCAACGAGCTATCATCCCACAGCCAAGTTGGCATGATTACATTCCCATTCCACCAAGATGTCAGACAATTCTCTTTCGGACAGCAGTTGCACCGCTGCCCCATCGCTGCCTATTACTCGACGTGTCCTAGTCCCCCGATATCCATCAGATCGGGTATATTGTATGTGAGGAATCAGGGTCGCGAAGGGCGTAGGTGAGGAGCAGATGGGTTTGTCAATTCGTAGGCAGTGATGTGTGACGGTTGGCTTGAAGCAGGGTAATCGGCACCGCGATTGTCTGGCTATGCTAGTTGTGGTCATAGTGCTCAGAAGGATGGTCCAGGACTCGGCAAGACTCCAGTATTCGTTCGCTTGGTGGCGATCATATCCGACAAAGTTGCGTAGGATACAAGCACCGGGAAGTGCCAGGTCAGTATGTCGAGCCGGCTGAGCAAGTGGTGAAGATGACGACGGGAAGCAAGAAAAAGTGCTGGGACTGGGTTTAGTTGAGTCTTTGGTCGGGTGGGGCTATCGTCCAAAGCCGGACTAGCTCGGCCCAGCTCTGCCCGGCTCTTCTGCCTCAGGCATTCACCACTCAGGCATTAGCAGCTCCTCAAAGAGAAAGCGGATTACTTATTGGTCATTCATAATAATTATCGACCGACGATTCGATTCCACCACCCCTCCGCCTTCTTCGTCCCCTATACCTTAATGTCCTTTCCCCCCTCTCCCCCTCTTCTTTCTCCCCAGATTTAATTCCCTCCGTATATTTTGGCCCTCACTTGTCTGGCTGGGGCCTTTCAATCCGTTCCTATTCCTCCGAGTTACGCTCCAGGTCCGGGGTTGGGTTGGCCTCGTTTCTCGGTCTGTCCCTACCAACACCTCGGGCTGAGTCAAAGTCTGCATGAGCGGTACCGGTGCATGGTCAACAATGTGAGTCCCTTGCTCTCATTCGGCATTTTCTTTCGCACTTGCCCTGGCGGTTGAGGTCTGGTGGAAATGGACACCTTGGATGCACGCTTGGGCAGCGGTCCGGTCAAACATCGTGTGGTTCCGTTTGCCAACGTAGGGGAAACATGACAACTAAGTGTGGGTGCCAAATCAGTGCCGGTTCACGATCAACCCGCCGTTCGTCTCCCTCCTCCCTCCCCATAAATCGCCTTTTCCCAGTCGGTCAGACGAAATCAACCTTTTGGGAGGGGCCTTGACGGAAGACCATTATCGTCGCTCAAAAAAGCTAGGACAATAAGATAACGGGGACAATACTGTTGGGGTTGGCTGTTCGGAGAATCAAAACGGCGTCTCGGCCGTCATTGTGGTTGAAGCGAGTTGAGAATCTTGCAGCATGACTGCTACGTTGAGTATGTCTTTTACCAACGATTTCTGTTCCTCGGGAGAAGGAACGCCTGGCGTTCTTGGTGCGTACAAATAATGGAAATTGCCCCCGAGGCGGGCCACAGAGAAGAAAGGCTGGAGGGTCTGCTGGCTGCTGGGTTGCTGATACTGTTCACCCGCAGATGGGATGTTCAATGCGGCTCCTGATACACCGTCTCCTGTCTACCCGGATCGTTTAATTCGTCCTCTCCCTAGACGTACCCTTCGCTCTCGCCTGTCCTCCGAAGCGGCCGACTCGATCCTCTTCCCTCCGGCCCCGGCAACTCAACTCTTCTACGGGACCTCGGTGGATAGCGCGAATCTCGTAAATGACACGAAGGTGTACGTGCAACAGAGTGAAGGTGGTGATCAGAGCCCCGAGCGTGACCACCTCCAGTACGAGAACGGAATAGAGTTGGTGAGCGGCGATGAGGACGGGCCTGTAGTTGTTCGACGAAGTGCCGGTTTTCGAGGGTCCTCCTTGTCCCCGTCGGCCTCCAGTGCACAACCTCAGGCCGTCCCCACCAACGGGGACCGGGCGCCCGTTAAGTCATCTTCTGCGGGTCCTGATGGGTACGACGCGTTTGAGAACACTAACAACAAGAAGAAACGCAAGATCCCGACTCCAGGCAGCCTTGGGAGCCACCATTCCACGCTTTCTCCTGAATTTTCCACCATGGGGCTGGCCAGCTCGGTCCAACCCTCCTCGGCCAGTGAAAGCAGCCATGTGAGTACATTCTACGGCACCGGGAGCCCCGCGTCGCCGATATCCAGTGGCATGTCCGGGGCCGGCAGAGGTCGTCTCGGTCGTCAACCGCATCGCAGCACCGGCCGAAACTCTTTCTCGCTTCACTCACCGATCAGCTGGCCTCGGACCCCCAGCCGACGCGACGGTCTGTTGTCCTCCCCTGGGCCTGCAGGTACACAAACATCCGTCTCCCGGTCGACCAGACATTTGCTTATTTGTACTCCAGGAGACTCGTCCGAGAAACCCGACCAGGGTATCATTTCAGCGGCCATCGCTAACGCCGCCGCGTCCGCGTTTGCCCCTCGCCCTGCCAGTCCCAGCCATGTCAGCATGCTCGAACGACACACTCCCACGCCTACTAAGACACAATTCACGTTCACGTGTGAATCCGATTCCTCGAAAGGCATGGCGCTCCAACCCCCGACTCTGTACCCCGCGCTCCACCGCTCACCCTCGTCTCTCCCCGCTGCTGCGCCGAACCAGAGGGGCCCCTCTCAAGGAACACAAACGAGCCCCCACATGGCCGCTCAGCCCAACACACAGGAATCTCAGCACCAACCACCGCAACCGCAAGCGGGCACGGGTGAAGCTCCTGCGGCGAGGAAGAAGAAGCGATCGCCGGGCAGTGTTTACGCTCTGGCTGCGCGTCAACGCAAAATTCAGCAGCAGTACGCAAACCTCCACCACCCCCCGATTATTGAGGACATCTGGATCTGCGAGTTTTGTGAGTACGAGAGTATTTTCGGACGTCCACCGGAGGCCCTCATTCGGCAATACGAAATCAAGGATCGCAAGGAGCGCAAGCGACTGGCCGAGAAGAAGCGACTGCTTGAGAAAGCCAAGATGAAAGGCCGCAAAGGCAAGAAGGCGTCTAAGAATGCCACCAAGCAGGCAGCAGCTCAGCCGGCAACCTATGACCATGGACACGATCGCGCATCTGTGGATCACTCTGCGACGGGAGGCGGGGCTGGAACCCATGAGGATGAGTATGGGAGCAACGAGCATGAAGAAGAGGCGGACTCAAGCCCACCAGCACCACCACCTTTAGCTCCCCCGACAAGTGCCAAGGGCGCCTTACCACCGAGCAATGCACCAAAAGTGGCGGCGACGGGGTCGGGCGCTAAAGGGATTGTTGACGGAGAGACGCGGCCGCCCTGACAAAAGAAGCGATGGCGCTCGGGTATGTGACCAGTGAGTAGCCATTGCGATTGTTCGGTTTTGCGTCCTTGTCTGTTGATGTTTAATGGATTGTTCTGTTTTTGTTCTGCATGATCGATTGTTAGCCTTGTTTTGTTTTGTGTTGTTTTGCATGGAATGAATCCCCGCTCTGGTCGATGAATGTCACGTCAGCGTCATGCATGGTTTCTGGTCCAATTGGCATTGTGTTTCAACATTGATACATATTGGAAGGATGGGGAATGGACTGGGTTGCATAGTTGCATAGGATTAAGGTTTGGCTGATTGAGTATCAATAATGAATGAGGTCTGATGGCATGTCAGGTTTTGAGGTTTGGCAGGTTTGGCAGGTGAGCATGGTTTAGTAGCAGCTGTCTGATGTATGTGAAGTCTAGGTAGCAGGTTGGCGGCCTAGCAGCTAGTGTTAGGGAGGGGGTCGAGATGAATGAGATGAATAAAGAAGCCGTGCCAGGGAGGCAGGCGGATAAACTCTGAAAGCTGAAAGATTTTCATGTTGAAGGTTAAGTTGTTTTGTAGTTGTTGCCAAGCGAGGATCTATTGGAATCCAGCCACCGACCGCTGGGGCGGGCGCTTTGTCTGCACCAACCATTCTGCTGGTGATCTAAGCGCCGCCTGTCGATCTGAAACGGGCCGTAGGAGTGTGCAGAACCCATCGGAACCTCGCAGTGGCAGTGGCTAACTTCAAGGTTCTCTTCGCGCGCGTCTGCGGATGCAAGGTCTACCTAGTAAACTTACTCTATAGTGTTTCAACCCTGAGGAGGGGGGAGGGGAGAGGGGGAGCTCCTGAAGAAGATAAAAATAGGTGTTGAGGAGGGTGGTCTGGTAGCCGTGGAAGGATATAAAGAGGTGAAGGGGATTGTTCAGCAAGATAGCAAGCAAGCAAGCCAGCGACGTTCTTTCACTCATTGTTCTTTCTATGTTCTGTTTGTCGGTCATTGACATTCTTCTCTACATAAGCCTGAGTCTGCATATTGACCCTTCTTAACACTTCCTTCTGTGGAGTACATCTCAAGACCATCCTTCTGCATATATCAGACATATACCCGAGACAGCGTCCATCTTTCTTTTCAGTGGCTTTCTCCTTCTTCTCGTCTACATAGATCTCCTCCAGCATATACACAATCAGATACAGACACAGATCCAGACCCCCAAGAACCTGGAGTTGTCCTGCGCCGGCGCATTACAACACCACACCACACTACACCCAAAACCACAACCACAACCACAACCACAACCAACCACCCGCCCCAACCCTCAAACCCTGCCACCAAGACCTCTCAACAATGTGGTTCCTCCTCCTCCGCCTCTTCAAACTAGGCTTCCAAGCCCACAAAACCCACAAAGCCAAAAAGAACGGCACCTACGACCCGTCCGGTGCATCCTTCCCGATGTCCACGACCAGCAAAACCGGCACCACCACCACCATAACTACAAACAACATCCCAGCGCACCTCCGCTACAGCCAACCCAAACACTACCTCAGCCTGGTCCTGCACCTCCTGCAACTCGCCTTCGGGCTGACGGCGCTCGCCCTCTACGCGCACCACATCCACACCATCCACGACAGCGCTGCTACCGCCTCCGCCGCGCCCAAGGATGTGTACGCCATCGTCACAGCCCTGCTCGCCGGCAGCACCGCGATCGCGTACCTCGTGCTGATGCACTACATCTTCAGGGGAAGGGTGCCCCTGGCGCGCCGGGCGGGGTGGCAGCTGCCCCTGTTTGTGTGGGACGCGGTGCTGTGTGTGCTGTGGTTGACGATGTTTGGGATCTTTGGGACGGAGTACCTCGGGAAAAAATCGGCGACGGAGAGTGGGGAGACCAGGCGGATGAGGCATGCGGTTTGGGTGGATTTGGTGAATCTGGGGCTGTGGGTGGGCTCGGCGGGGTGGACGGGGGTGAGGTGGTGGGGGAATCAGAGGGGCACTACTGATGGGGATAAAGAGGGGGAGGGTTTGGGGGTGGAGAAGGGGGTGGAGGTTGATGGGGGGATGGTTTGATTTCTTCGGTTATTGGGGAGTTTTGGCTAGGTGGTGGGCGGGACGGAGGGGAGGAGGGGAGGAGAGGAGAGGTTGGGGTCAGAGGCAAGGGTGGGAGGACTTCAGGAAAGAAAGGGTCGGGCTGGAAAATCGGTGGCTTAATGGGGTGGCTCTACGGTGTCTACGGTGTCTATGGTTCATGATTGTCAATCGGTTTATTCTTTGATCTCTTAAGCACAAGCAAGCCATATCTACTGTTTAGAAAATGCCGCTACATACATCGTGATCGTTTGCCGTGACTTCGTAATATGGACATCCTCTTGCAACACCTCCAGGCGGTCATGTCTAGCTATCCTTAGGACGACGCAACCCGCAACCCCCTCGGCTCCGCTCCAGCATCATGCTAATTCCACTGCGGCTGGGGGGCAACGAGAACGGAGTCAGCAAAGCCGGTCCCTCGTCCTCCTCGGCGCTGTCGTCCTCGACATCAGAGCTCACGGACATCTCATCGTCCGATATGGTCTCCAGTGTCACGCCAGAGGTCGGGGCCGTCGATGCAGTGCCAGGTGAGCTCTCAAATCGAGGAGACAGGTTCGTACTGGTGAGTATCCCGCTAGATGCTGTCTGCATCGGGTCTGGAGGCGCTGGCGCGGACAGCGACCCGAAGCCGGAAACCCCCACAGACGACGCAAGGAAGTGCTCCTGGCGGATACTGTCCGAGAACCGCTGCCGAAAGTTCTTGTCGACCAACTTGGCCGTGGATGGCTGGTAGTTCTCAGCCTCCAGGTGTCGGTAGTCATAGCGGCGAATAGCGCTTGGCACGAAGAAGTTCGGCTTGGGTGTGGGTGGCTTGACCAGGAAGTCGCCCCACGGACGCTTTCGCGGTGGTGGTGAAGGGACTCTAGGTGGGTTGTCTGGGTTGAGCAGCTCCCTCAAGTCCTCAAGGAATGCTGCCGGCAGACTGCCCGACTTGAACTGCTCTTCTGGGTGACTGGCAGCTGTATCAGGTGTCTTTGACTGGGATTCGACGCTTTCACACAGCTCTTGGTCTGCATCCTTAGGGGATATAGCAACCTCTTGAGAAAGAATCAGAACCCATTCTCTATGCTAGCAAGTTACTGCCTACCTTCCACAGTCTCGGACACCTTGATCTCATTCTGCTTGGGTTGAATCTGAGAATAGTCGGTCAGTGGGGTCGGCTCTGCAATGGTAGAGACGCCAGTGGTTTCCAACAGCGGCTGAGAGGAATCACGCTGCATCGACTTCTGAATTTCGACAGGTCTCACACTCTCAGGTATGGAGTCGCCTTGCGGAGTCAAGAGGCGAGTAGGATCACCACTAGTACCAGATGACTGTTGTGATCCGCGCGGCTTCAGTGCAGAACCACGAAGGTCTTCAGCATCCAGTGGGCCAGATTCCGGCGGAGTCTCCTCGAAGACCGAGCTACTGGTGGTGCCAGACGACTGCTGAGAAGATTTGCGCCGCATCAGCACTGGGCGAGTCTCCGGGTAGTCCGTCATCAGTGGAGCAGGGTCCTGATTAGAACTGCCCGTGGTACCGTTGGAGTGCTGCGACGACTTGCGACGCATGATCACTGGTCGCCGTTTGGCTCCTCTAGCTTTCGCAGCCACGACAAAAGCCTTCTTCGGCGGAGCTCTTGTGGCAGGCTCGGGTACGATCAATGGAGTGGTGGGAATGGGTGTGGGTGTGTTAGAGGGTTTGCGGGTCGTGCTCTGACCATCCAGGCCAGTGAGCAGGATACGGGTAGTCTTGTGTGTTTCTCCGTGGGAGGAGTGACTGCTACTCGGCTTCTTCAGAATGGGTGGAAGTGGCCTGCCGCTGCCACTGCTAGGCTTGCGCGGCTTGTCGGCCTGGACTGCTCTCTTGTGGGTCTGAGGAAAGTTAGTACCAGAGAAACATGGAGTACAGACCGTGTCAAGAACCATACCTTGTGCAGCTCAGATAAGGAAATCGAACGCTGGTCTGAGATCCTCGAGAACAAGTCGGCCAGCATGGAACCAGTGATAGATTGCAGCAGGCGCTTGCTACCCCAGATCCTCCAAAAGAAGTTCTCAAGCCGGTATCCTTTGTCATCATTGTGCACTGACGGGTTGGCGCTGTAGACTAGAAAGCACAGCCAAATAGAGTAAGCACAGTACAATAAGTTCATGGAGGGAGAGAGAAGGTGCGGCGACGCTCACCTCTCCACAAACGGGCAACATCTGCGACGTCCACTGAATATGCCCCCGTCAAGTCTTCAGAAACCTCTTTGGTCGCTGTCGACAACAAGCCTTTGGGAAGACACTCCATGATTTTCTTTCTGTCCGCTGAAACCCCCGAAAGACGGATCTGACAACAACAAGAGGATTGAAGCAGACAAACTACATAGTATGAAGGAACAGGAGAACCGGGGAAAGAGAGGGAAAGTAAGTGAAGTGAGTGAGGTAAGTGCGCAAGTGATAGCAGGTGATGCTGTCAGTGTTGCGTGTGGCGGTGAAAATGGGGAAGGGAAGGGAATCGAATCCGGGGGAGGCCCATCAACTCATCACTTCATCACTTCACGTAGGGGTTTGTGCTTGGAGGATCAATGGATGGTCGGAACGCTTTCCAGACCGATGGATGGATCAGCTGCAAGGGCAAGCCATACGAAACCCCGGAGATCTTCAGCCTGCAGCCTTAATCCAAGTACGGAGGACTCAGTCACTACTAGGTAGGTGGTAACTGAGGATAAGTCAACACCTACTGCGTAGTGGCAGTAAGTAATGGGCGGGATCATCAGACGCAGATGCCGCCGCCGCCTATTCCATTTCCCTCTTTCTCTTTTTCAGTGTCTTTTTTTCCTTCCTTCTACTCTATGTCCAGGTGACCACGGCTCATTCCAATCGCCCTGCAGGCACTGATTCACTGCAGGCTGACTCCAACCCAGTTTTGTGTGCAGAACATCTGCAAGAAACTCGAAAACCGGGGGGAAACTGGGGGGAAAGGATCGGAGCGGAACGAAAAGAGGCGGACAGTTCGGATTGACCTGTCATTTACTCATTCACTCCCCAAGCGCTTAGCGAAGGCAAGACTCGCCTTTTTCCTCTTCCTCCTTTCCCCTCCAGCCCGGTTGGCTGCCTTTTCCGCTCCCCTCGGAGCTTGCCGACAACAAACAAATCTGACAGATATCAGTGACATGAGTTAACTTATCGTTGTCTTCGTCATATGCTCGGCTCAAACCCGTGACCATGCCATTTTTCTAAGTGACTGACTGTGTCTTACTAAGATTCCGAGATCCTCTGTGAAACAAACTCCGAGACTCTTTCCTAAACCGCCTCCCCGCGCACTAACACTGTGCTGCTGTTCACTCCATTCTGGGGAGACGAGGAACTGCAGATTCCCCCGGTGGCTGTGCTGCATTCATCTGCTCCATTTCCCCGGGTTGAGGCGGATCGGGCACTTTTCACGCCTATGGAGAGGTAGCAGCAAAAGCAATGTCCTTGCCTCCCGATTACACTGTGCAACTTCTGAAGTTGGAAAGGCTACACAGTGCGTCTAAGCTCTTACCTTGTGGGGCATGCCAACTACAGGCAATACCAGCCGAGTTGGGGCAAGCGATCATCGCTCCTCCGATGCACCAGGTCTCACCGCTAGCCTCATTGCTTGGATCTCACCTACCAATGTGCTGAAAGCCGAGGTCCAGAGGCTTCCACTTTGGAATGCTACAATGTTGGATCTCCTGTCCATTGCCCAGCCTATAGGCATCAACCCCTACCCGCAAAGCAGCGGCAGCAAATAACTTCCCCAAAATGGTCCAGCTTGTCAGCCATACCACCCACGTGCTGTGCAATGTGGTGTCACCGACTGAACGCCTCTCATGTGTCAGGACCCTCCTGCCTTTTCTTCCCTTTGATGTGTTCGCAGTGAGTCGAAGTCTGGGCACGTGATAGGGACTTAACACAAAGGAATCACTTCTAGCGAAAGCCCCGCGAGTCGGCACCAGAAACCCAATGCATCTCGGGTACATTATTGGAGAAGGCGAGACTTCGGTTGTACTGGTCACAACTGGGGTTTTGATAACATTGCAACAGGTAAACATGGATTTTGAATTCCATCCACCTGACATGCAGTCCATATATATATACGTCCGTTGCTAATCAATTCCTCATGCGGTAGTCATTCCCATCGTCGCGTTCTGCCACTCGTTGCCATACTCGTTGACAATCCATTGACAGAAATCCTCCCATTGTTGGTTCCACACTTGCATATATTGCGCTTTGATGCCGGTGCCACGTTCTCCGAGATCGATGTCTCGGACCCAGTCGCCATCCGACTGGTCCTCGAAGTTGGCCCATCGAAGACTATTTTGAGCAAGGGCTCCCTAATTACACGGTGGCTGGTTAGATAGGACTAGTAGAAGAGTATCAGGGTTCGATACTCACCAGTCCAGCCAGTCCAATGTTGTCGAACCCTTGTATGGTTTGATAAAAGTCATAGCTTAGCCCGGCCGCATCTTGGCCAAGCATTGCGGGGTCGTCGTTGCTGATGGCAGTAGCAATGCCATGGGCAATCATCGCAGGCAACGGGTGATGGAGAACGTCGGTCGCAAGGCGGAGAACCTCATTCGAGATAGGACAAACTTCAACCATGATCGAGTTGGTGATCACCTCATCGATAAGTTGAGGATGCTTGTACAGACTGAACCCATGGCCGATCCGTCGGGTGTTGAACAGGATCGCATCAACCAGGTTGTAGTCGGTTGAGTTACCATCTCCAAGGGTCTCTCCAGCATGGAAGAAGAAAGGTATCGTGAGGTTCAATCGCTCGGCCTGTTCACGAAACCAGACCAATTCCGGAGCCACATCGGACAAGGGGCGGCCAAGATCTTCCTGGCCTACCAAGTCGTATCCGCTGATAAGCTCAGGGAACTTGGCCTTTCTCCCGAGAGCAACCTTCATGCCTGGTGTTGTCAGCATACATTCCCGGATACAAGGGACAGGCCAACCTACTGCTTGTGAGCGAAGCACGATCCTCGCTTCGGATGTCCGACCAAATCACACGGGCGCCCCAGAAATCCTTCCCTTTGTCGCTCTGCTTGAACTTCGCCAGTTCCTCCACCATTACCTGCCAGTACACATCGAGATTCGGGTCGGCATCCTCGTCACCTTGGTGGACCAGAATCCCCGAGGATGCGCTGGCACGAATTTCCACCCAGTTGATGCCGTCGTCGATCAGAGCTGCAAAGAGCTGCTGGTAGAATGTCCGTAAAATAGGCTCGTACGACATCATACTGTCAGCCGGCGTGAACGCAGCCTGGAAGATCCTCCAAATCTGGTCGACGCCAAGGTCGTGCCGAATGGAATCCTCAGGCTGGAGCTCGAGCTTAGACAAGACGAAGTCGGCGAAAGCTTGGCTTCCCCCGGTAAATGACTGAGCGGCGTACTTAACCGGAAGCTGAGTGTTGGGTACGTAGTCTGTGGAGTCAATTGCTGGCCCTGAGGCGGCAATTGTGTGGTTGACGTGGGCGAAGGCGATGGTCGCATTCTTCTGCTCGATTTCATTCGTGACCGGCTGCGACACGGTGACGACCATCCCCTCCGTCTTCATGACAGCATCGAGTAGAATCTCATACGGAAGCATCGAGGCCAGATGGGCATGCAGAAGAGCGCCCTTGGGCATCCGCTTCACGATCTTCCAGAGTTGTGTGTCGGGGATGAGCGGCTTGGCCTTGGGAAACATCTCGCCCGCAAACCTTTCCTTGTCTTCATCCTCCACCGTCCCTGGCACCCTCCAGAAACTGTCGATCTCATGCTGACGGATCGCGTCGACAATTGCATCTGCCTGTCGAGCGACTGCAGAGAGGTTCTGCCGAAAGGCGTAATCTGCGCCCGCGTCAGTCTGGGGCAAGGGAGCTTAAAACGATCCGACTCACACACCCTGTCGCTGTCGCTTCTCCAACGTGATCAATGCCGACCGATCCTGAAGGTGCTTCTGCACCGCACTGCTGTTTACATCTGGCGCCCCATCAAACACAATTGCAGTGGAAACGGCCGAGACCGAAAGGGCCGCGACCAGGGTCTTGCAGAAATGCATGGCGAGGGAGAGAAAGTGGTAAGGGGGTGTCAATTCCAATTCCAATGGCTGGCGGTCCTCAGCAGGAAAATCGTACGATCCTTTCTGCGGCTGCGACAACAGGCAGCACACTAGAGCTTATATGTCCTTTGAATCCCGCGTTCAATTGATCACTCAGAGGCGGGGGTAGCAATAGCAATCAACGCGCGGGGACAATTCATCTAAGATATACCAAATCAGGACCAGCAAGCATGACTAGCTTCCCTTCCATTCAATTTCAATGGCAAGAGCTCCGATCCCACTCAGCCTTGGCGGTGGGCCTGAAAGATAGCCCGGCGATGGAATGGAACCGGTGGACTTTTAGACTTCGTCCGTTCCTGCTCGCTGTCGGTGCTATCAGCGCAAACTATCGCCAAGCTGCAGCCGCTAGTTTACAGCACCTTACCATCTTGGCTGGCACGAACAGCGCTGAGTCTACACAAGAGGGAGAACAAGCGCGTCAATGGCAGAGAAATTAAAAAAACAAATATCACCCCCAAAGGAAATCAGGAAATAAAGGCAAAGACACCACTTCCACGACGAGTAAATCAGTTGGGGATTCCCATGGTTGAGACCCCAATCTATCAGGGACGGGGGGTCCCAGAACCCTAGCTTAGCCTGGGTGACCCCGGTTAAAATGCCTGGAGACTAACGAGTGAAGTGGCTGGACCAACAGTGGGAACGAAGCGGATCTTCTTCCCCTCAGGGAAGGAAATCAGGGAACTCCCGCCAAGCTCCCAATCGATCTACACGACCGTGACAACTCCTCGGGGGACCATAACTTCTGACTACGCAGCAATCCTTTGTATTGAAATATGATGATGAAGTCATTCTCGAAATTACAGACGGTCGACTTACTCATACATACGGGGTATGTGGACTGTGTTTGTGGCGGATCGGACGCTTTGAATTACTCGCGGATTACGTCAATGGAGCCCCTGCTTTTGATCCACTGCTTACATTTGGGTTCGGCATCCGATTCGGGATGGGGTCCCTGAATCAGCATTGCGCATGAATCGGACACTGTGACTACTTCGTCGATGCATACTGGGATTCCGAGGCTGAGAGTACTGTACTTTGGAGCACGCAGCACAGTACCACGCGAATCCTACCACGACCATTCACTCCAAGACGCGTGTGTCATTTCGTGGGACCCAACGGATGACAAACCTTAAAAGCCATTGACTTTGACAAGGGTGCACGAGCGGCTTGGCTGAGATTGTGTAATGGAAAGAAACTCTCGCCTCATGTCATCGATTCATTAAGACATCCGAGTAAATCATCTAATCTCCAGCATCCCCATTTTCAGATTCACAAACAGAAGATTCACAACCCCGTACAATTACCATCAATCCGCTCCGAAGAAACCAGTTGCATCAGCACTCCATCCTCCGCAAACAACAGCATATTGTCCGACCCCTGCTTAAACTCGGGCCAATTGAACAAACTTTGGTTATTCGGGTTCAGCGCCGCTCCCTCGATGGCCAGCCGGGCCGGACCCCGGGCGGGATCCTCCGCAAAGGACAGCCACAGCGCCTCCATTGCGTAGCTGACGTCCCACTCGAACTGCGTCGAGGGGCCCCCGTACTGAAAGTGGGTGCCGAACAGGATCGGCAGCTCGGAGCTATGGTAGGCGCCGAACCAGGGAAGGGGCGAGATGTTGGAGAAGTTGCCGGCGTACTGGTAGCGGTAGGTGGGGAGGTTGGCCAAGTTGCGGTTCTTGACCTCCTGGGCCACGGGGCAGGCGATGATCGATTCGGTGAGTTTGAAGAGTGTTGCGGCGCCGGGCCCGTTGGGCGTGAAGGAGACGAAGCCGGCGCCTTCGTTGGCGTTGCTGCCGATGATCATGGGCTGAATTTGCTGCGATTAGCTTGAGGTAACGGAAAGGGGGGACAGGAGGCATTGCAGCACTCACGATCTTGGCCACCTTGCCTTCGAGCGCCCGTTGGGTCCAGTTGGCAAAGACGGTGACGTTGTCTACAGAGGGCTTGAAGGAAATGGAGGGTGTGCCGGAGTATGTGGACAGGGCGGTCTCCAGAGTTCGTGCGGGCACTTTACGCACGCAGCTGAGCTCGGCAGAGCTGTTCAGTCCACCGCAGCCGACGAGACCTGCCAAGAAGGTAAAGTTGCTGTGGGTATAATCCGAGAAACTTACGATGCCAGGGGCACCAGAGTCGGCAGAGATTGCGGCCACTATGGGATCATCGGGGTAGGAGTAGGTGTAGAGCGAGACACTGCCTCCACCGGCAGACTGGCCCCAGAGCGTGATTCGATCAGGGTCTCCGCCAAAGTTGGCGATGTTGTCGTGTACCCACTCCACGCTATATCATGTCAGCTATCTCGCAGACCATCATGGTTGCAGGGGTAAGTAACATACGCCAATCGCTGATCGAGCAGCCCCGCATTTTGATTCTCCAGCCCCTCAGCATTCGGGAATCCAAAGACATTGACACGATAGCTACGATTGATTAGCCGCATCCTCCATCACATCACCATACAAAAGGAGACATACTTCATAATGACCACAATGTGTGCCTGGGTCCGCTGCACCCAGTTATCCGGGATCTTGTATAGGGAAGCCTGCCCTCCACTCGTGAACCCTCCTCCAGGGACATAGAGCAGCACCGGCAACGGGCGCTGCTGAGAGCGGATCTTCTCCACCGACGGAGCCCAGATGGAGAGGTAGAGGCAATCTTCCGAGTCCCCTCCGCTGATCAGAAACCCAGTCTCATAAGCCGTGTAGATCGAAGAGCTGTTGCTAGTCTGTTGCATGCAGGAGGAGGGGAGTGCAAAAGCATTGACCGTGCCATTAGGCTGCTTCGGTACGGGTTTGGCGAACCGAAGGTCCCCGACTGGAGGCTCTGCAAATGGAACACCCAGGAATTGACGGACATCTGGGGTGGTGAGATTGACGAAGCCTTGAACTGGACCGCTGGAGGTCTGGACAAGAAGTCCTTCTCCCAGGGTTGAGCCTGGAGAGATGGGGGATGCAGATGATCCGGGGCCTAGGTTCAACAAGGCGATGAGCCCCGCAGCGGTTCGAAGAGTCTTTGAGAACATGATGATAATGTGCGATGGATAGGTATCACGGATTGAGCGAGGGGGTGAGCGGCCTTTTATGTCGCGACTCGCGCAACCCCTCCCATGGACCCGGGAGATTGAATGTGGCCCTCATCGCTTGGGTTTCGGCGGTCTGTTTAGAAGCAAGAGGCGCAGGGAAAAGGTTCTCCCGTCGAAGTTTTCGAACTGTCGGCCGGCTATAAAAAGCTAGGGCAAGTTTGTGGATTTCACTGTGATTCTCTGAAAATGTGATTGTCCGCATTCTTGACACTCTGCTGGCCGCTGATGTAGGTTCAGTGCTTGGCTTGGCGGGCGTGCAGTAGCCATACGTCGTTCATCGGTATCGACGAATTCGTCGACCCGAGTAGACAGCCAGGGTTGCTTCAGGGATCCAGGAACAGTGGAAGGGGTCAACAACAAAAACGCGGGGTGCATCCGGGGGTAAGAATTTTGGTAGCTGTGGGGTAATCCGGGGGAGCCGGGGAAATATGTTGATCTGGATGAATGCAAAGCCCAGCCATGCAGCCGAGGTTGATGGTGTGGTCTTGTCTCCATCCCGGCTGAACCTTTTGCCCGCCCCCTCAAGGCCAAGACATGACAACGAGCATGGGCCTCGCGACCTGAGCTACTGGTCCCAACCAAGGCAAGGAATGAATGACCATTGCTTCAATGGTGCAATGACATCGATACCTCACTACAGCGCTTGTGGGATGACGAAAACCACAGGCTCGAATCTCTTGCTACAAAGCGAGGCACCAAGCAGTCAGTGGCTTTCAGGGCGTGCTGAGTCTTACCGGATCTGAATTTTTTTATCTCACAGTTCCAAAGCCCTGGTCTTCGATATTTCCACATGAGGTTGTACTCGGCCCATCTGTTGTGACAGGATGAATACATCGCGCGAAGGCTGTTAAGGCAGCACAACAACGCATGTTAAATAGGTCGACGAGCCGTTGGGGTTTGGGAAGCCGTTTCAATAACAATCTGGGGGGGAGCAAGTGGCCCACAGTTGACCGATGGTATGATTTTTCCGTGAGTTGAGCAACGGCTTCTGCTTAAGCGAGAGGGTAGACAATGTTCAAATACGTACAGTACTTGATTACACCTCAGATGACATAAGCCGGCTAAGCACTCTTGGCAAACTGGCAAGCTTTCAAAAAGTTCCCTTTCGGGCCGTCCTTCTCCCTGTGGTTAGACTCGGAGCCACCGAAGTCCAATCACCACCGGGTCAATGCAGGAAATCTAAGCAGCTGCCCGGGTATTGCCCATTCACTGATCCCGAGTTGCAAGCTGACCTGGCCCGATTCGAGACCAGAACTCACCGGATTATGTGTGGAAGGCCGAGTCGCATTGAGGATTGTCGGCCGAACCCATCCTGGTGCACAATTTGAGTCGACCACGACCACGAAGGATCCTTGGATGAGGTGGATGCCAATGCAACCGTCCTATCATCATTGCAGGTTGTCGCAGACTTTCGATTTGCGCAGGCCCCCTTCCCCCCGGTCAGACAGTCAGACAAAGACTGACCATGGCAAAGTGGATACTGGCTTCGGTCAACCTCCGCGCTCCCCGTCGGAAAAATTCTGGGTCTTCCCCCACTCTGGGGTGCATTCTTTGCGGAGAACAAACAACTGGAGATGTCGAATCAGCCAGGCAATGACTAGAAGGAAGCTGACGCTTCAACCTCTCTGCTCACCGGAGTCTCGCCGGCTTGGACACTTTGCCGACTGCTCGTGGGGGGGCGTATCTTGACTCTGCTTCCCCCCATCCCACCAAACCCACTCTCTGGCCAAATGACGATTCAGCTCTCAAAGTCCGGACACTTGTGTTCCGCATTGCCGTTTCAGCGAAACCCAATCCGAGGTGCAGGAAGCAAGTCAGCCATGACTCCTACCCAAGTCAGCCGACGAAGTACCGAAGGACGTGGGGTTGGAAATGTCTCAATCTGGGCGGGATGATGCTTGCGGAGATCAGCCCATAAGCAAGATAACAGACAGCTGCGTGTATCCGGAGGCTGCCTCAGGGGGTAGTCCTTCCTTCGTTCTTTCCACGTACTTAAATCCCCCGCTTCATCCTCTTCTCAAGCTCTCTTCCACTGCATAGCCCCTTCCTTGTTGTTGACACCGAAAAGCCGAGGTCAGGGCCAATCCGAGTCAAAATGCAGGGTCCAGCCCTCCGCTACGCCCAAATCTTCTTGGTATCACTACCTTCCTTCGTCCTATTTGGATACAATCAATCAGGCGTAGGTGGTCTGGATGATTTTACCTCCTGGATCCGACAGTTCCCCGAAATCGACACGGTAAACACGACCGGGACTCAGAAAAATCACAATGCCACCGTGCAAGGTGCAGTGGTAGCCTGCTACACAATCGGTGCTCTCATTGGAGCTCTTTCCTGTACTGCGGTGGGTGACGTCCTCGGTCGCCGGCGTACGATCTTCGTGGGAGCGCTGGTGGCCCTGATCGGGCAGGCCTTGGAGTGCACGGCGTTTGCTCTGTCGCAGTTTGTCGTGGGCCGAGTGATCCTCGGCGTGGGCGTGGGCATGCTGAGCGCGACCGTGCCTGTCTGGCAGTCTGAATGCTCGCCTGCTGCGCAGCGTGGACGCAACGTGGTGCTGACGGGCATGTTCATCGCCCTGGGGTTCGCCCTGACACAGTGGGTCAACTTCGGCTTCTACCACATGCAAGCATCCTCGGCGGCCTGGCGCGTCTCGTTGGCCATCCCGTCCATCTTCTCCTTCATCGTCATGGGCAGCATCTTCTTTCTGCCGGAATCCCCCCGCTGGCTGGTCATGAAGAACCGGCCCGACCTGGCGCAGCGCACGCTCGCCGCCCTACGCGGCCAGGAGCTGGAATCCATCGAGGTCGTCGCCGAGCTGCGCGCCTTCGAGGTCTCCCTCGAGGAGACCTCTAACGGCAACCTGCGGCTGCGCGACATCTTCACCATGGGCGAGGAGAAGCTCTTCTACCGCTTCTGCCTGTGCATCATCCTGCAGTTCTTCCAGCAGATGAGCGGCGGCACGCTCATCTCCGTGTACATCCCGACGATCTTCGAGACCGACCTCGGCCTGGGCTCCAGCCTCTCCAAAATCCTCGCCGCCTGCGCTCTGACCTGGAAGTTCCTGTGCTGCTTCGTCGGGTTTGCCATCATCGACCGCATGGGCCGCCGCACCGCCTTCATGGTCAGCGGCGGCGGCATGTCGCTATGCATGCTGGCCCTGGCCGTCTCCAACTCCTTCCAGAACAACCACACCGCCTCCATCGTCTCGGCCTTCTTCATCTTCTTGTACAACTTCTTCCTGCCCGTCGGCTTCCTGGGCGCCAACTTCCTCTACCCGGCCGAGGTGGCCCCTGCGCGGTTGCGCGTGGCGATGCAGTCGTTCGCCATTGCCAACCAGTGGTTATGGTATGTGCCGGTCCTCTCTCTACCCAGTCTGTCATGCAGCAAAAACTAACCCCGTGTAGGATGTTCGTCGTGGCGATGATCACTCCCGTCGCCGTCAGCGACATCGGCTACCGGTACTACATCGTCTACACCGTCATCGCGGGCGTCATCCCGCCCGCCATCTACTTCTTCTACCCCGAGACCAAGAACCGGTCGCTCGAGGAGGTGGACGAGATCTTCCGCGACTCGCGGTCCATTTTCGAGGCCGTCGCGATGTCCAAGCGGAAGCCCGTGGGCGATCGGGTGGTCGAGCAGTTCATGGAGAAGGCTACGGTCGAGCAGGTGGAATAGTCGCCGTTGCCGGTCGAGCAGAAAAGATACAGTGCATTGATGATGTGATGTCTGTATGGTCTAGATGCATAGATGGGTTTTTCGGGATTCTGTTGCTTTGCTTTGCGTACGATACTCATCCTAACTTACGTTGAGTCATGATAAGTGCTATTCTCGGCGCTTGCGTTCGTAGTGATATCTAGACTTCCAATCTCTTAGATTCGTATCATACCTCTGCCTGCCAGGTATGCTATACGGTGCAACTGGACTCTTCCCAATTACACAATACAGTCAATCATTGGTCATTTGTCTAGACTCGCGAAAACACAAATAACCATGTCGAGCGACGTAAAAAGCTACCCTAAGTACAGCATCTCTCGCCCCATTCCTTACCCCGCAATATCGCCGCCGCCACTGTTGATCCTCCCGTCCCTCCCATCCCTTACAAGTCGAGGAGAATCTACATCCTTGTCCTTCCTCTGGTCTCCGAATTGCCGGGTATCGACCTTGCAAGTACCATCGCAAATCGAGTATTGTACGCAGTACATATATGTGTGTACATACAGCACCCCCGACGGAATGGCGAATGACATCATATTATTTGGTGTGGGGTTCCGCCCCCCTCCCCCTTTCATGGGATTGCTGGGTTCTTTATCGCGGCAATGAGTCAGTTCACTTTTGCTGAGAGCTTCGCACAACACAAGGAAAAGGTGTCGTCATGATGCAGCTAGCTTAACAGGGTTCTGTAGCACTGACCCTTCCCCGCCTCGCTGCGCTTCTTTATTGAGTAGAGAAAGCTCAGATTCCAACGAGGGCTTGAGAATCATATCATTGAGTCAGGGTGGCTACGCTAACAACTAAGTCACGCCGCTAGATCTACCCTATGCAGGACGCAGGATGTACATCGTTTATGATTAGGGAGGATGGTATTGAACAATACCGGTACAGTACATATCAACATGAAGTGGAAGGGTGGGAGATCAGGTCAAGGTGTAGCCGCCGTCGACCCGCAGATCGGCGCCGGTGATGTACCGGGAAGCGTCACTGAGGAGGAAGGTGACGGCGCCCATCAGATCCTCGGGGGTGCCCATCTTGCCCACGGGGATCAGGGAGATCCACTTATCGCGGAGCTCGGGGTTCTCGTCTAGGATCTTGCGCGTGCTGTTTGGGGGGGGGGGGGGGACTGTTAGCATCGGAAGCTCGCTCAAGTATGGGACGGGGTAGGCTTACAGGGCCGTCAGCATGTAGCCGGGGCTGATGCAGTTGACGCGGATGTCGTGGCCGGCCCATTCGACGGCGAGGGAGGCGGCGAGGTGGCGGACGGCGGCCTTGGCGGCGTTGTAGGGGGCCTGGGGCTGGGGCACGTTGACGATGGCCCCGGACATGCTGCCGATCATGACCATGCTCCCGGCGACCTTTCGCTCCATCAGGTGCTTGGCGACCCCCGTCGCGAACAGGTACGTGCCGTCGACGTTGACGCCCCACAGCTTCTGGATGCGGTCGTGCGGGTACGAGATCGCGTCGAAGTTCTCCGTGAACCCCGCCGAGGTCACCAGGTGGTCGATCTGGCCATGCTGCGCGATCACCTCGGCGATGGCGCCGCTCACGGACTCCGGGTCCGAGACGTCGGAGTAGTGCGCCGTGACGTGAGGCATTCTACGGATTGTCTCAGCGTGAGGCTGCGTCCAACGCGGGAGCAAACAGGGTGACAACATACTGGTCCGCCTCCAAGCCCGGATTCTCTTTCTGGAACTGCTCCACCAGCTTCTTCGCCTGTTCTTCGGCCTCCTGCTCTGCGCACCCGGTCAGTATCCCTGATCTGATCGACGGCCGCAGATCCAACCGGGAAGAGACGCACTGTTCAGATCGACGATGGCGAGATCCGACCCCGACGCGACAATGGCCTGCGCCATGACCAGCCCCAGCCCGCGTGCACCCCCCGTCACCAGGGTGACCTTGTTCTCCAGCGAGAAGTGGGCCAGCGTACGCTTGAAGTGCATCCCGCCGCGGCCCTGCACCACCGGCGAGCGCGGCATGTGTTCGTCGTCCGGGTACTCGATCTTGACGTTCTCGTCCGTCCGCGCGTACTGGCCTTCGGCCTCCAGCGCGCCCCCCGGTGCCGTGGTGGTTGCCGCCAGGAGGGGGTCTTTCTTGCTCTTGTTGAAGTCCTTGCGGAGCGGAGCTGTGGAGGAGACGGCGCGGAAGAATGCGATGGGGAGGGTTGGACGCGTGGATTGGCACAGGGCCTTGGTGGCTGGTCGTATGGCTGCGGGTCTGAACATTGTGGAGGGTTGAGGAGGGGAGTGAATAGAGGCTGCATCGGTGCGGTTAGTGGTGGAGGTTAATTGGGGGAATGGGTGAACAGGTCGAATGGAAGGATGACACAGGGATGGGCAAGTATGAGTATAGGGCCACTTACAAGTAGGCAGGTGCTGGTAACAGCCAAGAGGGGAAGGAAGAGTCTTCTTAAGAACTCCTTGACTTCAGAGGGGAGATGCAGAGCCTAAAAGGCAGAAGGTAAAACACTGGGGCAATGAATCCATCGAAGGCAAAACAAGAGAGGTCAGGGCAGGGTCAGAGCGAATCATAATTCAAAAGTCAAAAGAAAAGGTCAAGGACTGAAAAAGGAACCGGCATTGCCCCAAAGAAGAAAACCGCCCTCCAATATGCCCAAGAGAGTAATGAGTAGGCAGATAAAGGAGCCGGGGAATGAGTGTACGTATACTTGTTGTCGTTGTTGTTTATTGCGGTTGTTGCGGTGTGGCCCAGCCGACTGGGTGGGTGGTTTTCTCTCCTCCTCCTCCTCCTCCTCCTCCTCCTCCTCCTCCTCCTCTACCACCACATCTCCCCTTCCATCACTCCCTCATTATTGCTGCAGCTCTTCTGAAATATTTCTTTTCTCGCAACTTCCAATCGCAAGTGATGTCAGGCGGTGATGAGGCATCTCTGGGCCAGGCCTCACCCGCCATGCAGCAATCGGACCAGGATTGTGTTCTTCGCCTCCGCGTGACTTCAACACGGTTGGCCTCAGACCGGCCTGCAGGACGATCCCCTGTCGACTTCAACTAGTCAGAAGTATGGAATCTTCCGGACGAAACCTACGGCAATCCTTCGTGTCCGACTTGTGACAGAGCAATGAAGACAGTTGTGGTACTCATGTCTGGCATCGACATCAATCGAACGCTGGAGGGGGCATCCAATCATCCCCAAGGTCTCCGATCTATGCTGCGCCAGCAGTCGAGAACTAAAACGCGCCAAGCGACGACTGCTCAGAAATCCAGACCGAGTTCGGTTCCGTAGCTCCTGGTTCATTCTTCATTCACCTGGCCACATGACCCAGCCCAGGGTCTCACAGACCGGACTATCTATATCCTATCTATGTATATCTGCTCCATCAACACCTTCCAGCCACGCCCAGCCCCGTCTCGGTCCTGTCGACTTGGGCTCGACCCAGTGAATCCGATAGATAGTTACTACAATCTCAACCGTCATCTCATGTCTTACGCTGGGTCGCAAAACGTCGAGTAGGACCCGGAGGTGCCATAATTCTACTGCGGAAACCTGCGGAGCGCCACCTACCTACCCCCACCGACTCATGAATGTATTGTGCATGTACCACCGCAGCAGCTGTCGTCGCAACCCGCACGTACAGATCCTGTCATTCATTGTCTGCGGCAAGCTGCAAGTCCATCCATCCATTCTGCCAACTCCAGTAGCCACACATGGCTGCAGATGACCGAACAGCCGCAACCGCCCTTGCCAAAAACATAAACAAACACCGTCGAGAGGCAATGTACAGTACATCCTGGCACCCTTACACTTTCGCCACTGGCTCGATTACCCCATTCAATCATGGAGAAGAAAGTATCGATCGATCATCGGTGATAACCTGTCAACGAGTGTCGTACTTTTATCAAACTCTCCCTCCTTTGCATCAGGTAAAACTGAGCTTGGACAGACATGGTTTCAAACAGTAAGCAGCGGGCAGGCAGCTCCAGTTTCCAAGTCCGGGCACCGCGTCAACCCCGGGGTCGAGGGTGTGTGGGAAGTGGGGATCGGAATGGGGTCGGTCGGTCGGGCGCCGCACAAGCCACGAGCCCCATCTGTATGGATCCATATTCCGTTCAAAACAGCTTCGACGGTGATCTCCAATGCTATCACGTATCCAACGCTCTCCTCCCTTTTTGTCAGTATGACAGCAACGAACGCAGCACTGCTCCTGTCGCCTGCTCCAAGGAGAATCCGGATGCAAGAGCTCTGCTGCGGGATGCGTGCTGTATGTTGTAACTCAACGCTCCGTGCAGGACCTTCGCAGCGGCGGTGTCGCTCTTCGCGTTTGTGGATTAACAGTGAGCATGAAACCAGATGATCTGTCATTCCCCATGGGATATCTACAGTGAAGGTAAGAGAATACCGGCCACTCCTGCTCCTAACTCATACAGACCGTAAGGTTTTACATGGAAATGTAAGGAAGAGGCGTCATCCTCCGCTCCGCACACCCCCTGAGTACGGACAGCCGATGTTTCAAGCCCAAGCTCAAGAACCAAAAGTTGCATTCAGAAGTCGCACGCTTCGAAAATAATCAAACCTATCACACAGACATTGCCCGCGAGACCGCTCAATCTCGCTTCCGTATTTCGCTCTCTCACCACACGACCTGGGTCGTGTCTAACATTTTCTAAGCTCAAATGTCGCTCGGAATCCATACTTCTCTTCTTCACTCACCGCCGCTCTCCTCTGCGAACTCGACCAGCGGTGTCCCGCTTTTACATTGATCCTGTAACGAACCTGTTAGTCATCTGACTGCGGCTGCTTTCTCTGGCAAGGCGAAACGAAACGAAACGAAAGGGGGAAACAAAAAGGTTTGGGGTAGGGGATAGAGCCCGGGCAACGGTAGAGTCATCCGGAGAGCACGACACAATTGTCACACAGCCCCACAAACGTGGAGAAATGGATGTGGACAAGCCCCGGCAAGTTCCAGTCTGGTAAATCTAGAACAATCCGTCGGGACGGTTTGAGGTTCTCATTCCGTGCGAAAGCCCAGATCAGGCGAGATGGCAATGCGAAACAATAATCGGGGAGGGATATAGATAGCAAAGCTCAGACTTACTCCTTTTTGATGGACCACTTTGGCAATGACACCCTTGTGTGGGCTGCGGATGACCGTCTCCATCTTCATGCTCTCGATCACCACCAGCGGCTGATCCTTTTCGACCGTGTCGCCGGCGGCCACCTCCACGCGCAGCACTTTGCATGGCATCGGTGCGAGAACGCTGTTCTTGACGTCCTTCATGCCCAAGGCCTTCTCCATCCATTTGGCCGGTGGGATGGTCAGGCGGTATTGCGTGCCCTTCTGGAAGGCGATGATTGTGTCGCCGTCCCGGATGACCGTGGTATCGAGGCGGGTGTGTGGGAAGAATGAGGTGACGATGTTGGAGTTCGAGTTGTCGTGGCTGACGACCTGTTCGAACACCACACCTTGGACGGTGACGTTGTATGTGCTGTCGCCGGTTTGCTGGATGCGGACCTCGTGTCGCGAGTCATCCTTGGCGCCGGGTGTCAGATCTGCAAAGGATACCTGATGCGCCTGGTAGCCGGGACTAAACCCAATCCCCGAGCCCTCGAAGCTAGCCTGCACGCGAGACGCAAGGCTGGCATCCCGTTGCAGGCAGGCCAGCGCCACCTGGGCCAGCGCCTCAGGATCAATGGTCTTCGCCGGAAACAATTCCGCGCGGTGCTTATCGATGTACCCAGTTTCCACGTCCCCGGAGATGAAATCAGAGCTGCGGCAGATAGTCTTCAAGAACTCAATGTTGGTGATCGGCCCCGCGATCTCGTACTCTTCTAGCGCGGCGGCGAGTTTGCGGATGGCTTCCTCTCGCGTGGCACCCCGCACGATGAGCTTGGCAATCATCGGGTCGTAGTGGGCGGATACTTCGTCGCCTGCGACAAAGCCCGCGTCAATGCGGACGTCCTCGGTCGCGGCGGGAGTACGGACGTGCAGCAAAGTGCCGGAGTCGGGGATGAAGCCCTGGTCCGGGTTCTCGGCGTAGATGCGAGCCTCGATCGCGTGTCCACTGGTAGCCATGTAAGCCTCCACCTCGTCCTGGGTCAATGGCAATGGGGCGCCTTCGGCGACCTTGATCTGCCAATGCACCAGGTCCTGGCCGGTCACCATCTCCGTGACTGGGTGTTCGACCTGCAGTCTGGTGTTCATCTCCATGAAGAAGAACTCGCCGCTGTCGTTGTCAAAGATGAACTCAACCGTGCCCGCGCCCTCGTAGCCCACCGCCAGTGCGGCCGATCTAGCTTTCGCCCAGATGTCTTTCCTGGTCGCATCCGGGAGATGGGGAGCAGGGGACTCTTCCAGGATCTTCTGGTGTCGCCGCTGGATGCTGCAGTCGCGTTCCCCCAGGGCCACGCAGTTCCCATGCTTGTCGGCGAAGACCTGGACTTCGATGTGACGAGGCGTGGTGATATACTTCTCCACAAGAACGTGATCATCCCCGAAGGAGCTCATGGCCTCCGACTTGGCGGACTGGAGCTGGGCCTGGAAGTCGGCTTTGGAGTGTGCGATGCGCATGCCCTTGCCGCCTCCGCCTTTGACTGCTTTGATCAGAACGGGGTACTTGATTCTGTCGGCCTCGGCCTCCAGGAAGTCGGCGTCTTGGTTTTCACCATGGTAGCCGGGCACGCACGGTACGCCCGCAGCAGTCATGATATTCTTGGACTGACTGTTTTGAGTCAGTTCTGTAGTTAGGTAGAAGTGCGTGAGCCAGCCTACCTCTTGTTACCCATATCTTCGATCGCTTTCCATGGCGGACCAATGAAGACCAGCCCAGCTTCTGTGCATTTCCTCGCAAAGGCCGAGTTCTCGCTCAACTAGATGCTATGAGATTTCAAGAGCACATATCCCAGTACCGAGTAGGCACTCACAAAACCATATCCCGGGTGTATCCCTTGACAGCCCTCCCTCTTCGCGATCTCGATAATCCGGTCCCCGTCCAGGTAAGCCGAAACCGACCCGAGGTTATAGGCGAACGGCGAGCTCAAGGCATGTTGAGCTTTGCTGTCGGGATCTGTGTAGAGCGTCGTCACCCGGATACCATGCTGAGCGGCCGTGCGTCCGACTCGTCTGTGTGGGGGATCAGGTCAGTTCACAGCGAAAGCATAGATCAAGAACGGAAAAGGCACACAGTGCAATCTCTCCTCGATTCGCAATCAGAATCGAGTCCAAGGACTTCTGAGTCGTCGAAGCATTCGCGGGAAGGGTGGAGGCTGCTCTTCTGGCTCTACGCACCGCCGTCGGCCCTAGGCGGGATGTAGTGCGGAGAAGCGCCGAGAGGGTCATCACGAATGACCAGAATAGAGGTTCGCAGAGTGTCAATCAACAAAGCTCCAGGGTGTTCGTGGCTAGTCGCATATTCTTGCTGTGAAACCGATATCTCGAATCTCAAGTCGATCACATGGGTAGGTTAGCAACCCGCGAGCAGCACCCCCGGTTCTTGTAGATGCAACCCCCCAGCTTGATGGAGCGGAGAGAGACCCCCTTGGGCCGACGCAAAGCGACGGGCTGCGGGGAAGCCCGCGGCACGTGACCGAGGACTCCACCGGCCGGGTTTTTTTCGAACTGAGACTGAAAGAAACGAAACCGGGTCAGCGGCCATTGCATTGCATCAGAGTCAGTCAGTCGTCAGTGTCTGTCTGCCTGTCCTCTCCCTCTCTCTCTCTCTCTCTCTCTCGAGTCTCCATTCGCGATCGACACTTACTCGGTCGCTAGCCTCCTTTGTTGTCACTACACGCGCGCGCTCTCTCTCTCTCTTTGGTTCATATCTTTGTTTATCTCATTCATTTTTCTAAAATCTGTCTTTCCTGATCAGTATATACACAGCACCAGAAACGAAACCAACATCAACCACGGAAAATCTGACGCGCAACTTTTCCTTCTGTCATCCTCACCCTCAATTCACCACCCCCGACACCTTTGCGGCTGAAGAAAAAAAAAAAAAACCTCCGATTACACAACATCATCCCTCACTTCAACCTACACCTGACATTTATAACACATACCCAGAACAAAAGGGGTCGACACAATGTCTGACGACGAAGACTATTACGACGAATACGACGAGGATATCTTCTGGGTTGAGGAACCCGATCCCACCATTGCTGTATGTGAAGCCACCTAAGACATTGACGCAGACATCTCTCCTATCGCAACATTACCCCCCAAATTCGCCCTCCAACCTTAACCAATTCCCCTCCCCTCACTGACATTCCCCCTCAAAAAAAAGGACGACCTAGCCGCAACCTCCACCAACGACGCCATCTTCTACGACCACCCCGCCCTCGAAGTCGAAGACTACTTCTCCGACTGGGACGACCTGTCGGACGACTACTACGACGAGGATCCGACCGCCGTGCGGCGCGCGCGCGCCTTGGGCCTGCTCCCTCCCGGCGACGGCGGCCGCGGCCCTCATGACCAGCCGCACAGCCAGCACGGCCACCATCACACCAACCACCATGCTGCTGCTGCCAAACACCAACACCCGCGTAAACCCAAACCGACCGCCAAACGAACTCCGTTCTTCGATCTCGGGGCGTTTCAGGCCGTCGTCTGGAAATCCCCCCACCAGGAGAAGGAACATCAATCCGTGGTCGCGTTGCATGAGCCCGGCGAGGGGGAGAAGGTCGCGCTGCTGAAGAATTGGCGCGAGGTGTTTCGCAGTGCGAATCCGAGGATGACGGCTGCCGTTGGTGTTGTGGCGGGGAGTGCGAGGAAGGCTGCGCCGCTCTCGTCTTCGTCGTCGTCGTCGCCGCCGCCGCAGCAGCAGCAGGGGTTGTGTTTGAGGGGGAATAGTGCGGGGGTGGAGGAGAGGGGTAATGCGGAGGGGAGGAGAGTGGATAGTGTTGTTGATTCTACGGTGAAGGAGGTTGGGAATGCTACTGGGAAAGGTGTGGTTAATGCGGAGGGCTTTGTTGCGGCAGCGGGGTTAGTGATTGATGGAGGTGAGGTTGAGAATGGGGGTTCGTTTGAGGGAGGGGATGAGGCTGATGCTGATCCTGTCGCTGCCACCAACGGGGTGGCGGTGAATGGGGAGACGGCACATGGGTCCTCGCTCGATGAGTCGGTTGAGAAACCGCCAGCGCCCCGATCCAGGAAGCGCAAGGCCGATGATGCGGTCGACAACATCCCGGAAACTGCAGCAAAGACCCGAGCCAAGAGGGTCGCATCCTCCACGAAAGCCGGAAAGGCCAACAGCAGTAAAGATGTCCCCGTCCCTGCTGCCGCCGCCGCCGCCGCCGCCGCCGCCGCCGCTGCACCGTCGGCCCCTGTGCGCAGATCGGCGAGGAACAAATAACGGAACGCAATCCATCGCGAATGAGCGTTATGAGGTTATGACTTTCTTGATATTGTGCAGTTTATACAGATATGTTAACCCGACATACTAATCAATCTCTGGTTCTATGCGTACTCCTTGTTGAATGCCCGTCCTATCACCATCCGCCGAATCTCGCTCGTTCCCGCTCCAATCTCGTACAACTTCGCGTCTCGTAGCAACCGCCCCGCCGGAATCTCGTTGATGTATCCGTTGCCTCCCATGAGTTGAATGGCATCGAGCGCGCATTCTGTCGCTCGTTCCGCAGCATAGAGGATCGCCCCGGCGCAGTCCTGGGTGCGGATGACGGCTCCAGACGGGGAACCAGCCGAGTTATCGATCTGCCGGGCAGTCGCGTAGGTGTAGGCCCGCGATGCCGCAAGCTTGGTATGCATGTCGGCGAGCTTGCCTTGGATCAGCTGATTGTGAGCGATCGGCATCCCGAACTGTTTGCGGACGTGCGTGTAGGGCAACACGAGATCCAGCGCAGCCTGCATGATTCTGTATAGTCGTTAGCTCCGGGACCTACTCTCACAGTAAAGTCCATGCCAGACAGAGAAGACTTACCCCAGAGGACCCGCACTGAGCACGAGGCGCTCCAGATCCAACCCCTCCATCAACACCTTCACGCCACGATTCACCTCGCCGAGAACATTCTCCTTCGGGACGAAGACATCCTCAAAAATAAGCTCTCCAGTGTTCGAGCCCCGCATGCCCAGCTTGTCAAGCTTCCGGGCGCAGGAGAACCCCTTGAACTCCTTCTCGACCACAAACGCGGTGATCCCTTTGGACCCCTTCTCCGGCTCCGTTTTGGCATAGACCACCACGTAGTCTGCATCTGGGCCCTGCGGTCGGTCAGCATGTCTCCTGCGGCGGCAACCCAGTTGAGCGTGAGTTCTCACGTTCGTGATCCACATCTTCGTTCCGTTTAACACCCACCCCCCGTCCACGGCCTTGGCCGTTGTCTTCATACTCACGACATCGGACCCGGCCGAGTGCTCCGACATGGCTAGCGCGCCGACCTTGTCTCCCGAGAGCAACCCGGGGAGGAATCGTTCTTTCTGATCGGCGTTCCCATTCAAGGAGAGTTGGTTAACGCAGAGTTGGGAATGGGCGGCGTATGAGAGAGCGATGCTTCCTTTTCGCGAGCCCATCAGTGAGAATCACAATGTTTCCAGCCAGACGGGAGAGAGAGAGACAAAGGCAGAGGTACATACCAGAGGCGCGACTGATCTCCTCCATGACTATACAGTGAGCCTGGTAGCCCATCCCAAGACCGCCGTACTCTTCATTCGCCGTGATGCCCAAGAATCTGGTTCATAGATGGAGCTGGTAAGTATTCGCTCCGTACAGCAAAGTTTGCGAGCGGTCATACCCAGCATCGCCGAACTTCTTCCACATCTCCGCCGGGAACTCATTCTGGGCGTCGGTCCGCGCGGCCAGCTCCTCGGGAATCTCGCGCCCTTGATTCCGCGGTTGGTGGTCAGTACAGTCCACCTTGTCCCCAAGCGATGGTACAGGGTTTACTTACTGGTGAATTCCTGGACCCGTTCTCGTAGCTCGAGCAAGTCGTCTTCCGTGGGAGGAACGAAGTCTTTCGGATGCTTGGTTGCTAGGGTGCGTAGTGCGGGGGGTTGAATGTGGGGATGGATTCGTCTGGGTAGAGTCCGGGAGGAAGTCCGGAGAAGACTGGGGAATCGGGGAAGGGCTGCCATGGTGAAGATCAATTGCCTCTCTGTGGATATGTATGGAATCGGTCCTCGTGAAGAAGTAACGAGCCTGCCTGCTGATTTATAACCGAAGGGAGAATCGAGAGAGGGGAGAGCCGCGGTGAATGCAACAACAGGATAAACGCTGTCGATGTCACAGCGGCTAAACACGGCAAACCGCGCTGGGCTTCTCCGCATGTCACCTGCTCCCCTCCCTTGTCCCTTTCGTTGACTCCTCTTTTCTCCTTCCCTCCCTCTTCAGCTTCGCCATTCCACTGAGATAAAGAGCATACAGTATCTGCTGTTCACCTTTTGGTCCTTGCAGAGAAGTATGCAATAGGATGGTCTTGTAATCGTCTACCAGTTGGCGTTCCCTGATCCCCGGTATCCGCACTTTCGTCTTCCCCAGCTTTTGCCCACTCCATCCCCGCAATGCGCGCTCCGTCTCCGCTTCTGCGGAGCCTGAGACCCAACACTGTCGCCCTGCCATATCGAAGACTACCACTGCGTCCATCTACAACCATAACCTCCCCTCGACTACTCTCCAGATCAATTGCCAATTATACACACCCCCATCATGCATCTGCTATATCCGTCCTCCCCACTGCGGTCGACACCACATCGTCCGATTTCCAGGAAAACGCCCGACAGATGCAAGAACTCCTTGATCGAATGGCCAGTCTCCACGGCACGATCTCGCAAGGCGGTCCTCAAAAGGCCAAGGACAAACACCTAGCCCGAGGCAAGATGCTTCCTCGGGATCGAGTCAGCGCCCTCATCGACCCAGGCACATCCTTCCTCGAGCTCTCTCCGCTCGCCGGGCACGAGGTCTATGGGGAGGATGTGCCCGCCGGGGGAATCATCACAGGCATCGGAACAGTGGAAGGCGTGAACTGTATGATTGTCGCCAACGACAGCACGGTCAAGGGCGGCACTTACTACCCGATCACGGTGAAGAAGCATCTCCGGGCGCAGGCCATCGCGCAGGAGAACAAACTGCCATGCATCTACCTGGTCGACTCGGGCGGTGCCAACCTACCGCACCAGGCGGACGTCTTCCCGGACCGCGACCACTTCGGCCGCATCTTCTTCAACCAGGCCCGGATGAGCTCGCTGGGGATCCCGCAGATCGCCGTGGTCATGGGCCCCTGCACGGCCGGCGGCGCCTACGTGCCCGCCATGAGCGACGAGACGATCATCGTCGAGAACCAGGGCACCATCTTCCTGGCCGGCCCGCCGCTGGTCAAGGCCGCCACGGGCGAGGTCGTCTCTGCCGAGGACCTGGGCGGCGGGCACCTCCACAGCACGATCTCGGGGGTCACAGACTACCTCGCCGTCGACGACGCCCACGCCATCGTCCTGGCGCGACGATCCATCTCCAACCTGAACTATCCGCAAACCCATCTGCCGTCCACCCCGGGCAGTCTATCCAACGCCGCAGCAGCACCGACAGCAACAACCATCAAAGAACCCCTCTATGACCCCAGCGAGCTCAACGGCATCGTAGGCACCAACCTTCGCCGCCAGATCCCGGCCCACGAGGTCATCGCCCGCGTCGTTGACGGCAGCGAGTTCGCGGAGTTCAAGCGCGACTACGGCACGACGCTGGTGACGGGCTTCGCGCGCATCTACGGCCACCAGGTGGGCATCGTCGCCAACAACGGCATTCTCTTCTCCGAGTCCTCCCTCAAGGGGGCGCACTTCATCGAGCTGTGCGCCCAGCGCGGCATCCCCCTGGTCTTCCTGCAGAATATCTCGGGCTTCATGGTCGGCGCCGACGCCGAGAAGGGCGGGATCGCGAAGAACGGCGCCAAGCTGGTGACAGCCGTCGCGTGCGCCGACGTGCCCAAGTTTACCGTGGTGTTTGGCTCCAGTGCCGGAGCGGGGAACTACGGCATGTGGTGAGTTTCCTCCACCCCCCCTTTGTTCCACTATGAAAGACTAACTGAAAAACAGCGGCCGCGCCTACTCTCCAAGGTTCCTGTTCATGTGGCCTAACGCCAAGATCGGCGTCATGGGCTCCGAGCAACTGTCCGCGGTGATGGAGGCCGTGGGCCGCTCCGCCGACCCGGATCTGAAGGCGCGCATCGACCGCGAGTCCGAGGCGGTCTTCTCGTCGGCGCGCCTCTGGGACGACGGGGTGATCCCGCCCGCGCAGACCCGCCAGTTCCTGGGGTTGGGGCTGGCGGCCGCCGTTGGGGGGAAGGTCGATGCCGATGTGCGGACGCGGTTTGGGGTGTTCCGGATGTAATCACTATACTTACAAGACAGACGAACACATATTAATTAACAGCATCGATCAATATCCATGAATGAAATTAGCCTTTGAAGTTCAAATGTTTGGCCCGGGGCTCCCTGGATGTAGCGTTGCTTCGGGTTGGTTAGTCCCCCAGTATGAAACCAGTCTTCCCTTACCACGAGAGGTGATTTATTGTATCCTTCAAGTGTCCATATATGCGATAGGCTTCCTCACTGCAATTTCCCCAGTCTGACCTCCGAAATTCCGCACGGCTTCTTGAGTTTTCCTATGGCCACAGCAGGGGATCACACTGGGTTTGTTTGTCTTGGCATTTTTGACACGTTATTCTCTCTTTCGCGTTCACAGACACGCATCTGACATCTGACCTCTGTTCAAGCCCAGAAGATCATTGATCACATGGACACAAATGAGGCGATCACGTTCTTGCTCCCCCATATTCTTTTTCTTCAAATCGCACTTCTACGGCCGCTTGCCTTACAACGGACGCCCTGAAGGAGCATGATCAAAACACACGCCCCGTTTCTCCTTTCGCCCTGCTCAATATGGCTCCGGAGCAGAGAATCGGTGGCTTATCAGATATCCCAATACTCCCTCCTTCGTCCACACGCTCTTCACGAAGGTCACGGTCCAGCAGCCCGTCCAGACCAAGTGATGCACAATATCGACGCGGAGCTCTCCGGCGGGCGAATATCTGCGTCGATGAAGAGATTCCCATGGATATCCGCCGATATACGGATAGTAGGGTCTTTCACATCCCCGACAAGGTTAATGATCTATACAAGGTCTCCGAGCGGCTCTGGGGCTTATCCAACCAAGGAACTCGTCCGGAAACCATCCGGGGAAAGCCGAATGGACACGAGAAATTATCGGAGAGGAGAGGAGTCTTATGTTTAAGTTACCGTTTCATGAAGAGGAGCAGGGTCGACCGTCTTGATTTGTTTCATCAACTATTCACAGTACCACCGGGGGGGTTCTGCGAGCTTAATTAAAATCTACGCGCCACGCCCCCCAGGAATGGTAGAGTAGATCTTCTCGGTGGTGGGGTGCACTGCAGGATGGACTTGTACTGTACCTGGACAATCATACTGTCTGTCGCCCATGAATAAGTTGCCCCGATGTCTTTGTTGATGGGCGGTGGATCGAGTACTGTACCTATACAGCCTGGAGCCCTCCTAAGCATCCCAATACCTGCCAGTTCTATACTCTATGCCTTTGGACTTTGAGAGTTCTTTAGATACTTGACAGAAGATTTCCCTGGGAGCTTTGTTTGTCTGCAGATGGGTTGCGGGCAGTATTATATGTGACCCTTTTTCTTCGAACAAGAGTCTTCTGTTCGGAGGGCTTAAATCAAATCAACAACAACAAAAAAAAAAAAAAAAAAAAAAAAAAAAAAAAAAAAAAAAAAAAAAAAAAAAAAAAAGGAATCCCAACATATGTTGCTTAATACTGGTTGAAAATGAATGAAGTATGATCAGCACTTTAATGGTGCGGTATGTTTTCCGGGGAAAAAGGGTTGGCTGGAAGGAGTAGCTGATGGTGTCAAGTCGGCGATGACATCATCTTCGGTTGTGTAGTGTAATGGTTAGCACCCGGGATTTTGATTCCCGTAATCCCGGTTCGATCCCGGGCATGACCTACTTTTCTTCGCCTTCTTTCTGGCCTTCCTCTGCTTTTGTTTCTCGTGACTTTTCTCTTTTGCTTCCGCCTTTTTTCTTTTTGGTTTCTCTCTGGAGTGAGTGAGTGAGTGAGTGAGGTTTCTGGGTAAGAAGGGGATGCAATGAATGACGGTGGTTCTGGTATGCTTACCGTCCGGAAATACATACGACGTACGGCACTCGATTGGGGGAGGGTTTCCTCAGGAATCAAAGGAGCTTAAGTGCAGGTTGTTTTTACCGGGACCGGGAGCGAGGACCTTCTCGTCCAGTTCAGCTGAGGATGCTTTTTAGGGGAGGGAGAGATAACTTCGTTACCAGTCGGGTACCGCGTCCAGAGTCATGTCATCAGCGATATGAACCAGGATACTGACCAGGCGATCTCGTCAAACCGTCGTAGGGGTTGCAGAAGAGAGAAAGCTTCTGTCCCCAGGGAGATGCATATGGCTCGTCGTCTATCTATGCCACCGTATAGAATTACCTTTCACAGGGCATACCAAAAACAACACCAGAGCGGCAAGTCAAGGGCTAACAGCAGGTCTGCTGTTGATTTCGGCGTCTTTCGATTCTCTCGACATAGGCAATCTATCATCCAACTTTTTCTGTTTCAAACAAAACTGTGTTTATAACCATACACCGGATAATGATACCATGGGGTAGAATGGCAACAAGATCAGTAGACCAAATATACACTTTCTCTTTTCCATCGCATGACAAAACAACAACAACAAAAAAGACGATTGGGCTATAAATCACATATATCTATCGTGAGGACACGTTGACAGCGTATGATGAAACATGGGGCATGAATTCAACATTAAACAAGGATTGTAGACGGAAAGGGGTATGTGCAGCCAGAAAAAAGGAAGAGAAAGCCAGGAAATGAAAAATAAATCATGCGGACAAGCAGTGGGATGCTCCGCTTGCATGCGTACAGTTGGTTGCTTCACTTCGTCTCAATATAAATCGATTATAAGATCACGCAAGGGCCCTTCCGCCGCTTCTTATCCTTCTTCTTCTCACCCCGATTGGGGTTCTCCCGTTTGCGGGAGGAGTCGTCGCTCTTCGAGTTGCCTTGCAGGTCCTTTCGGATGATCTGTCGGCAGAGGTCAATGAAGACCTCGTTGACGTTGGCTCGTCGACGAGCCGAGGTTTCGTAGTAGGGGGCGTTGCCCCAGCTCTGGGAGAGAGCAAATGCGCGGGCGCGTGGCACGGCGCGGTCTTCCTCAAGGTCGGATTTGTTGCCCACAATGACAATAGGCACCTTCTCATCCTCCTTGATGCGGATAATCTGTTCTCGTAACTCGGATAGTTCGTTCAGGGACGACATACTCGTGATGGAAAATACGAGCAGAAACCCCTGTCCTTGCTTCATATATAGCTCTCTGCAGAGTGCGCTGTCAGTTGCGAGATCGGATGAAATGGAGTGATGGTGATCATCTTGCGATTGCGTGATCGTAGAGACTCATGATGCTGGAGGGTGGGCGCAATGTTTACCTCATGGCCGCTGTAGACTAATTAGAGGAGAGGAAGCACTATCGACGGACCGTTAACTTACTGAACTGCTCTGTTCCTGCAGTGTCCAATCTGCACATGTCACTCAAGTCAGATACCTTGATCCATCATCCCCATCTAAGATCCCAAATTTCAGGTTGCGGAAGGAAACATACATCTCCAGAATACATTGTCGGCCCTGCTGCACGTAAGTGACTGCACATGTCTCGAGGGAAAGTGGTGGCACTTACGTCTACCTCGATCTGTTTTCGGTAGGAGTCCTCGATTGTCGGGTCGTAGCTCTCAATCCACACATTTTGCACGAATTGAGCTGTCTTGCGTCAGCACGAATGCAAGTCAGACGGGGTAGTGCCCTCGTCCAGACATACCAGTAAGACAGCTCTTGCCCACACCTCCTATTGCGCCGACGAGAATCGCCCGTCGTCAGTGATGAACCCTGCCCGATCCCAGGAGGAGAGTATGTGCCTACCAGCGCCTAGAACGACGATATGATACTCCCGTCTGTAGTCGAAAAGCGAGCGATCAGCATCCTCCGCCGAGTAGATGTGTCCGATAGCATGATGCGCAAGTCGGGGGACTTACTGTGGCCGCATTGAGACGATTGGCTATAGCTTCGCGATTATAATGATGTCTGGGGCTGGGTATGGAGGTGTAAAAGGCAAGTCGAACTCCGACAAAAGTATCGATGTCAATTGTGTTGTCTGACCTGGGAGGGGGCCGAATCTGCGGTCGAGACGGGAACGCGGCCGAATGCGACAATTGAGAAAAGGTTGGCCGAGGGAGGGAGGAGTATGAGGAGGGGGGGGAAGGCAAAACAGGCTTTGTCGATGTTTGTCTGTATCAATCCGCACCAATCAATCAAAGGATGGATGGGAAGGGGAAGGGAATGATCGGAGGTGAAGAATGAATTGATTCCCTTTCGGAGGGTTGGAGGCGGGGGAGTCGGGAGGACTGGGAGAGCAAGGGCAACAACCACACGCGATCCGTTACATCGGTCTTAATGCCAATCGATTCCCAACCAATTCCGCGGGAGCTGGCAGGCGGAAAGCGTCGGACAAGCTGGGTACAAGAGAGGTCTGAAGCAAGGTGTGAGAAGGAGGGGAGTTGAGGTGAGTGGTGAGAGGAAGATCGGAATAAAGGAGAACGATGGTGGTTCGAGATGTCGAGGCGGCGAGTTTTTGGTAGTGGGTGGGAAGGTGGGTTGGGTTGTTGGTAGGAGGAGGAGACGAAGACAAGAGCGAGAGGGAGGGGAATTTCGTGTTTCTGACCACCACCACCACTGGTGCCGGAGACTAACTAGAAAACAACTAAAACTAACAACAAGCGTGAGCAGAGCAGAGCAGAGCAGAGCAGAGGAGCAACAACAAGCGTTCAAGACGTGAGCAAGAGCCAGGCAGAGGCAGAGGCAGAGGCAGAAACCGAAGCAGAAAGACCGGCCAGCCAGCCAAGCCCAGTCCACCGAGAAAGTGAAGTGGGTTGGATTGTGGTTCGGCTTTGTGTGGGGAGAAGGAAGAAGAAGAAGAAGAAGAAGAAGAAGAACAGCATGGGATTGCGATAAGAAGCCGATCAATCAATGTCGGAGCATACATGCGCACATATACGCACTGGTTTCACGCACCTTTCTGTGGTTCGATCTTTCCCTGACCCTCTCTTATATTATCTTATTGTGTCTTCTCTTTGCTGGGCGCACCGGCGGTGGAAGAAGAACCCCCAGAAGGTCGTTCGTTCGACGGCGGTGAGGATGGCAAGCGATGTTGTTGTGGTCGAGGAAAAACCTTAAACCATCAACGATTAGACTAGCATTGCTTGAAGCTTCTCTCCATCCCGTCCGGAAAGCATTCCCCCAAACTCAATCCGGCATAACAAGGAAGGAACAAGAGGGTGTAGGAGTGGGTGTGGGAGAGTCTCTTGTGTAATTCCGAGGTTGGTGGAGTGTACGGTATGTACATCGAGTAGTAGCTACCGTCCTCTTCCTCCGAGAAAGGGGGCACCAACATATTGACCCGGGAATAATTGGATCAGCTGTCCGGTCCTGCCCCTATGCATTCATCCGACTGCTGGAAATCATTCTTTGGACTCGAAGGATGTCTGCATTGTTGGAGGGGAGACTGGAGATGAGGGGAGGAAAGACAGGGTAGCGATTGAAGAGGAAGAATAGACAACAAGCAATGGAGCATTGAACAATCACAATCACTCACCTGAGCCTTCTCCTGGGCCAGAATCACTATATCCCAATTGTAGTGTACGTACTGTCCCTGCTAACTCTCAAAGATTCAGTAAAGACAATCAAAGGGGAGATTGTTGGACAATATAATCCTCAGGATGACAAGGTACAGTACCACAATACGGAGTACACTCAATAGATAAGTACAGGACAAGTGCTGGCCGTAACAAAAGTCCCCCAAACCAGCACCCTCGAGATCAATCAATCAATCATCAACAATCATCCATCATCCATCATCCATCATCCATTTGCCTCTTTCCCGATACGGCCCATCTATCCTAGCCCCTCGTTTCAACGTCATCATCACCAAACAACATCCATCCCCATGTATCAGATCTAACCTACACATCCCTTCCCTCCAATGCCTCCATTCTCCCTTCCCTCAATCCACCAATACCTCCATCCCCTTTAACCCAAACCCAGATGACCAAAAAAGACAGACCCGATGTACAGTCCAGTACAGTCCACTTCACAAAAGAACCAACCGCATCCCACTACAGCAGTAACATCCCAATCACCACCCACCAAGACCAAGCGGCTAGCAATTCCGGAAGTACTGCAGGTAGGCAAGAGAGCCAGCGAAGTACCTGCCGTAGCTGTCAGGGACGGATCAAATCCGATCATTTCCAGTTTGTCGTTCCCCTTCTGCCTGCAGGGTACTTTCACCTCACTGGTTCGATGCTCTGCATGTCCCCCTCACAAAAGAAAAAGTCAAGCCGCACCGATGGTAAGCGCAGCAGAGCACAGCACAATATTACTCCGTCAATCACTACGGGGTCGGCTCAGCAGGTAACCAGATGGTAGGTAAGGTACTGTACTTTTCTCCCTTCGCGGCGTGGCTTAAGTACCGGACAGTACGAATGTCCCTGCCCAACCTGCGGCGTGGAAAAGCGAAAGAAAGACAGAGAAACGTCATGCCATTCGAAGTACCGGGGGTGTGTGGAGGGTGGGAGGTGGAGAGGGGAGGAGGGGATGTATCAAAGTCGAGATTCGATGTATCACACCGCCAAGTTACTTGTACACTGTGTATGAATGAGGTAGTATAGGATTGATTTAACATGTATGCTATGCAGGTAATGTACAACTATGACTTGTACTAGGAGAGAGGCTCATAGCTTAGCGGCCGCCGATGAGCAATAGCCTCGTCATCGGAATTCTGATTGTCCCAAGGCGTCGGCCCTTCAGTTAGTCATCGAAGACTGGAGAGGGGAGGTGACATAAGATGCATTCTTGCATTGCATCGCATCGCATCGCATCGGCCAGATGTTGAGGTGACGTGGGCACTCATAGTGTCAGTGGACACCTACTTCGGCAGTTGTATGTGTGTGTGTACTGTACACTCGCCAAGGCTGGGCTGGGCTGCTTGTCATGCCAAATGTGAAATGCATCGGATGCACTAGGTATATTGCCGCAAACAATCTCCGTCCACTCGCCGAAGAGAAAGCGTCGGCCGAATAACTACACTCTGAGCGAAACAACTGTATTAGGCTACATGCACGAACACGCCATCCACGCCCTAGCAGAAACAACAGCCCGTCAAACCGAATCAGCGAAAGTACTATGCGTCTATACATGTAGGTATCTTCAGTGCTCTGCATCGACAGCCAATTGGATGCAAGCCGCTGCAATGGGCTTATGTACTAGCGTTTTCAGGGGTCCCGGCTTCTGATAGAGACGTCCTCGCTTATAGTGTATTCTAAGCCGTAGCGCAAATCCCATCGAGCTGTCAAGCCTGTACCCTAGGTTATATGTACATACATGCGCGCCCCTCCCTCTAAATGTGACCCTGCTGGGTCGAGTCAAAGCTGCACTGGAATAGGCATATCACAAAACCTTAGTAGGCGAATCCTACCACCTCCTTGACACCATTGACCTGATCCTTCCCCTTGCGGCTGTACTTGTCCAGCGCGTCAAACACATGACTGAAGACTCGCCGGTTCACATCATGGGCCCACAGGAAGTCCAGATGCTCGTACTCCGGGATCTCCTTGGCCACGGTCCCGCTGGGTAGTTCGGATAGCATGACGTTGATGTCGACCAGGCTGTCACTTCCGCCGTACAGCAGGACGATGGGGGTTTTGATGTTCTTGGTCGGGTACTTGACCGGCTTGTAGAAGCGCTCGCTCGCCACAATGCTCAGCGGAGCGTGGATCTCGTCATCGTAGAACTGGAAGTTCCGGTGTCGGATAATCTGGAACCAGTGCACGACCGACTTGGTGCTTGTAAAAGAAAACAAGTGCAGGTACCCCGCGAGTTTTTGCCAGCGACTAATATTCTTGCATCTCCAGTTGAAGAGGCCGCGAAGTGACGTGTCAATGATCCAAACAAAGATTGGGGGGTAAAGAATGGTCTGCCACATAGTGGTGGAGCTGAGGATGCTGCGTCTGCCAAACAGAAGGAACAGGAAGTTAGGCGAGGCCTTCATCAACGAGTCCACTACGTGGTTCGGCAGGCCCGTTGGGGCCATCGCGGGTGCGAGAGCCACGAAGACATCAATCTTCTGATTCAGGAGCGGATGGATGGAGAGAGTCGCAAAAGCCTGCGCTGTGCCTTGAGAGAAACCAACATATGATAAGGAGGGTTGCTCCGTCACGTCGAGAATGTATCGGATGCTGTCGGGGATATCATGAAAGGAGAATTGGTCGATGGAGAAATCCCAGAACTCGTTCGTCAACGGAGAGTGCTTGACAGACTTCTTGGAGTACTTGTTGCCGCGATTATTCCCAAGCCACACATCGTAGCCGCGCTCTACCAATTGAAAGGGCAGGCATCGCTGTTCCTCCGACAGGCAGACCCAAACCTCACTACACATCATCAACCCATGGTGAAGGTAGACAACCTTCTTCTTGATGCTCCCTTCGCCCTGGTTGATCCGTTTGCCTTCCTCGCCCTTGCGAGAGGAGAGACGGTGGAGGCCGAGCAAGTAGCCGTCTCCAGTCTGAACGATGTGCTCCTCCGCCTGGTATCCAAACAGAGCGCAAATGTCTGTGAAGTCGGACGCCTGCGCCACGGCCGCAGCGACCTTCTCCTCATTCTCGCGTTTGTCAAGGTCCTCCCCGGGAGGGATCAGGAGGTTGAAGATTGTCTTTGAACGATCGTAGCAGAACCGAATGACAGGTTCAGCTGTACCCAGTCAGTGCCCGAACCCCAGCAAGTCAACATCAACCCGGATTCACTTACGCAGACAGAAAGTGATGATATGTATCACCCATTCCAACAACACCAAGATCAGCGACCCAAACAGCGCCAGATACTCAAACCAAAACAGCCTCCCGATAACCGGTACGCGCGCCATGATCGCAGCCAAGTTTCACCGCACTGTAGGGAGAATGAACAGAAGATAGAAAGAGAGACTCAATGTGAATGCGGATTATCGTAGCTCATAGCGCGTCGAGTCAAGAGTATTATCTCATCATTGAGTGAAGGCAGCAAGGATACAACCCGCCTCCTAAAAAGGGGAGTTCAATCACAGGGTCCGTTCCTCGTCCCAGACGTCATGCTGGAGGGGGTGGCAGGCGGCCGCTTCTTCATGTGATGCTTACCTAATCCGGGGAAGAAACAGAGGGCACTGCGAGCGGTCGAATTTGCCGGCCGCAGATGATCATCAGATTGCCCGTTCTTTCGCTGCAGTGCGGTTGAAGACCTTCTTGTTCGAGCAGTCGGGCTAAATCGATTCACAATGCCGGCTTCTTGTCAGGATATCAGTGAGTCACGCTCTCCTCAACTTTTCCCCCAATGCCTCTCGCGGCGGCAGTTGTATCGGCTGGCGCGCGCGCACCCGCGATCCAGCATTCGTGGTCGGAGATAGAGGACAACTTCGAAACAGCCCTCATAGCATTATACTCATACCATTGTCGCCCTCTGTTCTAACAGACCTTCTCCCGCGGGAATAGGGAATGCACTGGCGCAATGCCTCCAAGAATCCGACTGCATCATGGTCCAACGACACACCCCGCGGGAGTGTCTGAGTGACCCTCACGTCGACCAGCTCCCGATGCGATGCCAGCAGCTGCGGAAGGGCTTTAGCGAGTGCAAGTGAGTCATCTCAACCACCAAGAATCGACTCTATCCATTTTCCTGGGCTTTGCCATGTCACAGGCTAACACCTCATCCTTCCACAACGCCAAACAGACGCGGCTTGATCGACATGCGCAAACGATTCCGCGGGAACCAGCCCATCTCGGTATCGACCGAACTCGAGGGGGGAAGCTCCAACAAATCCCAGCAGTTGTATGCTGGCAAGCCGGCGTTCGAGTCGGTCAAGGAGATCAGCGGAGATGAGGTGAAGATGGATCCCGAGAAGACGCGAGGTCTGTGACGAGGGAAAAGAAATGATTGGTGTCACCTAGTGGATGCGGGTAAGTTGTCATCAAGAACAACGAACCCCCCGGCTCCATCTTGGCATTTGGGCTTGACTGCTCCGCTCTATCCATTTTACTCTTTGTTGCTGTTTATCTGCACTGGCATGGTTTTGGAGTTGATTGGAAGAATGTATGGGATTGTGCTTTCCCTCCTCTCACGTGATTACTCTAGGACTACGTTCTGGAACTATTGTACTGTACATACTTTGAAAGAAGCTCTTGCGAGCATTCTCTACAACCCTACTTGTAGGCTTGGGGGACGTACGGCGGACATGTTGTGGGGCGAAAGGATCTATCGTGACAGATATAATGTACGAAAACTGTCATTGACTGGACATCTAGATAAATTACAATCACTGGTTCTTCTTGACCTTGGCCGAGGCCGGCTCCGAGTAGAGCCACACAGCCACGAAAGCCATGAAGCCCCCGATGACAGACCAGAGTCCCGCGATCCAGACCCAACCGCCGCTGATCTCCCAGCTGCGCGGGAATTCGTTGTGGGCGAAGTGGCGCACCGTTACCTCGTGCTTCTCCTCGATGGTGGTGAGGAACGGACGCTTGTAGTTCACGCGGAACGAGAAGATACCGTGCTGATCGGGGACGGTGAATTGAGTGCGGAAGACGGTGCTGTTCTCGGTGCGGTAGGCAGGGTCCAGCTTCAGGCGGTGGAAAGGGGAGAGCATGGTGAACTCGAGCTGGAGGGCATCTTCGGCGGGCAGTTCGAAGGGCACGAACTTGTCGTAGCTGTACTCGGAAATTTCAATGCTGAAGACCTGTTGATATGTTAGTATAGAATCTTGTCTGCCCGGGGTTAACAAAACCTACAGTCTCGTTCTTGACCCGGTAGATGGTGGGGTTCAAGTCCTCGGCAGTGAGATCATCCTGAGCGAGATGGTGCTCGATCTTTCCAACCTTGAGCACTCCAGTCTCCTTGAAGGTCCAGGCAGTTAACTGCTTGGCGAACTCCTGGTTGACCGTCTTGGTCTCTTCGCCGCTGCCGGGTGCCTTGACGGTGGCGGTGAACCACTTGTCCTGGAGACTCTCCACGGAGCCCAGCAGGGTGAAGCGAGAGGAGCTGCGGGTCTGCAGGGTCGAGATGAGAGAGAGCTGCGAACCGGTGGCCCAGATGTCCTCAACAGCAGCGGCTTCCTCCTTGGGGTTGTAGCTGTAGGCGGTGACGGGGGCACGTAGAATAGGCGCAGCAAGGATATTGTCGCCGAGAGTGTGAGGAGCAGCTCTGGGGAGCGCCAGGACGCCTTCACCATCGAAGTAGGACTTGGTGTCGGGTCTCAACTGGCCGGGGCGCTGCAGGAGCAGAACGTCGTGCTTCTCAGCGGCGGAGAGGGTATCATAGTTGAAGTGGTCGACGACAATCGAGGAGCGGTCCGTCGACAGATGGAGGTCGAGCTCCAAAAGAAGCGAGCTGATGGCGCTAGGAGTGGTGGATTTGCCAGAGAGAGCGAGGAGGACGTTGCCGTCCTTGTTCAGGAAGTCGACGATGTTCTTGGGGCTTAGAGAAGGTCCGAATCCTAGAGCAGTAGGTCAATCGGATGCTCAATTGCAACTGTTGTAAACAGTCAAAGCCAATGTCTCACCTTTGGACTTGGGAGGAAGAAGGAGGAGGTGGTCGTAAGCTCTCTCGCCGAGCTCGAACAGCGAGAGCTGGTCACTCTTGGGAGATTCGAAGGCGATGTCATATCCACGAGCTTGAATTCAGCATTATCAGTATCAATTGCTTCATACACATTGAATAAGAGACACATACCCTTCAAATCACTCCAGAGTGTGGAATAGAGACCCTTCTCGGAGGCATCCTCCAAGACGACCAAGAGACGGTTGCCGGAACTACTGAGCGCATTCACCACGGCCAGGAAGCCGAAGAGGAAGAAGGAAAGACACCACCGCATTATGCAATGGATCCGCACAGCGGCGCGGACGAACAAACGACAGGTAGGTTACGGGAGAGAGAGGGAGGGGACGAAGAGCCAGCTCCTGGCGCAAAAGAGAGAAGTGGGGAAGATGTCAAGGAGAAAAAAGTCCAATGCAGTGTCAACCCATCAAATATCGTGATAGCAAGTCAGTTAGTAGTACGTACGTACGCCGGCGTAGACGAACGGGCGACGTGTTTGGACCGAGTGCCAAGACTCACTCTTCTCCATTGGAACCGCCGCATCCACTTTCGGCTTGTCGTCACTTTCGACCTCTCCTCATCGTTCCCGTCGTTCCCCTCTCCCAGTCGCATTGCCCCGATTACCACCTCTCCGCTAGAGTCTGGAAGATCTCGCCGTCGGTCTTTCTACGATCTCCCATATCAATTGACCTATTCCTAGAACACCGGTCAATTTCTCCGAACCCCTTCCACCGGCCACCCACGCCCGTCGGCTTCCAAGCACCGACCAGAGAAAAAAAAACCCTTTCTCCGATCCCACACCGAGCTATCTATCCATCGCAATCATGTCTGCTCCTCAGTTCTGGTCGACTCCTATCCGCTACATGCGCTGGGCCGCCCACGAGAAGCCCGCCATCTTCTACTCCCTCATCATCGGCTCCATGGGTCCGGTCGCATTGGTGACCATTCCCCCGATCAGACGCTACTTCGGCTCCTACGACCCCGAGCCTGTTCCCTTGACATATCCCAGTAAGGACGATCCATCAGCCATTGAGAGCAGATTCTGTGGATTGCGGAATTTGAAGCTTATAGATTCCCTTGCTAACTTCTCTCTCTCGCAAAGTCCCCGCCGGTCCCCGGGTCATCCCGCAGGGTTACGATGACGAGTAAATCTCCCATATAACACACAAGATACAACAGCAATGCAATACCGTTTCCGTTTTCTTCTTCCAATTTGCGAGGTTTCAAGTTCGGGGTTCGTCATCATTAGCTAGGTTTTAGGTCTCAAGCAAGCAATTCGCGAGGGGGGGAGGGTGAGGATGCCCTCGCGGCCGGAGAGCTATCAGCAACGTGAACGCGCCATTCGAGGCTCAGGTGGACAGTCTAGGCAAGCTGGTCGAGGGGCATTGGAGTCATATCACGGGATCTCTGGTCTGGCGATGACGGAGCTTCCTCAACCCGATGTCAGCATCCATTCCCGCTTCGTTTATTGGTTGGGTGCCCCCCATGGCTTGCTAGACATAGTGGTGGGTGTGAGCGTTACAATGTACTGTACATGAGAAGATGTCTTACTGAGCAGAGAGATTGAGGAATGTCTTGTTCAAGCAAAGATTTTTTTTTATTGTACAAGATGTTATTATTCGCCAACTCACGGCCGAGCATTCAAAGATAAGCACCAACTTGGACTCCCGGCCACAGAGTGTGTCATTAGGAGTCTCCAAACATGTGCCTTCTCAGTTCTGGTCCTGAAAAAGAAAGGCCTGATCCTGGTGTAGTGACATGCCTAGAGATTCCAGATACGACTGCTCATTATGTCAGATGTCAAGAAGGTGATGTGTACGATGCCAAAGAAAAAGGTAGTAACACCGCAAGGGGAAAGTGGTATCAGGGTCGACCGTGAGTAGAAGAACAAGCAAGACCAATATCGAGTTCGGTTCAACACAGTGACTGAGCCAAACGCCAGGTCGGTAGAAGTAAAGGAAATGGGAGAGACGCAATGAAGGATTGGCAGGTACTCGGGTCACTGATCTCCAAGTTGACAAGCATTGCAGTAGTCAAAGGAAAGCAAGAAAAAAACAACGCCGGAGAGACGTAGAACATTAAACATTGATAGATTAGCTGATAGGCAGTGGTGATGACGGGGTATCGAGATGAAGTGCGAGCCAAGCTGTCCATGTTGGTGTAGAAGACGCTTGAGAGAATGAAAGCTAGTAGCACAAGCGCCGGATGGTAATGCTCATACATCATCATCATCATCGTCATCATCATCATCATACCAGGGGATATCCTCATCCTTGATCTTGGTGCAAGTCAAGTATCGACCAGTCGAATGGCTGACATTGGACTTCAAGAGCGGCTCCACCTCCTCCTGACAGAATTCCCTGAGCCTGTGCAAATATCCATGAATCTCGTCAATATCCTCCTGGGGGCAGTCATCGTCCATAAGATAGGGGACCCAATCTTCGTCGTATTCGTCGTCCTCGTTATACATGTAACGATAGAAATTGTAGCCTCCATCTTCGCCATGGAAGCCGTTTGCCAAACTGATATTGACATACACCCATTCTCGGAACCGAGTGAGTGCCACCCACATATGCGGGCTCAGGCCCAGCAGGTCAGACGAGCCCGGATTCTCCAGGGGCTCAAACTCGACAGTCATGAAGAAATCCTCGACATCTTTACAGCGCTGGACGAGCTTGTCACTGTAGCTCTGGCAGACGCGGCGGGCGGCCTCGGGGATAGACAGCTTCACCTCCGGTTCCAGATTGTGCCATTTGCCGACCACATGGCAGGCTGCGTCCTTGAAGATCCAGGAGTCCCGAAGAGTCATGGAGATGCACAGCCACTGGACCGGGCCCTCAGCCACCGCTTCCCCAAGATCGTGACCAAGGTCCTCAAAAGCGTCGTCCAGAGCTGGGAACACAGTCTCGGTGGCTCCGAGCTCCTCCGCCAGGGTAATCAGGGCCTTCGTATTATGCAGTACATCGTCAGGCTCCTCCTCCTGCTCCGCAAGGATTGCCCTTCGCTGCACACGGGGATCATCGGGCTTCAAGAAAGGCGTCCGGCCACTCAAGCTCTTGATCACATTGCCCCAAATCTTGCGGAGCTTTGGAGAAAGAAGGTCGGCAGGCTGTGCGCGCTGCGGTACTCCGGCGACGGCCTGGAATCCTGTCAGTCAGCATGAACAACACCATGATATATCAAATCGGTAGGGATCTACCTCGATTTCCAGCCGGCCATACTTGCGGTCAGCTGCAGGAACCACGACGAGATCCACCTCAATGAGAGCCGGGTCTGTGCACGGATGAGCGTTGTCTCGTGCGTGCTCTATTGCCCGATTGAGTGTACCGGAGCGCCTAGCAACCACATGAGAGTGAAGTCTGTACACTTCAGGCGGTACAGATATTTTGATGTCTCCGTTAAAAGGTAGAAACTCCGACGCACACATGTTGCAGCAATGCTTGCGGAATAGGTACTGTTTCTGCAAAGCAACGCACAGCCCGAATCTGTCTCAGATAAGAGGACGTGAGGCTGTGAAAGAACACCGAGCTGGGATTTCGACATGGAGGTGAAAACAGGATAAAAGCTGCTGAACGACATCATCAGTCTTTTGCCTGGTGGGCAACATCAAGAACCGCAGTGAATGCGCCTGTGAAGTTCCTGAGTTCCTGATAGCACGACATAATCAGTATTTCGCTTAGTCTGCGAGCTGTTTAGCTTAGTCGGAGAAATCAAGAACCGCGGTGAATAGCGTCAGTGAAGTTCTGATAGCAGGGCTAACAAGCCTTGGTTCTCTCAAAGGATGTGTAGGTATCTTATGAGACCCAGTCTCAGAGGAGGTTTGCAGCCGTCACTCCAAGGGATTGCGACAATCACAGATCGTCCGCACACCAAATTCCTAGGGCAGATGCACACGACAACAAAATCGCCGCGCTGATTGGGCAGGCTGCGGAAATAGGGGACAGGAGAGACAGAATTGAGAATGATATAATTTCACAGAGTTCAGTAGAATATAGATTGCTTATCAAACAAAACTGGAACCAGGGAACAACCATTGAGAAACCAGAGATTAACGCCGTGTATGCTCATATCTACATATAGCTCGTGGACGGCATCACCGTATATCATCGAAGATCCTAGCCGATACCGTGGAAAATCAGTCGGTGCTCTTCGCCGAACTCAAGACATCGTAAAAACCAATCCCTGCAGTCCCTGAAAACAGAAAGGACGAAAGCAACAGAAATAAAGGTGCCACAGCCTATTCACCAGCAAAAGCAACCACACGACGCAAAAGAAGAACAACCCAGCACAGAAAGGAGATTCAAGATAGCCAGCGCCGGCATTGCAGAGAAAAATAAGCCATAAAGCCTCCTCGTAACCGAACACGATGAAATTCGGGCCAATCTTTAGATCCCAATTACCAAGCGTCCCCGCTTGTCATCGAAAGCAGGTCAGCTGCAACACGAGCCAACGTGAGAGATGATGTTGAGCACGCTTCGAAAGTCGATAAAATAAATATATGAGTGGTATCCAGGTCGAACAGTATCCAGTACTCCAAATGTCTGGCTCCGCAATTCGGATTCCCAAAGTCATGCACGCTTTTTTTTTCCTGGTCTGATGTTCCAGTAAGGCTATGAAATGTAAGAGGTTTGTTCCTCAGACTGCTCCACTATCGGAGCGTAGATCTGGAAATGCCTGCAGTTTCCAGGGTGATGAGGCCGTCATTATAACACAATGAGAATTGTGGTCCTCGCCTAAGCTCACTAGCATGGAATGGAGTTTATGCTGTCACCGGGTTCGGCGAGGAGCTTGGCTTTCTCTTGTCGGCTGGGGCCTATTGCGGTCTGGATACGTCGACTCAGGAGTGTATCTGGGATCCATTCCAATCCTCGGGTCCGCGGCTGTTGTGGGAGGGTATGCTATTCCGGAAGTTACCGGGGAGTAGTCCTGATCGGCCTCGTACGTTGCCGGCCCAGGGTAGCGTGGAGCATTGTTCCTCCCATTTTCATAGCCATATCCAGTGCCGTATGTGTATGAAGGATGAATGTCGGCAGAAACCGCAGGTTGACTAGGAGCAGAGTATGGGATTTGCGCAGGAGGGTAGGGGGCCTGGCCAGTTGCGAAGGGTGAATGGTTTGCAGGGTAGGATGATGGAGTAGGGTACGGAGGACTCTGAGTCGCCGCGTACGGGGGTTGAACATATGGGTCCACAAACTGTTGGGGTGCCGGAGGGGGTGCCGTGTAGGCTGGTGGGGGTGAGGGGCCTCCTTGTTGACGTCCTTCATGGATGGTCGTGGCTGGATAGGTTGCGGGAGAGATGTTAGGCGCCTGGGAATAACTGTAGTCGTGTGCGTAGCTACCTCTAGGATTGCCTTGGTCCATTCGGCGTGAAACGTCTGCCTCCCACCGAGCAGAGTCGGCTTTGAGATCAGCAATCATTTCCTGCATGAATAGTCAGTTGAATTGTACATGGTGGATGATGACCGCTGCGACGCGCTTGTGCGAGAACATACAGAGGTGAGATTGCGGTAGGCTCGAATGAAGTAGCCTTGGCGACCCTGCTCATTTGTGTCAGTCTTGTGTTTTCAGATAGCTTCTACCATCAGTCGTGTCATGACATGGTGCAAAGTACAAGAACATTGGGGAACAAACATTGTGGTTTCCAGGTCTTACGAGAGCATCATTCCCGAGATAACGGCAAATATCTGCTTGGATGACTTCCCGACTGATACCATCACCGGGAATGAAATATTCGTTCTGACGCTCCGGGCGTCCTTCAAATCCATGACGGCCAGTCATCTTGTCCAGGGATAAACGGTTTCCAGTTATTAAATTATAGTCAACGGGTCCAAGTGGCCAAAGGAGTTCCAGGAGAGTAAGGAATAGCCGACGGGTCCAGAGGAAGATGGCGGTTGGTAGGTAGTCTCTTGGGTTGCTTGGGAACAAGAAACGGAACGAAGTGCAGTTCTAAGAGGCTGTGTCCGGGGAATCCAAGGCTGAGAACTAAAGGCTAATCCGATTCTTGGTTGACACGGGCACAAATGCAGAACACGAGACGAGACGAAGTTGAGTTCCCACAGTGGAATATCTGGCTTTATTTCCGGCGTGAAGAAAAGAAACAAATCCGGAATGGGCGCTTGGTGTATGTATCCAGGGCAGTTGTGAAGAACAATTTGAAACGCTTCAGGTCACTTTGTGCATTAAAAGTGAACCAGAAATGGGAAGAGACAGTCAAGTTATAGGCAAAGATCCGAACGAGGCAGCTGTGTGGATCGGAGCGAAGTCGTTGATTGATCACGGTCCAAGGTTGTGAGGTCACTGGCAGCAGGATGAAAGAAAGGTTGCAAATGATCTTTCTCTTTTCAAATTCCTGCGGGAAGAAGTGGCTGTCTTCTTCTTCTTGATGTCTCTCAAGACACACCCTTATACAAACTCGTAAACCCTTTGAACTGACGGGGTAATGTCAGGAAACAAAGGTGAGAGGATGGTGATGGTGGAGGGGGGAGGGGGTAAGGAGGTTGGGGGATGGGAAGATGGGAGAGGGAAGAGGAGAGGAGAAAGAGAAGAAGAGCTAAAGGGGAGGAGAGGGAAGGGAAAAGTAAGACAGACGGGGGGGAAGAAGATAAGAGAGAAGAAACCTTTTCCAGTTGAGAGGCGAAAAGGGAAAAGGGAGAGGAGAAAATGAGAAAAGCGAAAGAGAAAGAGAAAGAGGAGGGGGAGGAGCTTTACAGACTAGGCTAGGCTAGAGAGAAAGAGGGAGGAGGGACGGGAGGGGGCGCAGACACACACACACACACACACAGAGCAAGCAACTGGAATAGACAGCCTGCAGGCGGAAAGGGGACTTCGTGACTGAGATTGAAGAGGGCGCCTGTGAGTGGATTGGATTGGGTTGTTGGGCCGGCTTTTGAGCTGCCTGGCCATTGTCTGGTGCCACGACTGACTCCACCAACTACACAGTAGACCCTCCGACTCTCTCTCTCTTCCACCTTAACTTCTTTCTTCTTTTTTTGCCTTTTCGGTTCGCACCCCTCCCTCCCCAGTACAAAGTAGAAGAGGAAAGGTAATGGTTTTTCTTCCTTTCACATTATTAAACCATGATGAGCAAGAGATGACTCTGCTTTCCCACCTCGAAACCCCACCCCTAGAAACTTGCATTGACTCTTAGGGCGTCAGCGCCTCTCATCCTGGGGCAGTGGTTGGATATTGGGTGCAGACGATTTTCCTGCCCCTACCCGTGCGGCTTGCTGTTGAATGATTATAATTCGATGACTATGACGATCCTCATCCGAACTGGAACCCTCCTGGGAGGGCCAACTGACCAAATGCCGTGACTATGATCTCTTCTGATTTCTTCTTTGCTGCAGCCTCGACTCATTACTTGCTTTCACGAACAACCAAGCCCTAAAGAGTGGTAGTCGTCGCATCTCAGCCAGTTCCGTCAATAGCATACATACATCCATCCATCCTTGTACCTGATTGTCCCTGGCCAGTATGATGCTCTGAGCCATGGTTCACCCGCGGAGCTGTCCTCTCCAGGTGGACCGGTGGGAGACTCCCGATGGGGAAGATTAGATGACCCAAGAAAAAGTCCCCATGAGTGGCGTTGTCAGACCACGCATCAGACTGAGCATGGATTCATGGTACCAAAGTGATGCTGATCTGGCTGTCCACTCGATCGTCATTTTTAATCCCAGGTCAAAGATTGATTATTTGGGACATAACGTAGTGCTCTGCTCGACCTGAAAATACCTAATAAGGCTTCATCCACCGGAACAAATGGCGCGAGTTGATCCGATGAGTCAGCAAACGAAGTCCGCCCCGAGGTGATCAACCAACCAACCAACCAAACAGAGATGGAAGTATCGCAGAGCACACCCTGGCACAGGATACTTTACTCATACTTCAGGTGGCCAAAATAACCACCCAGTCAAAGCTATTTGTTGCCAGCTGCTAGTGCTTGCAAGATGGACAAGTAAAGTATTGTACTGTACGTCTGCTCCATCCTAGAAACTGCGTGTTGCACAGAAAAGCTGCATCATTCATGATCGCACAGTTTGCAAGAAAAGAATATGGCTCTCCATTCTATAAGCCATAACTCGCTTTTTCTGGTCCCTTGGTGTCTGGGTACGAGCACCAGTATAGGGCAGAGCTCGCCACGGAAACATCTAACAGAGCAACGAAAGTACAGGGCCATCCGCATCTAAGCAGGGTTTATGGATTGGCATTGATCCCCTCCGAAATCAATGAATTATTGGTACTCCGGAATCCGAAGTCTTCATGCTCTTAGACACTTCCTTCTTTCCAGTAGGAGACGCGATATTTCTCCAGACGAGATTGGACACCATCACCAGCCTATCGCTGGTCAGGGTTTGAGATATGAACACAGGTTGGGCAGGAATGCGTGAGTGGCGGCTTGGGCACTCACCCACTCACCCGTTTATGGCCTGGGGCACTAATCCCGCCTGCGACTCTGCAGCCTATCCCGACGCCAGATTGGCCTCGGATTCCCCATTTGGCGCATTCCGTGAGCGACGGACTGGCCTCGCTAAAGTGGCTAAAGTGGCTAAACCTCTGCTCGGGCCGCTAGTCGGGGCTCAATGTACAGTACGGAGTACCTGTGGAACTGCGACAGTGGGTTGCACTGCAGCCCTTTTCTTAGGATGTACACAAGATACTGAGTTTCCAACAGTCAAGACAGTGATGGGCCTACCAGTGTCGCAAGGCGAATCACACCCAATTGACAGGCCATGAAAGTACAGACACGCCCAAAGTCAAGTTAATTCCCTTTTCTAGAAAGTCTCGAATAATCCAGCATCGTCGTCTCCATATATTTGCGGCCCTCATGCAGCAAATTAGTTCCCAGGAACACACTCGCCAGCGCCCACACTCGGCCTGCTGCATAATCACAATCTCAATCTCACCCAACTGACCATGATGAGCGACCGGGTGGTCTCGAAGCCCATTTCTGCTACAAGAGTGGCCGACCGTGTTCGTCACCTTCACATGATTCTTATGGGATTCTACTCTGCTTCGCGCGGCTTTCACCCTCCTTCCTCAGCCGTGGCGAACAAAGCCCGACAGCGTCTGAGCTCAAGGGTCACGATCACTAACTATGTTGCTCATAGACTAATGTGCAAGGTCTCACATGCATCTTCCACAGAAGCTGTTCCGTCATCTGCACGGCGGTGAGATCTCCAAGTTTTGGACCCATTCATATGCTCGAATAATATCGATCCAGGTGTCTTCTCTGCCGCATTGTCTCCATAACGCCTGCATCAACTGTCTCATTTTGACCGGTGACTGACTGGTCATGATCTGATGGTCTCCTCTCTTTGGAACATGTTATGCAATATTCAACCCGAATCAGAGGCCGTCTCGCTCCACCAGTGTCTATACTGTGCTTGCTATTAGTTCGACTCGGGAACGTGCTGTGGTAGGATTGCATTCTTCGCCTACAACCTACGGAGTAGCCCGAGCAGGATTCTTGAATCAGAGCCATTGAAAGATCTTGCAGCTACAGCAGTGCATCGTCGGCCGAACGGCTGCACCTTCATGTAGGGGTGAAGTGCCACTGGCCTATTGCACTTTTGCTGCGGTCGCAAAACGATATTCATACAATGACAGTCGGTGAAGCCGCATATCCTCCGAGTCCTAGCCTTACAATATGAGTTCACTGAACATTGAGTACGCATATCCTCCGTAACTCGGCATGACATGATGTCATGGCTATTTTCTCTGGCCCGTGGTTGTGATGTACTGTACATACAGTCAACTCTATTCCGTATATCCGCTGGGCATCAGTTCACTTTTGGCATTGCAGTTGCCTCGGCTTGCAACGAAAGCTAGCGTGCCTGTTTCTTCGAGCTGGTAAATTAAATTATACGGAGTAATATGATCACCTTTGCACGCCAAATGAATCCCGAACCGGCAGCAAATAATGGATAGTTATTGTCTCGAGCACTTCTCTACCCAACGCAGGTTTGGGCTCTCACCGAACAATGTCCACTGGTATGTTTAGACTGTGAACTGTGAAGGCAAGCCAGCACTCAGTCTATGCCTCTGGGTCACTTCGAGTCTTCCGAGCTTGACAATATGATCAGCGTGCGTCGAGCACTTCCTGATTCCATACTTCGTACTGCTGGCGAGGCATCCACGAGTTCAAACCTTAAGACTCCGGCGACGGCTCAATGATGGCGCTAACTTCTTTGGGAAGCGAGATCTTCTGGCCCGGCCCCGAGTTCTCGACCTTCCCCTCCAACGCACTTCAATCACTAACCAGCCTGGATATCCAGGTCCCACGACGCGCGCGTGTATCTTCATGGATTATCTATAGAGTTCTGACTCGACGCAGTACGTCTCACTTTTGACTTTCCGGCGTACAGCCATCGCCCCTCAGTCCGCCATGACACTGTTCTATTCGCTATGTCACGCTCTTCCCCGGAACCGACTTTTTCGTCCAGCGATCCCTTGAGGCCCGAGTCTCAGTATACTTATCGCCAACTCCAGCTCCTTAGGCAAGGCTCGACGGCGACGCCTCTTCGCGTGATCGCGCACGTGGATCTCGATGCCTTTTACGCCCAATGCGAGATGGTGCGGCTGAGCACGCCGCGCGACGTGCCCCTCGCCGTGCAACAATGGGACTCGCTTATCGCCATCAATTATCCAGCCCGCTCCTTCGGGATCACGAGAATGATCTCCGCCGGTGAAGCTAAGAAGCTCTGTCCCGACATTGTCCTGCAGCATGTTGCAACCTTCCGAGAGGGCGAGGGCGGGAAATGGGCATACCGCGACGACGCTTTCAAGCGGGTGGGCACGGATAAAGTGTGCTTGGATCCATACCGGGCGGAGTCACGCAAGATCCTCAAGGCGATGAAGGAGGAACTGACCCGCTGGCATGCGAAGATATGCAGCGAGGGC